TTTCGACGAACGCAGAGGTGCTGGAGACGAGTAATGGTCTTGTGAGCACTCTTCGCGGCATGGCCGGTGACGCGCCGCACAGTTTTAGACCAGGTAGGTCGATCTTCCTTATTATTTTTTACCTTCTCCTTGCTTAACCCTTTCCGGGTCACTCTTCCAACCGCACTCCAGAGCTAACACATACAACCAGCGCACGCAAAAGGACATCTCCTTACTGGAACGTTTACTCCCAGTGCCACAGTATCGGATCTCACCACAGCCCCGCACTTCAACACGCCCTCCACATCAATAACCGTGCGCTTCTCCTCCTCCACCGGTTTCCCCAAAATCGCAGACACAGATCCCAATGCCAATCCCCGCGGCATCGCCATTCGCTTCCACCTGCCGCCCAAGGAAGACGGGCGAAGGCAGCATACAGATATCATTGCGCACTCCACGCCATACTTCCCCACACGTACCGGCGCCGAGTTTTTGGAGTTTCTCAAAGCCGCAACGGGGCAAAATGCGGGAGAAGCAGTGCCTGAATTCCTTGGTCGCCATCCCGAGACAGCGAGATTCCTGCAGGCTGCGAAGCCTAGTCCAGAGAGCTTTGCGACAGAGAAGTTCTTTGGCGTGAATGCATTTAAGCTTGTCAAAGAAGACAAGATCACCTTCGTCAGGTACAGAATCGTGCCTGTTGCTGGAGAGAAACATCTCGACTCCGAGGCACTGGATAAGAAATCTGAATCGTACCTGTTCGATGAGCTGAAGCCGCGTTTGCAGTCTGGACCAATTGGGTTCAAGCTCTTGGCTCAAGTCGCGGAGGAAGGGGATGTGACGGATAACGCGACGGAGATATGGCCTGAGGAGAGGAGTCTTGTTGAGCTAGGCGACATCCAGATTGAGAAGACGATGGACGACGCGGAGAGCGCGAAGCAGCAGAAGAGCATCATCTTTGATCCTATTCCGCGGATTGATGGCATTCAGCCGAGTGACGATCCGTTGTTGGAGGTGCGTGCTAGCATTTATCTCATCTCAGGAAAGCAGAGGAGAGCTGCGGAGGAGCCAGCTAAGGCGGAGGATGCGGTTGCTACTGATGCTGCAGTGGCTGCTACGTGAGGAGGTTCTTGAGGGCTGGAGAAGCGCAAGGTATGTAGGTATGCATGAAACAGAATAACTGAAATGCACTCCTTCTTGCGCATGGAATCAATCTTTTTTGTGGCTGAACGATATGTTGGTTGGATCACTGTACCTGAAGACCTCGATTGCTGACGTTGACTTCGGCGACCTGAGTCCATTTGGTCATTTGAAAAGCCGGTCATAGAGATGAAAATGGAGTCACGTTCCAGTAGGAGTAGTAATTTTTTACTGTCCTTGGACCCTCGATCTGGCGCAGGGCTGATATGTAAGGGTGCAGCCATAGCCGCAGCAACAAAGGCGAAGCTGCGCATCCGTTTTTGTACCGAGTGTCGACGTAGGTTTGAGCAAGTGCCGTGCACAGACTCATATCCAGATACTCGGGACCTTTTAGGAGGGTCATCCTTCCAGCTGGTACTAGGATGGCAGTGTTTATCGGGAAACTCTTAGTTATATTCGGCGATACTCAGGGCGACCCTAGCAATACTGCTGCCGCATTGAGCAACATCGCAAATCAATTTGCCATACAGCAGCGAGCCTCTCGCCGCATGGTCTTTGACTGTCAATTAGGGCGAGCCTGGAATACACTGTATGAGTCGGAATAGTCATCGCCGTCCAGCGTTGAGTGTCGGGGTGGTCCTGTCTCACCAGCAGGGCTGCGGTGGTCAGATTGTGTTTCGTTTGCTGATCATGTAATGGTGTAAGACTGTCTCTTTGATCTCTTATCTTCCCAAGAAGAGGCTTGACTGCTGTGCTGCATATTTTCAGTCAGCTTCGAGGTTGAAATGCTATTCGCCGGGTCCTGGTTAATGGTGGGCGTAGGAGTGTTATGATAGGGTGTTGTAGGCGAAAATGGCCTTCTATCGTCAGAGTTATGACCGCCGCTCTCAGCCTAGTAGAAGATGCTGTGTGACCAGACGACTACGTGAGAGGTTGGTGGTGTGTGATGTGTTCCCTAATTGGTGTGCTCAGTAAGCGCTCTTTGCGTGTTAAGCATCATCAAATTGGCACCGGTGATCTATAGTCCTAACCAACGTCTGAACAATGATGAGCTTGAACTCTGCTACCAGTCAGTTGGAAAAGGTCCCTGCGAAAATGCACACTGCCGATGCCATAGCATCCAAGGCTGTGTCATAGCCGAGAGGTGATCCGATGTATCTTAATCCTACATGCCCAGGCTGCGCATACCGTACGCATCTAGCTAGCGGAAGTAGAAGGCTCTTTGTTCTAGGGCAGAGGGCGCAAGCGCGACCGCAGTTTTGAAGGACGAGGACGTGCAGTGGTAAAGACTGTCGAATGAGATGAAGGTGGAGCTGCGGGGAAGATGACAGGCTGGCTTGGCACGTCCCACGTCGAGGTCTCGACGGCATACCTCTCAGATAGCAGACCTTTATTGGTATCATTTTTCTGCTATCGATTTTCTGGCCTCAGCTTTGCGGACTGTAGACCGCCTGCGCGCCACCATACAGGGTTCTATTTTCACGAAAGTCAGTACGCAGTGGCTGTTACCAAAAGTAGCTATGGCTTACGGCAACCTTGCTCTCTGCAAAACTCGAGGCAGTAGTAAGCTATATACCTGCCTACTTGAATATAGGAAAGAATTAGGTTGTTGTATCATCTCAGTCTACTTCACGCTATCGTTGACCAATTCTGCGCCTCTTGTGCACACCCTGTGGAGCAAATTCACCACGCTACTGCCGTACACAAAACTTCATTCGCCGGGAAACAGTCTTACGAACCGACTCAGTGGCTCAAGTTCTTTTCTTGTATCTTTCTTTTCCCCTTGCGGAGTCTGTACGACATTGTGCGTAAGGGTTTCGTTGCGTTCGCTAAGCGCGTTGTACACCAAGTCTACGAAGCATTCTACGATCTTACAGGCGGAGAGTCTCTTCTTCTCACTGAAAAGACAATATTGTTTGTCTCGATCACATTCTCTAGCGTTTCCACTCGACTCGCTTCCAGATTTGAACGCCTTTCACCCCGTCCATACCGATTATCCTTCACACTCGACCACGGCCACCCTTGTTGGTCTTTGTATCGACTATACTGGCTGTTCGCGCATGGCTCCTCGCCTAAACTGTACAACTCGTCGGCGAAGTCGTTCACTGCGATTGCAGCGCTAATACTGTGGCGCTCTCCAGGATATTTCGCGTGTACTGCAGCGGTCGGCAGGATCAAATCACTGCCAAACACGATTAGTCGCACTCGAGTGAATCAAGAACACACTTTCAGTATCACTCACACGCTAGTAACGCACCAAATTATACCAACCTTGGCACATAGTTCCTCCTTTGCGAAGCGCAACACGCTGTATCGACGGCTTCCCAACATGCCTACGCCACTATCTCCCCACAAAGACTTTGCGCTTGTCATCGCCACGAGAGCGGCGTCTGGACTTTCCGTCATAGGCTCAGCAATCATCATTACTACTTTTGTGTGCTTCCCCTTCTTCAGAAAACGTATGTTGACTTGCTTCGATTCGTTACAAAAGCTGATATCGCGCAGCAATTAACCGTCTGGTATTCTTCGCGACATTTGGGAACATCTTGACGAATATCGCGACTTTGATGTCGATTGCAGTCTTGCCAAAGGATTCGCAATCCCCGTCTGGTCTCTGCGAGTTCCAGGGTCTCCTGATTCAATGGTTCTTGATCACGGATACCCTCTTCTGTTTGTCGATGGCTACCAACGTATTTTTGGTGTTTTTCTTTGGGTACGACGCCCAGCAACTACGCCATTTGGAGAAATGGTATGTCGCATGTAGTTATGGGATCCCAGCTTTACCAGTTCTCGTCTACTTCATCCTGGGTAGAACGGGAAATGAGGTTATCGGATCAGCAACTCTTTGGTGCTGGGTATCGTCTGACGTCGAGTGGATGCGGATCGCGTTTTTCTACGCTCCTACCTGGTAAGTCCAGTCCTCGTCAAGCCAAACACGACTAATCTCGGCAGGATTGTTATCACTACGACTATCAGCATCTACATCATCACTGGCTATCGAATCTGGAGGAAGAGGGCCGAACTACGCTCCATTTCTCGAAGCTCGCACCAATATCTAGCCAGAAACTCCTTCACAGCTGCTACCGAGAACACTGCCCCGCATCCTTTTGTGGGTACAAACAACATCGTGGTGACGACACAAATTAAATGCGACGTCCAGCCAGAGGACGCTATCTCACGCTGTGTCTCTCCCGAGCCGGATCAAAACTCCATCAGTTCGTTTTCGAGCACTCGTTTGCTTTCCACGCCCAGCAAACATAACGCTACGATGATGGAAACACTACCCGCCATGGATACCGCCCGCACGTCTAGGATACAAGCCGAGGATATCGAAGCGCAGCGAAATCCACACAATGGTACGAGAGGTCGAAATGGGTACAGGGCGACCGTCATTGCGACAAGCCCTGCAGAAACCTCGACAACCCCGACTACATTATTGACAACGCGTCCTGTCGCTAAGCGAACCGCAGAAGGACATGCTGCAGCAATGGCATATTTCCAAGTCGCCTTCCTCATGTTTGTAGCCTTGCTTGTCGTCTGGCTACCCAGCAGCATCAACCGCATGTACCAGTTCACGCACAGAAATCATTCAAACTTCGCCTTGAACATCATTTCCGCCATTGTCCTGCCACTGCAGGGAGCCTGGAACGCCACAATCTACATCTTCACAACCCGCGCTGAATGCAGAAGAGCTTGGGGTACGGTCAAGTCCAAGTTGACCGGCAACCCATTACAGCATCATCTGCGACGAGATGCCTATCCCAAGGAAACGACGACGAGCTCTCGCGACACGCAAGACTCTGGTGCCGAAATTGCGCTAGACTATCTCCACAAGCACGACGTTCATGTACGTCACGCTGAGGTGTCGAATAGCCAAGCCGTCGAAGAAGACGAAGCTCAGCATCATCCAGAGTTGTGGTGATGTGTCAATGTTTCTCCACGTCTTCGTGCTACTGTGGCGTTCCAACAGTGCTACGTGGCTCGCATCAGTTCACCGTCTTTCGGGTCGTCGTGCTTTGACCTTTTGTATCATCATTTCGTATTTTATCAACGGTTCTATATTTTTGGATTGCGTGCAGCTTACTGTCATGCCGGGTGTTTCCATGTTTTGGCGGATCATTCGTCTTGCAACTTGAGTTCTCAGCCAGTCGTTATCATGATACCCTAAGGTTTTTTTACGGCGTCATACTAGATCTGGGACGATCTATTGGGCTCAGGGCACACAGCAGAGAGGGGTGCGGCCTTAATGGTTCTGGGGAACTTGACAATGCTTGTTTTGCAGCGAGGAGAACGAAGTATGTACTCTGTTGAAAGTCCCAATATCATTATATATTACGTGAAAGTAACTGACAAAATTCATGAAATCACCGCCTCGCACTCATCATTCCATAATAACATCACCATCCTGCACAACCTCATCCATACCCATACTCCTCGGCACGAGAATACTTCTCAGAATGCAAAGCTGACCGTTATTCGGACAGATCTTCTCCCTGTTCAACTGCTTATCCACTGGTCCAGTCGGTCCACCCGAGAACTTAGCCTGCCCAAACAGCTTGACTTGTCTCGGATCACTTTCGGGATACTCTTGATCGCCCCACCTGCCCTTGAAGTTCAACCACGCCGTCGGCGCCTGACCATCATAAGCCGAGAAAGCGGAGTTCCCGGCGTCGAATTTGTAGAAGTTGGCGGATAGGAGAGGATCCCACATCACACCTCGGTCTGTGTAGTCTTCCAACACTCCGCCAGGAAGATTGAGGTTGGGGATGGTGTGGTCGTGGGTTCCGGATATGGCGTAGTTGGCATGCGAGCCTTTGGAGGAGTATGCGATGGGTCTGTCGCCGGTCTTCTCAACGGTGCCGTAGCGGAAGGCTTGGCCGTTTGCGTGTTGCGAGTACCAGATTGCCTCGGGAGAACCGTTTGAGAAACGGACCATTACATGTTCCCAGTCGCCTACGTGGTTGCCTTTCATCGAGCGTTAGAACTGAGCAGTCTCACGTTAAAGACGAAGGGGAGGATAAGTACCAAAGTTCAGTTTGCTCCATCCTAGTACTTCGCCGCCATAATTGTAGGCGTAGAAGTACATGTAGAAAGCATCAACGTTGCCATTCCCCTTGTCATTCACAATTATGGCGGCTGTGGTCGCTCCTTCGGTCTTGCCCTGCGCGTTGGGTTTTGTGCCCTTGATCCATGTGGGATCTTTGGTCACGTCATCGTTGGATGTGAGCCAGACATCGCTGCCCATCTGATCGAGGTTGGAAGTAGTCAAGGGCTTTGAAGGACCGGGGACTTCGTTGAAATTCACGCGCGGAGTCGTGTGATCCAGAAATGTCTGTATATCGGTGGGGTAGTAGGCGTCCTTTGAGTGAATGTAGACGATGGGCGCTAATGATGACTTAGTCGAGTTCAATATACGATAACAGACGACGAAGCGAGAGTAAGTATCACTGCTTACCATATTTGAGCACATAGTCGGGAACGCCATTTGGCGTCTGCCTTTCGTCGAGTGCGAGCGGCGCGCAGCTGACCAAAGATACGGCCATGGTAGCCAACGCAAGGAGCGGTTTGAAAGCCATCGTGTCGTCTTTGTATATTCAACGAAGGCAGTAGTTGTCAATGGGATCTGTGTCGGTTTGCGCACGATCAAAAGCCACTTGCTGGATCACTCCTTCTTTTATACAAACGCCTACGCCCAGCTGACTACCGAGTCACCCCCTTCACATCCGCATCAGACGAACGGTTTACCCACCCATTCTCCTCCACCAAACCCCAGGCGCTAGCGACATTCCGTCTATGCATGGCAGACATACTCGTACTAATTCGCCTGTGTACCCAAGCAATAATCAGCTGCCCACGCCAATAGTCGGGGAGGCCGGTACACGTGCGAACACATTTGATGGGTGACCAAAAGCAAGCGTTCGGTTCGATTGGATTTGACAGCGGGTGTGGCTTGGATGATTGGTTGTCGAGCGCTAGGGCCCTGATAGCGAGCCGGATGTGGCGATCCGCGCCAGAGGGATGTGCCGACATTGATAGGGTGAAGGCTAAAGTGATCCACGTCTGAAACATGGCGATGCTGAGCATGCACATGCGATAAGTTACAATGGATGAGCTGATGCAGGGGCTGTAAAAAGGTACTGGGTAGTATTGCCTGCCGTGCTTGGCAGGATTACACGCGCGTAGGTCATGTCTAGCTCCATCGCTCGCACTTTACAGCCAATTCCTAGAATACAAAGGTTCGCGCAAACTTGCGATCCATCTCCTCATACTCCTCCTTGAGCATCTTACTTCTTAGCTTGTTCAGCCGAAGGATAACACCCTCTTCTTCACCCTCCAGGTTCTCTACATCCTCATCCAGGGCCTTGGTGCCCTTGACCTTCCACACCAGCCCCTTCAGACCTCCGCTCTTTGCCTGATCCCGCTTCTCGCGGGCTTCAGCAGCTAAGTAAGTCATGATCTTCCCCCACGATTCGAGACCAACCTCCTCGCACTTTTCGCACTTCTTGCGGATTTCGTCGTTGGCGCGTATGGGTTCGAGTGATTGCGCGAGCTTGGAGGTAGAGACACCATCGCGCACCCATGAGAGGCCCTGTTGGCGTTGACTAGATGAGCTGCCGGCTGTCGCGAAAAGGATCTCGCCAATGTAGTTCTTCAAGGCGGCTTCTTCGCAGCGGTCGCTTTCTTTGCGGAGGAGTGGTTCGTCGCCAGAGGGTGGCACCTCTGGATAGTCGGGTTCACGCAGCAAGCTGAACAGAGTACCGACGAGAGTAGAATCTTTTTGTGCCGGCACCACAGGGATATGCGCCTCTTGGGCTTCGATACGAGCACGAAGCAGCGAGACGAAAATTGGGAGTGCGGATGAGACTCTTCGTTGTTCCGCTAGGAAGGTAGCCAGGTTTGTCGCCGCGTAGAGGATGTTCGGTGTTATTGCTTCCTTGGGTGCCGTAGACGACAGAATGGCACTGTCTCGGTCGATGACTGTCGAAGGCTCGGGCGTGGGTAGGCCCGCAATGGCAATGTCAAGTGCCCATCTATACATTTCCTCCGCCGAGTCTGGGAGCTTTCTAAAGTTGAGCCAGTCGGCATAGCTCAACGCAGCGGACAGCCGTTGATATGTTGTAAACCCCTTGGACGTGATGATCTTGAGGTAGAACGTCTCTGGTGCTTCCGCTGCGGGAAAGCGATGCTCCTCATCTGGTGGTTCGGGCATGCCAGGAAGAACGGCTTTCGGTCGTGGATTCGAGGGCGATTGAATGAATTCCGGCGCCCACACATTTCTCCTCCACTTGTCCGTCACCCATCCATCTAACCTTTCTGCAGCATTGCCCATGCCCATCAAGACTTCGTAGTACCCTTGTCGCCACTCCTCGCTTTTGGCCGTCAGATCGAAGCCTGCCTTGCCTACGCCGGGCACCAAGATCCCTCCCTCTTCCTGTTCAGATAGACCCGCGCCATCCTTGTTCGGGTGTTCCAATCGATTCAGCGCATATTCCAGCTCTGAGTAGACCCGTGCCCAGTTGGGGAAACCCTCTTCCTCGTTGTTTTCGGGCACCTGCCACCACCTTCCTCTCCGGAACCTGAATCTCGTAATCAGACTCCACTCATGCGGCGACGGAAACGCCCGCTCTTGCTGCTCGCTCAATATCCCCAGACTTGCGATACTAACGCATGATGACAGGAGGAAGATGAGGATGCTGTATCGCACACTCAGTTTCGCCGTCTCTTTTATGAATTTCTTGTGGTTGGCACTAATGGAGAACAGGCGTTGCAGTTGGCCATTAGAGAGGTGTTGGCCCGAGGGATATAGAAACGGTAGCTGTGGCCGGGGCGAGCCTTGGTGCGCAACGAGGAATTGGCGGGGATGCTTGTTCGAAAACTGGCGTGGGCGTGGACGGTCGGATGTGCGCGTTGTCGGAGGCCTCAGCGAGCCGTGTGGAAGCTTTGGTCGATGCGCCGGAGGCCGCATTATGCTTTGCGACTGCAATTCTGTCGCTTGAGGGGTGTATCGATGCCGTAGTTCACGCGCCAAGACAACATTACGTGACCGCCCGGCAGAAAAAGTTCAGGATCTCCATTCTCGTTTCGCGACGCTCCTACAGATCAACACCATTTTTGCGCGCCCACCATGTCCAAATCTAAAATTGACACCCCCGAGAAGAAGCGCAAGCGCGATGCCGAGGCTGCAGAGGACGCGCCGAAGAAGTCCAAAAAATCCAAGAAAACCGACAATGTCCAAGATGCGCCTGCAGTCGAAGCGACCGAGGTGAAGAAGGAAAAGAAAGACAAAAAGGACAAGAAGTCCAAGAAGTCCAAGGGCAATGTCGACACATCGGCTATCGAGGACGCCTTAGAAGACGCAAAGAAGGAGAAGAAGGAAAAGAAATCCAAAAAGTCCAAAAAGTCCAAGGATGCGGGTGTCTCTGAAGACGCGCAAGAGGCTGATCTTATCGATGAGATGAAGTCGTCGGAGAACTTTATCAGCGTCAACGACGACGAGCCAATGCCCGATGCCGCCGATGACGCGCCTGCGAAGAAGGAAAAGAAGTCCAAGAAAGAGAAGAAGGACAAGAAGTCGAAGAAGAGCAAAAACTCTGCCGCATCTGAGGACACACCTATGGAAGACGCGGCTGAGGAACAGAACGGCGTAGCTGAAGACACACCAGCAGAGACAAACGGCACAGAATCTGACTCCAAGGCTGCTAAGAAGGAGAAGAAGAAAGAGAAGAAGGAGAAGAAGGATAAAAAAGAGAAGAAGGCAAAGAAGGCGGCAGAGGCAGCAACCGACGGGGAAACCTCTACTGAGGAGCCCAAAGCCGAGACCAACGGTGAAGCCTCTGCAGAGGACGCAGATGCAGACGTCGAAGGTGGCGCTGAAGTAGAGGTAGAGGGAGAGGAAGCCCAAGCGGCAGTCGAGGCTAACAAGGGCCGCTTCATTGTCTTCGTCGGTACGTCTCCTGCACATCTCGAGCTGTCATACCCATCTAATACATATCTTTAGGCAACCTTCCCTACAGCGCTACGAAAGAGCAAATCGAGAAGCATTTCGAAAAAATCAAGCCGACCGACATCCGTCTCCGTACATACAAGGGCACTGAGAAGTTCATGGGCACCTGCTTCATCGAATTCGACCGCTACGACCGTATGGTGACGTGTTTGAAGAAGTACCACCACTCCGTCTTCGCCGACCCCAAGAAGAAGGAGGGCAGGAAGATCAACGTTGAGCTGAGGTAAGATTTTTACACTTCTGGTCGTCTACGCGCATCACTGGTCCCGTACCACCCAGATTACCACCCAATACAAAGCGAGAGAGTACACACTAACACCACCCAACAGCGCAGGAGGCGGCGGCAACAGCGAAGCCCGCAAGTCCAAAATTTCCGCCAAGAACGAGAAGCTACACGACGAGCGTGCCCGCGACCGCGTCAAGAAGACGGAAGTCGAAATGAAGCAGAGCGAGCGCAAGCAGAAGAAGGAGGCCAAGTCAGGCAAGAAGGGCGGTGACGACGCTGAGGCTGGAGAAGAGGCTGCTGAGGCAGACGAGCCCGACGAGGCTGCTACGTTTGGCATGAACCCTGCGCGTTTGGCTATGATGCAGGGTCCTGAGCGACCGCAGCATAGGTCGAGATATTGAGGGCTGGATTTACAGTGAAGAGGGCGATAATGTACGAGATGATTTGCTGCAATTTATCCGTTGGTTATATGAGCGGACTTGTACGTGATTTGGGGTTCACCATCTGGCCTCATCTCAGGATACCACAGCTTTAGAGCTTTGACATTACCGAAGTTAGCAGTTTGGAATCTGTCTCTTTGCGCTCTCCTTTGCCAAAATATGTTTATTGTTATGGATGCAGCTCTATCGCTGGGTAAGATGGCAGTCTAAGGAGTGACTCAAGAATCGAAATGGGTCATGAATTTACGCGCTTAAACATTGTCCCTGCACAAAGAGTGTACCGCAGTTGGAGCTTGCGTCGCAATCAGTCAAGTTCATCAGTCCTGCTAGCTGCAGTGGTAGTTTCCTTCATGCGCGAAAGATCAGGGCTTAGTAGCCGTCACCATAGCCGCCCTTGGACGTTGTGCAGATCGTGGTGGTGCCAGTGGTAATGTACGTGGTCGGCTTCTTCGCAGTCTCTGTGACGACAGACCCGGTAGTCTTTGAGCTCGTGATGGTCTCCTTAGCAGTGGAGACGCTGGTCTTGTAGGAGGTTCCGGTGGAGCTGTATGGGTGTTAGCTGGAAGAACATTTCGAGCAATCGCAGTCGTATACTCACACAACTGGCACGGTCTCAACCTTGGTAGCGGACTTCACTTCGCTCTCTACCTTGGTGTTGTATATGGTGGTCACAGTCGAGTAGGTCTTGGTAGTGAGGTAGGTAGTGAGCTGCGTGACCGTCTTGGTGCTGGTGCCAGTAGTAGTGTATGGACAAGGTGTTGTGACGGTCGAGAGCTTCTCAGTGACAGTGGTGACGGGAATGACCACAGTCTTGGTAGACAGATAGGTGGTCTTGCCCTCCCCAACGCTGGAGCTGACGTATGTGGCTGGAAACAGTCAATCCAAGATCACAGGCAGCTATACGTAAACACTTACACGGAGTGCAGATTGTTGTCTCTTTGGGAGGAGGCACAGATGAAGTCTTTGGAGGGGGCACGTATGCGCTGGAAGAAGACTTGGGAGGCACTGCGGAGTAACCGGGGAAAGCAGCAGCGAGAGAAGCTGAAGCAACGAGCGCGAAGAGATTTTGGAAGAGCATCTTGAGCTAAAGATTTGAGTGATCGAGAGTGGAGGGAGAACAATTGACGATTGATTTGGACTTGTAGCGAAAGAGTATCAACTAGACTGTTGCAGACTGTGAAGGCTGATGATGCTTTCAAAGCGCGACTATAGGGTTACTTTATACTCGAGCCTAGCTTCTCAACATACACATTACCAGCGCATCGTTGTCATCTTGTGCGGAGAAACGAGGCAGAGTCGTTCTCTGTTGGCCCGGATGATCGACAAAGCGATCCGTAGTACCTTGCACATCTCGCACGATGGCTTAGAAGAAGATACACCGCAGGCCTCGTACAGCAGGTAGAGTATCAAATGACAAAAATAGGTCAAGCATGTCGATGCGGGCCCAGATCAAGTCGTCCCATGGAAGCATGCATGCATGCAGTCGCCACGCTACCAGTATCCATGAGTCCACCAGTCTAATGACTAATGAAGGAAAAGCATCTAGTATGCGTACGCAAGCCATGAAAAGCGATAGGTGGGGGGTAGACTATGAGCCAACCGGACCTTCTGGTGTGGAGAAGAGAATGGGGAGTGCACTTGGCAAGCGTCTTTGTCTCGTGGAGTTGATGATGACCGAGAAACGTTAATCGTCGATACCAACGACTCGGGTAGCTGACGAGCTTCTCCATGAATTGGAAGTACGAGATAATACTCAGCTGTGCGTCAAGGATCTCTACGCAGAAGCACGTGTCGAATGAACGTACTGTACGTCACGCACGTTTGTCCGCCAAGTACCCTGGTGGTTCCAAGTAGGAATCCCAGGAACCCGGAAACTTCTCAAGTGGCGAAATGACGGGGAAGCGTAAGCTGAGTGTATTGATGGGAAACTAACAGCTAGTCGTCGGGTGTACCTGACGATGATCACTGCATACTGCAGGTTGATATTGGGTCCTCTTCTGCCTAGTTTTAGTGAGGGGAAAGATGCACAATACGAGGGACGTGCGGCTGGAGCAATCAGCAGCTGTTGCTTGAAGGCGTCATTCGCAATATATGCATCTGATCGAGCACTTTGTCATGGCGAAAGCTTGTTTGTACATGACAGGGAAATGATGCGGTGGGTGAAGAGGGGTTCAGCCATTGTGGGGAATCTGGGCGCACGGCCCGAGACCCACCGGCGGCGGCTTCTATCGCAACTTTTCTGTGACGGGCTGACGAAGATGTTTGCCCGGCCATTGCCTTCTCACGCCACACTTTTGGCTAATAACACACTCGTTCCGGGTAGTTCCACGACGCCGCCTCGACTGTACGACTCTCGGCACGCCCAAATTCTCTTCCTCTGTCAGCAGAGACACGCTCGGGGGTCCGCAACGTCCGCAACGAATTCGGCATGCAACGCTAGTCCTGCAGTCACCCGACAGATTACCCCAGAATAATTGCAGTACGGCTCGAGGGTTTTATGGAAGCTGTTCAGAAGATTCCGATCTTGCGAATGATGTCCCGTCCAACGGCAGCGCCGGTCAACCCCCCTCTACGGCCGGCTGAAAGCACATACGAAGGCACGCCCATTACGTCTTCACGATCATTGCGCCAGCTTTCGATATACTTCCTCGGAAGCGCCTGCTTACTGGCTTCGACTGCAATAACGCGCAAGGCCGTATGGAGGCGGCAGCTCCGTGTCAAGCCAAAGTTTTACGAAGCGAACACAAATCCGCACGAATACTTCAGTCCCTTCTCAGATGCCTGCCAGGCTCTGAACCTGGCCACGATGAACTGCGCCAGTGTTGGGATCATGGCGCTGGGTGGCGCTATGTGGACCTTTGATATTGCGAATCTGAGAGAAGCTCGCGCAGCTCTACGAGGCCGCTTGAACTACGATCGGATATACCAGTCCGAGGATGATGTACCGAATACCATCAGCGAGATGATAGCAGCATCCGGTCAGATGCGAATAATAGAGGAGGACGAGAGGGACGGTTCAGACAAGAACCAATAACGACCGTTAACGTGTACAAGTACGACTGTAAGATTAGTGTATACAACAGGAAGGCTGAGTGCATAGTAGCTGCATATGGTAGCACAAGCACGGCGGGCTCTGAATGCCTCATCGGAGCGACATTTGCAATCGAGGCACATCATTCTGCGCCCACTGGTACAACCCCGCCTCTATGTCAAGTCGAGACCCTCAACACTGTCGATGTGTCGTAGATTATGTAGGCTACCTGATGCTAATGCACCATGTGCAGAACGCCTCACCAGAATGTTGAGAACGACGGCGTTGTCCTCCGATCGATTGCATCAGAGCCACGCGCTTGACAATTCGATGGGAAGCCTCGAGTATTGAACTAGTTCGCTACGCTTTTTGGTACGTTCCAAAGTTAGTTGGAACGGCTACCCGGAAGTGTCCCACAACATAAGCTGAGTGCAATGTCTATGATCGGCGTCTCACCGCGACAACGTCTAGTTTCAATCATGCCTCAGCTAAAAACTGGTTGTGATGGGCAGCTACAACACGGCGTTGGGACACATACTATCTGGCCGCAGCGTGGTCTGACATCACGTCGATGTTCAGGGCCGCACTGGTGGTTAAGGTCCCTCTACCGACGGCATCTCTTCAATACTAGATGGAACCAGTAGTGCTGCTGCAAACGAAGATATAAATGCAGATGTCCAGGGAGCCTCCAATGCTACATACACAGCCAGCGACTTGAATGATACCCATCTTCACGACATACGTCATAAGCTCATAATGAAGAATAGTACTCTATGCAAGGCGTTTTCACTGTACATACGCAGCATAAGCCTACAAAGCCCACTTTTTCACAACGCTTCATAGCCTTGGCACTAAACAATGCTTCGCCTCGACATTGATTCCCAAACCTGGTCTCATGCCACGAACTGGACATATACCGTTCAGTATGTCACACTGCAGTAGTACCAACGTACAAGGTTTCGAGGGCTCAGCAAACCTCCAAATGCGACAGCTGTCTTGCAAATGATCCGTTGCTTTGGCGTTCTCTCCACCCTACTTCGCCCCATCCTCTACCTTTACACCTTTCTGCCCATCCCTATTCGCCCTCCAAACTCCCTCCCCACCTTCAAACCTCTCTAGCTTCCATATCTCGGCCCTGTCCTTCGTCTCTTCCAATGCCTCCTCACCCGCTCTCCAAGCTGCCTGTCGATGTGGTGCTGAGACCGCAATAACAATACTCTCTTCCCCAATCGGGCATTCGCCCAGCTTGTGAACGATGGCAACCTTGGTGCATGCGTGTTTTGTGAGAATAGAGGTAGCGATCTTGAACAGAGTTGAAATGGCAAGAGGGGCATAGGAAGTGTAGGCTAAAGACGAAACAGGCTCGTTGTTGAAAGAGTCGCGCGTTGTGCCTATGAACAAGACTGTTGCACCCGCTGATGGGGATCGGACGAATTTGGTTGCTGACAGGGAGTCTAGGTCGTGCGGGGTGAGTTCGACATGGATGGTGTCCGTGGTTTTGGTAACAGGGTCCGAGGGAATGTCCGGGTTGTAGGATTGTGATTCTGTAGTTGCCATGCTGGTGGTGACGCAAACTTCTTGTATTTGGCTGCTGTACGATAAGCTGATGCCCCAGAAATAATACGTACGTGGATCAGAACATGGAAGGGACGGTTTCCGCCATCGTCGGCGCCCTTCAGCATTGTGAATACATTTTCAGCTAGAAAACTTACTGTTATGCACTCGGGAAAGGGCAGCGGGTTCGAATAATTGTCCAATTCTCTAAAGTTTGAGTAATGCCTGTTCTTCCGAGTTCTTGTTGGTGAAATGTCGAAGATGCCGTCATAGCAGCGCGGGACATTGCTTTAGCGCCGATCAACGACGTGCACCTCACACGTGGAGCGTTAACTCCGGCCCCGCCCCTACCATAGCTCTAGTTCGCGTCGAACCACTGACCCTGACCAAGTCCAAGCCAAGTAGTACTCGAGAACGCCTCGCTGCCTGACACCTTACTGCCTTGTTTCTCTGACCAAACATTCGCGCGACGTACACGACCGATACCTGGACCCTTCGACCAGCGCTAGCATCAGTCGCTACATTACTTGCTTCGACGCGCCGTGCCAATCAACAACTCCTCGACCAAGCGCTCCCGACACATATACTAAACCGATCACCTTCTACAATCGAACGTCGATCCGCTCAACGCATATGTACATGGCGAGGGATGGTCTACAACACCACATAACACGTAACCCAAGATGAGTGGGGACTGGGGGTATGGAGCCGTATTCAAGATATTCCTATGGGGCTACCTCGTCGGAGGGTTGACGCTCCTGCCCGCTGTACTCGTAGCCGCATGGTTCTTGGGAACCAGAGCCACGGAACAAGACAGCCACAACATCAACACTGTAGGTGACGGGGCAACTCCAGAACAGCGCAGGAAGTCGGACACATCCGCAAACGGGAAGAATGATGACAACGTACAAGTCGGAGTGGGAATAGATGACGAGATACTGGAGAAGTTGAAGGGGAGGACTCACGAGCCGGATGCCTGTGCTGGATACTTTGCGGTGTGCCGAGAGTATGTGCCAGGCGGCGTCAACGGCAAACCTCCGGATCGAACGACGCCGGCCGGCGCTGTAGTAGCTGTGGAGAGCCCGAGCGTGTACCAGTCTATGTACAGAAGCATCTTTGACAGGAACAAGAACGCGAGTCCCACGATAGAAGCATCAAACGCGAAGAACAAGAAGGCCCGGAACGTCTTTTACGTCGTCTTGCGGTATGTCTATATATCTCAAGTACATGAAGTCAAACTAAATCCAGACCAGTCTCGGCCACCTTATGCTGTACGACAACGAAGATCAGCTCGAAGTACGCCATGTCATATCGCTCGCCCATTACAAAGTAGACATATATGGGGGTGGAGAACGCATACCGGAGGGCGAGCTTTGGATCAAGAGGAACTGTATGCTAAGATTCAAGCGCCTGATGTGCTTCCCTAGTGCTTACAGATACAGGTATTCGATTGGTTCAGCAGGTGGACAGCAACAGCAATGTCGACGCGAAAGGCTTCTATCTCTTCTCAGACAACTGTTCCGAGAAGGAAGATTTTTACCACGCAATGTTGCACGCCCAAGAGAACCAGAAAGACCCCACCGATACAGGCTCGCCGTCCGTTCCGCTCAAGTTCGATACACCTGATCTTGTCAAGCTAGTCCAGCAACTGCATGCTTCGGAGGAGAACCTACACACTCGCTGGATCAATGCGCTGATTGGCAGGGTGTTTCTCGCTCTATACAAGACCTCGCAAGTCAAAGACTTTATCGCGAGTAAGATCAACAAGAAAATAGCCCGCGTACCCAAGCCTGCCATCATCAGCAGCGTACAGCTACGCAAGGTCGACATGGGTACCTCGCCCCCCTTCATCACGAACCCCAAGCTCAAAGAGCTGACTGTCGATGGCGATCTCGTTGTGGAGGCTGATGTTAGCTACAAGGGCAGCTTTCGTATCGAGATATCAGCTACCGTACGAATCGACCTGGGCACTCGGTTCAAAGCCCGCGAGGTGACACTTGTGTTGGCTGCCGTGTTGAAGAGGCTTGATGGACATATTCTCATCAGAGTCAAGCCCCCGCCTAGTAATAGACTCTGGATGACCTTTGAGGCGCCCCCCAAGATGGAGTTCTCGCTTGAGCCAATCGTCAGTTCGCGTCAAATCACATATGGCGTTGTTCTCAGGGCCATCGAGAATCGCATTCGAGAAGTAGTGAACGAAACGTTGGTGTTGCCCAACTGGGATGATATGCCATTCACCGACACTATCGCGCAGATCATAAGAGGCGGAATCTGGGAAGATAGCGCAAAGGACGATGAAGAAGACGCAGACAAGATTAAGCAAGACGAAGCCACACTGGAGAGTGCGATTTCGGACGCTGAGAAGCTTGATGAAAAGGCTGATGCGGCAAGTGCGCACTTCTCCATCGCCTCGAGCGTTGATTCAGAAGAAATCGGCACTGGTGTATCTACTTCGACGGACCACAAGTCATCCTCGGCGTCAATAAGGCCCCGCGCAATGCGGTCGTCGTCATCCGCAGCCCAAGTGAGGATTGACTCGTCGAATGCTTCTGCTGAGATGTCAAACGACCGCATCATGACGCCTACAAGTGTCAAATCGCTTCCTGTCGCATCGCCTATGCAGTCGCCAATGCGGCCTGGCAACGCACGCCAAACGACGGAATCATCCGAGAGCTCGTCGGAAGACACTTCTGCTGCTTCGATTTACGCAGCGAGCACTGCCTCCGCACCAGTCCCGAACACAGATCACTCACGCACCAAGTCGAGAGAGCTATCTGCACAGGAAATTGCCGCTGCCGCCGCCGCAGCAGCAGGAGCAAGCAACATGGCGACAAAGAAACAGACCATCAACCAATCCCTCAACTCTGCCACAGCAGCAGCCAGGAACTGGCTCGCAGCCAAGCAAAACGCAAAGCCCAATACCAGTACCACCAACAGACCACCAACATCCGAGGGCCCGAGCATAGATCAAGACTCATCGTCGTCGTCATCTCTGGACCCTCGTCCACAACTCCACTCCAATCCCTCCATCTCGAAATCCCACTCCGAACCCATGGGCCGAGGCCAACCCCTCCCTCCCCCAGGCACACCTCTACCGCACCCCAAGAACGAAAAACGACAAACTTGGGCCATCCCCGCCGCAGCCTCTTCCACATTTGCGAATCTTACGAAACGCAAACCCGTCGTCCCTGCTCCCAGCTCACCCGCCGTCTCCACTAAACACTCAGTTGAAGATCCCATCGACAGCCCGAAAACAGCACTAGGCACAGCTTCCCTCTTGCCCGCCGCACACTTCCCAGATCAAGACGCAAGGACGGGAGGCGGCGGAGATGACAACGACGGGGAAGATGTGTTTCGGGAGATGCGGCGGAGGAAGAGCAGTGCTGCTAGCGCTGGTACTGCGAATACTGCAAGTGAGCTCGCGACGCCGCCGCCGCCGTTGCCCAAACGTAGACAGAGACAGCCGAGTCTGAATCTGAGTGCGCATACGAGGCGGGCAAGTCAGAATCAGAACTTGCCGCAGCTTGGTGGGGAGGGCGAGGGGTTGCTGGTTGTGGAGGCGCCGGTCGTGGAGGGCAGTGGGGGAAGGGACGATGAGGGGAGTAGGGAGAGGGGTGTTACCTGAGGAGTGTACTTTTGAGGTAGTTCATCAACATCATTCTCAGCACGAAGGCAAAGTCATGCAACAATCCCAACTGAAAGCATGCTAATAGCTTGTGTAATATCTCTTTTGGCCTATCTGGTTGACAGCCTTTTCTTGGGGGTATAAATTTTCATCTTAGGAGCTCGTTATCCGAACTCAGCCCATTTTCGCGTTTGAAAAGTCCATCTCGGGATGCTGCTTCTTGAACTGCTCCAGGATATCCGCCTTCTTCTGCTCGTCACTCGTGGGCTTTCCTTGTTCCTTCTGCCTCTGGTCAAACATCATCTTCTCCACCATGCCCCGTGTCTCTCCGTCGAGGTCGCCCAGTTTGCTGTTCTCGGGCTGGATCTTGGAGGTGTCGATCTTGGGCGCTGTGGTAACGACGTGGGCCCACCACTCCATCTGGTTCACTTTGTCGAGGTGGATGGAGATCTCTTTCTGGGATCCGACGGAGGTCAGTGTCCAGGTGGAGTCGTCGACGCGTATGGCATGAGGCAGCTCGCCCTGAACAAAGCGTTAGCACATGCTTTTGCTGGAGGGAAAGAAGCAAGAACGAACGTCGATGAAAGGCTCCTGGCCCTTGATGCCGGCCTTGAGCGCGTTGCGGGTAATCTTGACGTCCAGGTCCTTGCCCTTGTACTTGCCATCAATGGTGATGGCGATGTCCAGGTCCTTGATGGTCTGGTCCCATTTGTAGGGCAGGGCGGCCTGCTCGGCCTGCTCCTTTGCGCGGACCTCGGCGTCGGCCTTCTCACGCTCTTCAGGTGGGGGTGAGGCAGACATGGCGGCGTGTTTGGCGGCGTGTTGGTAAAAGTTTCAGTGTTTGGGAGGGGAGCGTGGGCGGGACACGATGACGCTCCTCCGCCGATCCATCGTTCGCAGCAAGCCCGACGCAAGCGCAAGCTCCACCATGCGCCCTGCTTCACTCCTCCTACCCCGGTCCACTCTAATAACGGACATGCTCCTCGGATTGCAATCTACGGGCTAACCTCACCTCTATTGATAACGCGACGTCTCCTATCCTTCCACCGCGCCGTAATGCTCCCCTAGCACCGCCCGAGCCATTGCGACACCAAGCCACGACACCCGCACCCACCGGTAGCACGACGGCTACACGGCAACACCGAGCCCGCGGCCCAACCGGGCAGCCACCTGTCTGAGCGACAGGATCCGTAGCAACTCATGGCCAGCTCCTTTGAGAAGAGTGTCAAGGGCGGCACCAAGATCAAGGTAGCTATGCGCCCTCGCTCCCTCCGGCTGCTCCCCATGCGCCATCACGGTGGACTAACACACGATATAGCTCGCAGCGCCCAAATCCAAGTATGTCGAGCACATCCTTGTCGCGACGCATGCCGGCGAGGCAGGCGTTGCTGAGATCTTCCGCGCCCTCACGAACCGACTGCGCGACTCGACATGGACCATCGTATTCAAGAGCTTGATCATCGTACATCTCATGATAAGAGAAGGAGAGCCCGAGGTCACGCTCAAATACCTGGCGCAGAACCCACACAGAAAGCTGGCCATCAACCATTTTACAGAGGGTACGTCTTGAGATTCAGTTCCGAGCCGCGCAGCCAGGGTGATGTGGCTACAACGCGGATACGAATTGGGCAGCAACCGAATCGCCCAATGCCCTGTATCTTGAGACGGATGTCATTTGGATTGCAACAGAGGGTATACACCAGGCGCTAACATTGCGTGTAATAGTACAGACCCAGGGCCACAATATCCGGACCTATTCCGAATATCTCCTACGACGTGCGATCGAATATGGCGCCACCAAGGTCGACTACGTGCGCGGCGGCGAGGGGCGGCTTAAGCGGTTGACTGTGGAAAAAGGCCTTCTTCGTGAAGCAGAGAGTGTGCAGGACCAGATCAGATCACTGCTCAAGTGCCAACCCTTCGACGACGAGCCAGAGAACGAGATTACCATGACAGCGTTCCGACTGCTCACGATGGATCTGTTGGTACTCTTCCATGTTATGAACGAGGGCACCATCAATATTCTCGGTGAGTCCAATACGTGTTCCTGGGTTGCAGTGTATTGATAAAGTAGAGCACTATTTCGAGCTGTCAAAGCCAGACGCAACGCGCGCTCTGGCAGTATACCGCACATTCGTCAAGCAGACTGAAGCTGTCGTTCAATACCTTAGTCTTGCAAGAGCACACGAGCACTCGACAAGGCTGGAAATCCCCAAGATCAAACATGCTCCTACCAGTCTGGCAGCATCCCTGGAAGAATACCTCAACGACAAGGACTTCGAGATCAACCGACGACAGTACATTGCCGAGAAGGAGGCTAAGAAGAACGGGGGCAAGCCTACGAATGGCGCTAGCAAACCCTTGGATACGAAGCCTTCAACGGCGAATGCACCTTCAAACAATACGAGCAATCAACAGCCAGCAGCAGCCTCGAAACCCTCCTCCAGCGCACCCTTGATTGACCTCTTTGCATCGCTCGAGGACAATCAACAGACCATGGCCACGCAGCCCATGATGCAGCAATACCCCCAACAGACAGGCTTCCAGGTTCCACAACAGACGGGCTTTCCTCAACAACAGCAACAGCCCTTTGCTATGCAGAATGGCCAGAGCACCAATCCGTTCCAGATGCAGCAGCCACAGGCGCCACAGATGCAGGCTCCTCAGCTCCAGTCACAATTCACAGGCGCAGGATTTGGAGGTTATTCGCCTCAACCGTTTGGTGTACAGAATACCATGCCCTCAATACCACAGAATGGTATGCCTGATTACTCACAACAGCAGCAAATGCAAATTCCTACAATTGCCGAACCCCTACAACCACAACAAACGTCAACAAACCCATTCCGACAGTCAATGCTGCCCAGTGCCGAACCCAAGATGCTCACTAGCCCTACCAGCACTGGATCGCTTAATCGGTCATCCACGAACCCATTCGCAAAACAAAGTACCGGTTTCTCGCAACAGTCGCAATCACCTATCAATTCTCCGCCTTATTCCATGTCACCCATCCAAGAATCACCATTTGCTCCGATGCAGCAGCCTTTACAGCCAACACCAACCGGCACAAATCCATTTGCACGGCAGCCCTCGCCGCAGAGTGCCGCATCCCCACAGGGCGGCCTGACAGTGAACGCTACAGGCAGTACCAATCCTTTCCGGCAGAGCGCTTTTGTCAACCAGCAAACGGGTCAGGGTTGGCAGAACACAGGTAGCCAAGGGACGATGGGTGGAATGAGCCTGGATCAGGTACCTACAACGAGTGTCTTTCCACGGCCTGGACAGCAACAGCAGCAAAATTTTCTTGGCTAGGATCAAGACATAATGATGGGTCAATGGTAGATTGCGACTGTAAGAAGCTCGAAAGGCAAATTATACACTCGCAAACGGGCAATTTCATTAAGGATGGCGTTTCTATATCGCTCGCCGCTGTAGTTATTACGTACTCGGTTGGACATAATCATGTTGCACTACGCAAGGCTAGTTGTGTTTATATCTGTTTCTTGGAAGGGGCGTCGGGAGCCCGCTCAGTGTCGGATGTCTAAGGGCAGACTGGGTTGTTTTGTGATAGATCATGTACCGACGATCTCGTAGTTCGTTGGGCCGCTGGGCTGATGCCCAGGAAGGGAAGCCCCCCGCTAATGCAATATATAATTACTGTCGCACATAACGCGTTGTTCTCCAACTGTGCAGAGCATTAAGCCTTGACTCTGACTTTTGTGTTGGCAACTCTACCTGAGGGGTCGCGTCGAGTGGGGCTAAACAGTCGCCACTGCCTCTTAGGTAGATGCAGGGGTAATACAAGCCACGTGCCGACGCGTTCCGTAGATTTAGCGTGACTGGCACAACTTACCTATCAAGCCTCACAGTCGGCACAACACGATCCACAATCTCACTCACTCAACGCCGCTTGATATATACCACGAATGACCACGGTTTCTGCCATCTCTATCTGGACCCGCCTCTCATGACCTTATTGAAAGAGCGCAAATTTGTCGACTTGCGCTGGCAAGCCCGCACCAGCGATATCAACAATGAAACCTGACGGGTCTCTGGATGCTCCCTTCACCCTTGAAGACGATGACCAGCCTAGTTATGTACCTGAGCCTGCAGTGCGCCGGCGCCATCGCCAAACGCTTGACCAAGATGGGCTTGAGGAGATCTCCGACGCGCAGCAAGCCGCAGCTGCATGGAAGGAAGTCGCCGTGCGGAGACAAACGAAACAAAGACAGGGGAAAAACTTGAGCGATGATACGTCTGGAGGAGATAATAGTGCGAAGGATAGCAAGCTCACAGACAAACCGCGAGACCGGACGTCGTCGTCCACGAAGTCTGTTGATATTGTTGATCTTTTAATCGATGAAGACGAACCGCCAGTATCCGGACAGGCAAAACAACCAGGCGCAAGTGCTAGAGTAAATCAGCCTCCAATTCAGGCACCACCGGCTCCTGTGTCTTCGACTACTACCCTTCACGAAGCTGTGCTTCCTGAGCGAGCTAAGCCTGCTGAGTCCCCTAAGAAAACGAGTCGGATATCCTCTCTCCCTATGGAGTCTCTAGCAACTCCGGTGTATAACTCTCATCATCCGCCTCTATCATCGGTTGCACGAACAGCGGGGCCATTCACGGGACTCCCAGAGCCATCAACAACGTCGTCTTATCACTCACACTTTGTGCCTCGTCCATCAGTGGCGCAAGTTACAGAACCAAATACGGAGCTTTTCAGGGAATCTTCAGCATCTCCAGTCTACCAACCACATTACCTGCCTCGGCCATCAGTCGCACAAGGAGCGGGATCATGTGCGGAAGTCTCCGAGGTCGCGCCGCTGAACCGCTCGCCGTCAGCCACATTAACACCCAGGACAGAACCGAGCGTTACCACTCAAGCGATACTGGGACATGAAAATCGTTTCCTTCAGCCTACGTACTGTGCGAAATCGGGCCTCGGAGCCTCAATCGACCGTACAGCACCCATCGTAGGCCATGTCGTGGATCCATCGGCGCAGCCAACCGGTGATGTCTCTGAGACTCCACATGAACAAGCCCCTTTCAGTCGCGTGGATGCAATTCCCGAGTCAGACGATGCAAGATCGGATGGCGATAGCGGCAGCATGACAATCCCTCTGCCTAGGAAGTCGCCCAAGTCGAGCCTTTCGGCACTGCAAAGACTGCCACAGAAACAGAAAGCCATTAAGTCGGTAAGACGAAGAAACTATAGGTTCTCGGGGTCACACCTACCTATTAGACCACCGCATCAGCTTTCGGCTGATCATCGGGACGTAACAAACTCGTTTTTCAAGCCTCGCGACGTGGGCTTGAGCAGGTCAAGGTCTAGGTCGCCTGCGGTAACGCGCCGTAGCCAAAGCAAAACCCCGACGATAGATACTAGTACCATTGCTGATAGCGTGCCTGCGCAGACGGAGGAAGGATCCGTCAGGGCTGCAAGTCCTGTAGAACGCAGCACGACGCCGACACAACCGCCACCACCACTTCACGATGAGGCAGGCGGACCTGCACCTGGGCGTGCCATCAGCTCGACGCCTTTACTGTCCCGTTCTGCCACCCCTACTGCCTTGCGCCCTGTCGAGGCACCATTAGAGCCGATCCGGCCCTCTGCAGCGCCGGTACCGGTCCTCGAAATTATGACCCCAGATATTCCAGCTTCGGCAACAGTCGTCAGTACTCATAAGAATATCCAACCCGAACACCTTGGGGTGCCTGTCGAGAACAACGGCGGTAAATCAAGCAGGAAGCTTTCATTGCAAGCGGATGTGCTCGCCACTACACGCTCAGCTGTAGAAGAGTGTTTGAAACGCCATGTTGCGGAACGCCATGAATTACATGCATACCTGATGGAGACCAAGATGCGGAATCAGAGGACTTTTCAAGAACAAGACCTACGTGCCCGGCCCCGTAAGCAGAAGCGTCCACAACAGCCCACCCTACCCGAAAAGTACATCCAGAAGACTTCGCCCTTTGAGAACATGCGTGCTATACAGGTACCGTTCGACAGAGCCAGCGCCAAGCGCCTCGTGGATATGAGTCAGGAAACATTCATCAAGGCCAAACCCAAGGACACAGTGATCAAGTCAGGCTTAGCCGCACCTACTACAAAGTACAGGAGTGATGCGCCAAAAATTCCTCCTTTCAAAGAGTATGTCAGTCTGAGGAACAACGTTCTTGCGGACAATGAGTCGAAGTTACTCGCAACACCCTATTTCCAGGACGAAGACTATCGCGGCCGCGAGGTTCTGCTGGATACGCTTCCGTATATATACGAGATGACGCATGACGAGAGGGGGCCGCTAGACTTTCGCAAGGAACAGTGCCGGTTCTATGAAAAAGCCATCGAAGCATTTCTGTCTGAGATAGGCATCACGTGGAACGATATCCTGTATTGGTTACTGGCCCAGGAAGAAGACATTTCACGAATTAATAACTCTCTAGATGGCAGCAGGCAGTTTGAAACACAGCTCCTCGAAAGATCACGATATCACGTTGAGGAGTTTGAGAGAGACGGGGAGCCGAAGAAAGCCACCCTGTTTGACCGGAACGATAAGAAGTGGGAAGACTTTGTCGCAAAGCTTGAAGAGCCTATACCGAGTGTTCTGAGACTTGCGGCAACAGCTTCTGCAGCGGTGTTCAAAGAATGCGAGTTCAGCATCTGGTACCTGGCTCAACAGTCCAAAGCTGTACAGAGTCTCATACGGAAGAAGACTGCACATGAGCAGTCTTGCAAGCACTCAACATACAATAAGATCATGTGTAGAGTATGCCATAGGTAAGTACCAATTTGTGGTTTCTGGTGACGCAACCCTAAATTTCTTGACAGACACAATTGCCTTCTCCATGGTGAGATCAGACAAGTTCCTGAGGATTCCTGGAAGACGGACTCGGAAGACGAAGAACGCGCCACACAGGCGACTGATGATACCAGTCGTCGAGGCTCCGACAACAGAACTCCACGCCGTGTATCGAACTTTAGCAGAGACGACACAGACGATGAGAACGAACCCGACGGCCCCTTGCCCGCACATTTTGACTCCGACTCCGACATTGAGAAGGTCATAAACTATAAGCTTCCTACAAATCCAAGAGCTTTCGAAACTTGTTCAGAGACAGAGATGGTCACCCCCAAAGGTGCGAAACCACCACCTGGTAAGTTTAATAGCACTTGGTGGCTGAACCAGGACACAACGCAACATTGGGAGAAGAGGAAGCCTTTTTTCCCATGCAAGCACGAAGGCAGCTGCGAGAACGCGAAATGCCGGTGCTTTAGAGAAGGCATCAATTGTGAGAAAACATGCAAGTGCTCGCACTTCTGCAATCGACGTTATCCTGGTTGCAGTTGTGTAACAGCGTCGGGAAAGCGCGTGTGTCTTACACAGTCATGTCTCTGCGTCAAATTCAACCGAGAGTGCGATGCAGACCTTTGTGGCTCTTGCGGAGCATCTGAAGTCCTTGACCCGGTGAATCGTTATAACGATGAAGTGGTACAACGCAACTGCTGTAATGTTGCGATACAGAGGGGTGTTCCTCGGAAAACATTGCTCGGTCATTCGGAAGTGCATGGCTTTGGGCTCTATATGGGCGAGGACATCAAGAGTGGCGAGTACATTGGTGAATACACCGGTGAGGCCATCTCGGTCAAAGAAGGCGATCGCCGAGTGACGATATACGACTACCAGAAGACGATGTATCTGTTCCGTCTAAACTCGAGTGAGTTTCTATATCACTCTCACACGAATCAGATTGCTAACACCAACATGTAGAGCAAGAAGTTGATGCGACGTACATGGGTAACAAACTACGCTTCATCAACAATGCCGACGACAAGTACACAAACTGCGGCCCTAAAAACCTGCTTTGCAATACAGTCTTTCGCATTGCGCTCTTTGCCACGAGAGACATCAAGGCGGGTACTGAACTGTTCTTCAACTACAATTATCCCAAGGAGAAGACGGAGCAATTCAAACAGCCGAACGCCAAGGTCGTCGCAGTCAAACAGACCAAGCAAAAGACGAAGAAAAGGGAGTCACTCACTAGTCTGAGCCAGCCCATCGAGGACCGCTCACGTATTCTTGCCGCCACAGCAAAAGCCAGAGAGGCAAAAGCCGCGAAGCGGAAAGCGGCCATGCTGCAAGAGGGCGGCGTGGAGCCAGCCACGAGAAGGCGCTCTGGAACACTTCAAGCACGAAAGGCAGCTACGAGCAAACCCGGACGCAAGACAGTGCGAAAGTCCAAGCGCGGAGGGCTCAATAGGAACGAGTCCACAGGTTCAGATACAGGTATGGATGTAGAGGCAAGCGACCCCGAAATCCCCGACATCCCTCCCGTCATTGAGTCGCAGAGCACCCAGACTAGTCTGTACGTCCAGGACACGGAGGCGGAAGACGACGAGTTCATCTTGCCGAATACCCAAGAAGACGAGGAGCAAGATGTGGCTGAGCCGGCCTCCGAGGATGATGAACCGCCCGGTCGATCCACGAGGTCTCGTCGTGGGCCGGGTCGACCACGTAAGAGGGGGTCGGATCTGGCGCCGGTGGTGGCGGTTAAGCAGGCGGTCAAGCAGAAGAAGTCGAAGATGGGTGGTGCACGACCGGGTGCTGGTAGAAAGAGAAAACGACCCGTCATCGCTAACAGCGATAATGAGTGAGACCTCTGCGCCAGTAGTTGGGAATGTACATTACTGGAAGGATGTGAGGGACGACATGAGTGGGATGTCTGTTGGGTGTTCATTTTTGTGTTTAATACCCCATCCTATATTGATTGAAGCAAATTATTACTACAGAAGAGTATTACGTGCCTGTGAAGTTAGCAGTCGACATGCGCAAGACGTGTTGGCACCTTCAACGATGGAAGTCGTATAAACTACTTAAGATACCCTTGCTACTTCACGAGCAGCTGCGACGCAAGCTTTCAGCATCACAACAGGCTCGTAAATCCCCGCAACGCCAAAGCCACCCCATCTCCCACCACGTACCGAACTCCAGTTCCAATCTAGAGGTGCCAGACTAACGGCCGCACCAATCTCCGGGACGCGACCCGCGCAAAGCTGCAAGCCAGTACCGGCGTACTTACCATCTACTCCTAGTGCAACCACACCCAACGATCTGCACAGCGGGGAAAAGAAACGACATTCGTTCGAGACCGAGACTATCGAACGCTTAGGTAGCGGGAGGGGAATAAGCAGCGGAGATGTCATCTAGACGTGCGATTACCGCAGAATAAGCTCAGCGGGAAGAAGCAAAGGTTGGTTTCAATATTCACACGATAGATATATGCCTGCACAACTGTTGAGATCGCGATTGCACTATGCGCACCTCCTATCTATGGCATTCATCATACTCGGGTTACCAAACGCCCCATGCTGTGCGCCTCTTCCGGTGCGGATCGCTGCACCCACGAGATGTGCTACAGGTATGTAGCCAGCCGATGCGTTTAAGGTTTAGAGTGGGGCGGGGAAGGCCTGGCTAGGTGAGATGGGGGTGATGCGACAGGAACGCGTGGAAACGGCAGGATGTCACGGCTGAGGTGTATCTTGTAGGACTTGATATGCAGCGGAGATGCAGTGATTGAAAATGTGTGAGTGGGTGTCGTGTCGCACCTGATTAAGCCCGGTGCAAAGAAGAGTCGGGTAAAGACATAAATGAACATCACGTGGAAGCTCCACCATCATCTGGGCAATGTCTTGAGCACGATGGGCAACTGAACGTATCTTCACCCACAGTCCATGAATCCCCCTTCACATAGGAGTATAGCGCACATACTCTCCGTCCTTGATGTCGTTGAACCGAAAGAACAATACCTACGTCAACAAAACGTCTTTCTTTTTAACCCACCCCTTAGCTCCGATGCGCATCTGAAGCCGAACATGGAAGCTCGAAAATACCCGAGACAGACGCCAAGCTTGCACCAGAAATGGAACCCACCTGCTACATTTAGCCTCTTAGCTCCGCAACCGGTCTCCACCCACTCGTTGCTTCACTAGCGACATGCTCGGCCAACCTTCGCGCCCACGCCGCAGGTCGAGCTGGCTGGTGGGCGTGGTAAGTAGTTCGGCGCGCGTTCCTCTGCTGCTTGAGACGAGCAGTACAAGGAGGATGAATACTACTGTCCATGTGAAAGAAGCAAAAGCGCGGAACAAAGCCCACGGAGACGTTCATTTCCGGCGTCGCGCATGCCGCAACGAGGTCTGGATCCACTCCGTCTGATTGGATGCTGATGTCATTGTACGCGGCTGGAGCGTGCACCCACTTTCACATGTCAGAAGACGGCGCTCACGCATCAGCAGGTAGGTGCGGTGCAGGTGCTGCAACACGGACAACGGCCCCACTGTCTAACTGGCGCAAATGATGGCGCGCTTCACTTGCCCTTCAGCTGGCTTGCGTAACAAAAGCTTGGAGCAAACGTGGGTAGCAAGTAGCAAGCCAATCTGCCAAACCTCACCTGCTTGTCTGTCCGTTCTCCTGAGGCGTCTAGACTCTCTCGTCACTTTTGTCTGAATTATTCCGCGGAAAATTAACTGCAGTAAAGAAGGGGTTTGTGTTGTTGGACTTGGGTATTCTTTCTTGCCGGTATCCGCAGTGTCGCATGCAGCTGGATCTGTTCATCATCCATTCTCAGCCTTACTCCTCATTTCTCACCTGACGTCTTCCCGACTCCGCTTTCCACCACCATCACGCTCACCCACCAACCATCCATCCATCTGGGCACGCTGCCGGCACATCACAACATCCACTTTCAATCACACTTCTCGGTCTTTCTCGACGCACTTCACATCTTCTCGGCCAAATGGATTGTATAGAGGCCATGGGTGCGCGACGTGCCATGTCGCTCATGTTCACCGTTCCGGAGCGCTTCGTCGGCTTCGCACACATGGACCAGAAGACTTTCTTCGAACTCTCGGACTGGATCCTCGCAAACGTCGCATCACAAATTACGACCGACATAAGTGTGGAAGAGTCGCTGTTCATATTCTTGGATATCGTGGCACAGGGGAACAGCTTCAGTACCGTGGCGTATGGATGGGATCATGACCTCGAGCTTACTCAAGGGTACGTGGTCGAAAGAAAACTGTTTGCGTTGTATCGAGGTAGAGACTGACTATCGCGTGTAGCATATTCCTCAATGTCCTCAACGCCCTCACAGTCCTGCGCGAGAGTAGGGAGATTGCCGACTCGTGCCCGCCCTTCACACAAACCCGTAAGCGATGGGAAGTCGCTCGGAGATGGAACCAGAAGCGGGCGCGTATGGGCACCGGCGGTGTCGTCCGCATCGGCTACGACGAAATGTTGCGAGACGGCCTCGAGGTTGACCAAGAGTGTCTGAAAGAGGCGCTGATGGCGATGAACAACTTCATCCACGAGAACGCCGACCACGATGAATCATGATTGCGCACAAAATTGGTAGTTTCCTGCATTTGTTCCGGTGTTGGTTTGGCGTTTGGGTAACGACTTGGTAACGCATTGCATCGGTTGGGAGGGTTGAGCTTGGTGTTGACACAGTCTTCTTTCGTTCTCGTTTCGTATGTACATATGTACGCTCTTTTGCAGGTCGAATTCGATCTCGACTGGCCGTTCGGTGCCGCTCAATTAGCCTTTCCCAGATATGTCGTGCGTCGTGACGTCTTTCATATCGCCCGCTCAACCTAGGGCTACGGCTTCCACCGTGCCCTTGCCCAGGACACTCAGTCTCCCCCTCTTGATTCCCAATGCGTCTTCGATCCTCGCATCAGGTTCTCCCTTGCTTCGTCTCATCATCGCCAATGTTATGACGCCAGCATCCACATACGTTCTTCCCTGAAATCCTCTCCTACCAACGTCTCGCAACTCATCTTCCGCTTGGTCTGCTATCCGTTGTCTCGCCTCTAGTACCCGTAGTACAGGGTTATTGCGTGGGTCAGGAAACGCGGACTGTGGCAGAGATTGCATCATCGTGTCGGAAGGTAGATTCGGTGAGGTATTGCGACGAGGGTCGAATTGCGAGGCAGACGAAGGCGAGAAATGAGGATTCGGTTGAACAGCACCCAGACTGCTCAGGCGAGATGCAAAGGCAGGGTCGCGGGCATCTTGTAAAACAGCTAAACTAGAAATCAATGTCGTGTCCCCATGTGCTGGTTGCGTGTGAATACATACCCTCGGTCTTCTCTCCAGTAGCCTGCACCTCGGGATGGACAGTCGGACCCTTTACAGGATCCTGTGCAGGTGCGGAAGGCGCGGGAGCCCGCGTTGTAGTATTCGTAGGGGCTCTGGTAGGGTATTTACGAGCGGCAGAGCCAGCCACCTTTGCGCCTTTGGAAGCAGAAGAGCCCATTATCTCCGTTGGGAATACGTCGAGTGTGGGGTAGTTGCAGAATGTTGAGATGCGTGGTGATAACGGGGGTGCAGATAAGATGCACGTATGGGACTTTGTGAAGCTTGGACCACTCTGATGATGTAGTGGAGATCTCCCGCGTCATGAAAAGGGTTTACTACTTTGGGCGATGCTTGCGAAGGCTGCAACGAATAGTAATTTCATTTTCAAACACATCGTGACATGCTAAATCTACCAAGGGCTATTCTGGCCTATGGGAGCTTTTCGTCGGCACGGTAGTGTCCTGCGACCAGGAATGCCAACTCCAACGCCTGCTTCTCGTTCAACCTGGGGTCGCAGTATGTGGTATAGTTCAGGCTTAGATCCTCGTCCACAAGTCCTTCACTTCCGCCAGTGCACTCCGTAACTGCATCGCCGGTGAGTTCCAGGTGCATACCACCGAGGAAGGACCCATGCTGCTTGTGGATCTTGAGCGCTGATGAGAGCTCAGAGAAGATGCTGTTGAAAGACCGGGTCTTGATGCCAGTAGGCGTGCTGCGCGTGTTGCTATCGAAACGTTAGTGGATGAAAATATTGCATACTAAGACGACTTACCCGTGCATGGGATCGCACTGCCACACTACAACGTGTCCGCTGCTCTTGACAGCTTCAATATGCGCTCCAAGCATCGACTCAACCTTGTCCGCACCATAGCGCGTGATCAACGTAATCTTGCCAATCTCCTTGTTTGGATTGACAATATCGAGTAGCTCTACCAGCTCGTCGTTCTTCATGGAAGGTCCAACCTTAATACCGATAGGGTTCTCGATACCGCGGAAGTACTCAACGTGACCTCCGTCGATTTGACGAGTTCGGTCTCCGATCCAGATGAAATGAGCAGACGTGTTGTACCAGCCCTTGCCGTCATTCGAGGCCTGGGAAGGCTTGTAGCCAGCGGGATGCTTGAGTCTTCTTGTCAAGCTCTGCTCGTACTCCAGAACGAGACCTTCGTGGCTGGTGAACAGGTCTACTGTCTGCAGCTGACCTGATGTGTCCGCACCAATAGTCTTCATGAAGCGCAACGAGTCGGAGATGCTGTGAACAATTTTCGAGTACTTTGTTTGTAGTTCCTCATCCCGAACATGACCCAGTTCCCAGTCCAGAGGGTTGTGCAAGTCAGCAATGCCACTTGCCAGCTGTCCACGAATGTAGTTCAGTGTCGTCGCTGAATGGAAGTAGGCGCTGACCAGTCTCTCAGGGTCAACTCTTCGAGCGTCAGGATCGTAACCATTGAGGATGTCACCGCGGAAGCTAGGGACTTCCTTGCCGTTCAGCATCTCCGTTGGGCTTGATCTGGGCTTAGCATACTGTCCGGCTATACGGCCAATGCGAATGACAGGCTTGTTTGAACCCCAAATCAGAACCAGACTCATTTGCAGCAGGAGCTTGATCTTTGCATCGATCGGGTTGTCAGCGCAGTAAGAGAACAACTCGGCGCAGTCACCTCCTTGCAATAGGAACGACTTTCCAAGTGCAGCATCGCGGAGACTGGCCTTAAGTCGAGCGATTTCTGTTGGTGTGACGATTGGCGGCAGACTTGATAGCTTGGTCAGCGCAGAGGATACTGCTGCTTGATCTTCGTATGTGACGACTTGCTTAATGGGCTTTGACCTCCAGGCTGTAATCGTTAGTACAGCAGCTTGAGCGTCCATGATCCGTCTTACAAGCTGGCGACCATTCTTGAGAGCTGGCGCCTGTCTCAGCTTCTTGCGTTGGCCTTTCCGGCAGTTGTGTCGAGTTTGCGCTCATCGTCGACGAAGTTGGTTGTGATTGTGTTTGGCCACTGGTTGCTGCCATAAATTGGGAAACGTAGTCGGTTAATTTTGCGTGCCCTTCGTTGTCCATAATGTGTTCTCTTTCAGTTAATGTGCCCAGGTACACTTCTTGACTAGTTCAGGGCTGTCTAGTTGCGACACGGAAGATCACCTTTGAGTCACTTGTTAATATGGCAGTTCGGCAAGGGTTCGCCTGCAAGGAGACGTGAGTAAAGGACGCAAACACATGACTCAAGGTACAAAATCTGCAACGAAAAGCGGACTGCGTGCGCAATACTTCATGACGTAACACAGCAAACTTACCTCGAATATACCGATAGATGCGCAGCGAGTATGTAGCCGCTTCTGTGTTGGTCTGTCCGTGTAAGATCTATGTTCCTGCCTGATCCGAGGTTTTGTGCCAGAATGTAGGAATTAAAAGCGTGCATTACTCCAGAATCTAACCAATGGCGGTCACTCTCTTTTCCCATTGGTTACATTTCCGCAATTATCAGCTACCCCACATCCATCTGCTCTCCAATCCACTGTCGTCATTATCTTTCCATCTTCCATCGTTTATACGCGCTCTCCGTATCCCCTCTGCGCTCTGTCAGCCTTCCAAACTGTATTAATCTACTGGCGACATCCACAATGGCCGAGCCCCAACCTTCCACCGTCCAAGAAGGCGCCGCCGACCCGCACGCACCCACAAGCACAGCCGATGACCGCAAAGCCGCCGCCGCTCTCTCCACCCTTGACGCGCCCCAGGAGGGCGAGGATGGGCCGAAGAAAGAAGTCGACGGCAAGGCACTGGACAAGGCGATGAAGGGACTGAATGTGAAGGACAAGAAGGAAGGCGAGAAGAAGAATGTCAAGATCGAGGCAGCCGATGTTAACTTGTTGGTACGTTCACCTAGGAATAGATGCGCAAAGAGAATGATGCGCAGACATATTGTAATCGCTGGGCATAAACTGACAGTTGAACGAACAGGTCTCCGAACTTGAACTCACGAAGCCAAAGGCCACGGAGCTATTGCGCGCCCATGATGGTAACGCGGTGAAAGCTATGACGGCGTTTGTCATGACGGCACCCTGAGCGATTGTATATCTAGGAAGAAGGGACGACTCTGAGCATGAATTTAGCTATCGCTGGTCTTCGGTGTTGCGCGTACTGAGACGTCGAAAGGGCTTCCGGGTGCAGGACGAGAGCTGAACATGCATTCGCATCCTCCGAGTTCAGGCCGCTGACTTGAATGGAGAATAGCCACGACCAATCCGCCCGCTGTCGCAACAATACTGGGCAATATTGGATTGATGAATTTGGGGATAAGCATTCAAGAACAGAAATAAATGGGATTATCACCGACAAGGGTTCCGTAGCATAAAAGACAAGACGCTCACGAGAAGGTTTCGCATTTGAAGACAAAAGATATGACTAGTTCTACTGGATTCTAGACCTCCTCTACAAAGACAGATGCTCCTTAGCGATGATACGCCAGAAATCCACCACAAACTCTCCGCCCTCTTGCAGTAGAGGAGCAAACGCTTCATGCTTCCCGATGGTCGACACTTCACAGGCTATGTACTCCACCACCAGCTTTCTGAGATCCTCGATGGTTCCATCAGGCTTCCTGTCCTCCCCATTGTCGTACGCGTATCTAGCCAACTCAACCACATCGCCTACTCGTCGATCGTAGAGCTTGAACTTGAGAAGGGTTTGGTGGAGCTTGTGTAGAGCCAGGCGTTTGAGAGGGTCGATGAGGCGCATGCAGGCGAAGGTATAGAGACGTGCGTGCGCTAGGAAGACGGGCGTAAAATCTTGTTCTGGTGCGGAATTCTCTGTCGGCTGGAAGCGGTCGAGCATTGCCGTTTTTGGCTCACTGTGTGTGAGGTATTCGCGCCCTTGGAAATTCTGGCGCAGACTAGAAGTCGCTTGGTTGGCCTTTGCGGCTGCTTCTTGCCACGCCTTCATTTTTTTCACTTTCTGAGCCTTGCTCAACCCCCAATATGAATCCGGGATCACATCATCGTATGCTACTGTTTCTGGTTCTGTTTCTGTTTCTGGTTCTGGTGGTGGAGGGACTTCGACATCGTCGGCGGCCCCTTTCGTATCGTCGTTCTTCACAATTCTCTCATCCAAGGTCCAAGATGGTGCAGTATAATCGCAACGATACGAGTACTCGACACATCGAGCGAAGTCATCCGGTTCCATGTCCGGATACTCCACGGACCCTTCTTGCGACTGTACCATACCATTGTTCACAAGTGCATGAAAATGCCATGAGATCGCGGCGACCGCTTTAGAGTGCACAACGAACGCTCTTCTCTCTTTGCCGATGTAGAAAGTGAACAGCTTCGATTGGACAAGACTATACTTTGTCAGTCAACGCGTCAACTGACCGGTCTTACATACTCACTCCTCGAAGGAACATGACGCTGATAGATCACCCATCTTCGCAACTTTTGGATAAATCTGAAGCGCCTAGGTACATGTCGGAGGCATTGTGATATACACCTTTTGAGAGATTACGCGCCCTCAGTGCGGGGTCGTACAGCGCATACTCATACACGCAACATGCGCCTGGTGTAGTACAAGACGATCCTCCTGCCTGTGGCGTCCAGACATGTCTTCTGAACGTGCAGCTTTCTGCACTGTGCCGCAAACGTTGAACAGATACCCAAGCACTGTCACACACATAAAATGAAAACACACTCATGCTTTCGGTCAAGTAAAATATATCATGATATCCAGTGTCTGAACAATAGTGTAATATGATCATCACTTTAGGTTGTTCTTGCCCTAAAGGTCGCGAAGCGCGAGTATGCTTGTAACGGCGCCTCGACAAACACGCCATACCTCCTGCCCCTGTAGGAATTGGAGAAAGCCGCATTACTTTACAGGCATCCAGAAAGCGCGCATAACGATAGTGAATATGAGCAGCGCGTATAGGGCTAGCACTTGACGGGCGAATTCTGCAAACCTACAAGCATAAGCGAGCTCTGGGGCAACCGCAACCGCGTCCCGTCCGTTGCTTTTCCCATCTCAAAACAGGGTTCCACCACGCTGCGTCATCCGCGATCTTAGTAAGGTGATCGCGCGGGACGTTGCACATGGGGTTCCATGCTCGCCGCCGACGTTCTGGACGAATCGTGCGCTCCAAAGCGCGATGATGTGCACCACGTACGTCACCGATCCGTAAATATGGTAGACGCTCCATACCTCACTACTCGTTGTTGAAGTCAACATCCGGCAGCCAGATACACTAACGGCCCTCTACCAACTATCCATCTATCCTGTTTCTCTGCTTGCGCTGCTAGCGCATACAAGTCGTCAACACGGCGCCTCAAGTCCCCTCTCGTCGCGCTCTCGCTGGCATTGCGCTCATCTCTGTATTGTCGGCCGTCGAGAAGCAGCGCAAGAAGAAGGTAAAAGGCAAAGAAGACCAACACGAGTTCAATACGACCGAGGATATGTCTGGTGAACTACAGACGATACCTGCGCGCCATGGCGTCGCAACTTTTGTGCCCAGAGGCCGGACGATCAAGGTCATCAACACATACGGGAAGCAGGTAGTCAGTATGTGGGCGTTCAGTCTGGGACCCCCGCCTGATGAGGGAGACGGTGAGGAGGGTGAAGGGAAGGAACTGGATGAAGAACAACTCAAGAAGGAAGCAGAGCAGATGAAGAAGGCTGCTGAGGAAGAGGGAGAGAAAGATACAGAGACGACAAAAGGAGAAGATGATAAGGCAGAGGAGCCAAAGAAGGAGTCAGATGGTGACGACAATGGCAAAAAAACGCAATCTACCGAAGAAAAAGCCGAAGACTCAAAGGAAGAAGCTGCTGAGGATCCGCCTGAGCAGGCTCCTGATACACCCGACAACGAGAAGACGACCGAAAGCACAGATTCATCGTCAAAGCAGCCCAACAAGCGCACATGGGCGTCGTACCTCCCCTCTATCCCCTACCGCAGCAAAGGCGGAGCGAGCAAGCAGGAAGCAGAGCAAAAGCCTAGCCCTGAGCAGGAGAAGAAGCAGAATGAGGAGAACACCAAGAAGTGGTCTTCATACTTGCCGACTGGAAAAAGCTTCTCCAGCTATGTGCCGAATGTCGAAGTACCAGACTCCAAATCCGTCGTGAGCGCGTTCAAGTCGAGCCATAACCGCGATCCGAACAAGAGCTATGCGGAGCAGTTGTACGATTTCTCGAAGACACCTGTGGGCGCTGGAACTATTGCCGGTAAGTCAACGGATGCGACACTACGTTGTAAGAATCCGCACTAACACCGTGCAGCTGCAACCGGCTCAGGGTACGCATCCTCAGCTTACGCTGTATACTCTGCCTACGCTTCGACGAATCCCTCGAACTCTGAGCAACCTCCCATGGAGTACCTCTCTCTCCCCCACACGCGCGCTGCCTCGCACAAACTCGTACCCGAGGTCGATGACGAGCTCCTGACCAATCTTCGCAACCCGATCGTCACTCTCATCGAAGACACCTCACCTGGTGCACACGATACACTGACGGCGGCGTGCGACGCGAATCAATACGCTGCTCTCGGTGTTGATAAGCCAGCGGAGCATGGTAGCTGTGCCGAGAACCTCGTTCTCGCACTCAAGGAGATCAACGAGACGGCAGGGCTGAAAGGTCCGAAGGCAGTTGGCGCAGATATCTCCGTCAACATTGCACCGACACCTCTTCATCTCTTCATGAATGCGCCACTGCAGTCTGAAGGTACATCTCAAAGCGACGGCGCAGGTACAAAGGGCGTGACACTCAGCGTCGATGAGCCCAAGGGCAAGAAGCGCTGCCACGTCCGCTTCCGCGCCGAGCGAGACGTGGTCATTGTATTCAGCGCCTGCCCCATGGACGTGGGCAAGCAGAACGGTGGACGCTGCATGGCAGCCAACTTCATGGTCGAAGACGTACAAGAAGGCGAAGACCTAGCCTCATCCGTCGCATCGGGCAAAGCGAAGAAAGCGCCGAAGAAGCTAAGCCAAAAGGACAATGCAGATGACACGAAATCAGAGCCCAAAGAAGCGCAACCAGCTAAGAAGGACGACACGGCGGAGAAGAAGGAAGCCCCCAAGAAGCCGGAGTTGAAGAAAACAGAGTCGACTAAACAGGCACCCAAGAAAGATGGAGACGCGGCAGATAAAAAGCCCACTCCTGCACAGAAGGATGAGAAGCCAGATGGCTCCACGACATCTGAAGAGCCAAAGGCGAAGAAGAAGCCTAAGAAGCTTCAGGTGCGTAGCCAGGGGGCGTAGACACCAACACAGTCCTCATGGAACTAGCTGCGATTGGATGCAGGTCGTAGTTCTCGTCGTGGTTCAATTTGCCTTGTTGAGCATTGAATTTGGGATTTTGTACAATAGCTTTGGGTACTTCTGCCTTGATTTATGTAAGCAAGTAATGTCTATGATACTTCCTGACTTTTGCGTGTACCTTTGGGTCTGCCCGTCTTGTGATGAAGTTTTGCGGCATTGGAAACGAAAGGAAGTACATCCAAAAGGGGAGCAGGGTAAATGAATGATCACTTTGCGCCGTAGCAAGCTGAAGGAAGTCATGAGGAAAGTAGATGAATTCGGGATACCGAGATAACACATCAGCGAGGGTATGTATGCTACATCAACCAGCCGCGCACTCACGCACTCACGCACACACCTATCAACTAATCCATCAACCTCCTCTCAAACCATCTAACCCCCTCTCTCCAAGTTACTACTCTCTTCTCAAGCCGTAGCTTCAGCCCCCCTCCCCTTAACATAAACCGTCTCCATCTTCCTTGGCACAGCCGTAGGCTCCGCAACAGGCTCTCTCTTGCCCCACGAGATATACGTCGGCGGCGAAGGCTTAGGCCACGTAACACTCTGCCAGGGGAACTCTAGCCCAATGCTGTTCTGCGGCTCTGGCACTGCTTCTCGCTCGGCTACAGCGGGGGCTGGGGCGGCAGTAGGTTCCGGCGCAGCGTCAGCAGCGCGCTTCTTCTCTTTGCCCCAGATGACAGTGTAGGTTGGGGGGTTGATGCCGACGCTGTTGGGTTGGGTTGGTGCCGGGTTGGCTGGGATTTCTACGGGGCCGTCGTCGGGGAAGTCTGGGGATGTGTCATCGTCTTCGTCTTCGTCATCGTTGTCTGCGGGGAGTTCAGGTGAAGATGTGGGTAACACATCGTCTTCTTGGCGCTTTTTGCCCCAGATTACGGTTACGGTCGGGGGGTTCAGGCCGATGCTGTTTGCTTGGGTTGGCTGCGAGGGAGGGGGGAAGTCGTCTTCAGGGTAGTCTGGGTCTTCTGGGAGGGGCTCCTCGGGGAATGGCTCTTCGGGCAAGGGATCTTCTGGGTCGGAGGGGTAGGGCTCTTCTTCTGAAGGAGGGGCTGTTGGTTCGGGCTCGTCGTAGTCCCAGGTCACGCTGTAGTTGGGTGGACCTACGGTGATATCTGCTGAACGTGTGGAGGTAGAAGTTGAGGTCGGACTTGGGGTTGCGGAAGAGGGAGGAGGACTGGGCGTCGGTGTTGGAGTGGGCTTAGGAGTGGCAGATGGTGTTGGTGTTGGCGTAGGCTTGGGGGTATATGTAGGCTTAGGCGTTGTTGTAGCTGCTGAAGAAGACTTGGATGATGACTTGGATGTAGACTTCGACGTACTCTTTGAAGTGCTCTTCTTTGTGGTAGTCTTTGTCATCATAGTCTTACTCGTCTTAGACTTCTTTGTAGTCGTAGAAGTTGGCTTTGCGTTTCTCTTATCCAAATCCCAGCTCACACTGAACTTAGGCGGAGAGAGGCTGATGATAGCGCTCTTGGTCGTTGAGGTGACTGGAGTTGTGGAAGGTGTCGGCTTAGCAGTCGTCGACGGCTTTGGTGTCGAACTTGGCTTTTTGGTAGACGTTATAGTGGACTTTGCGGTGGACTTCATCGTCGTTGGCTTCGGTGGCCATGGGTGCCATGGAGGGTAGCCAGGTTTCTTGGAAGATGAAATCTTGCTGGATGAAGGAGGCTTGGTAGAAGAATACACTGGAGGTTTGTAACTAGTGACAGAAGCGGAGCTAGTCATACTGGAGTTCGACCAGATAGGGGGAAGAGATACGATGGAGGAGTACTCCGAGGTTGGCTTTGGCGTTGGCGTTGGTTCCGGTGTAGGTGTCGGTTCTGGCGTAGGCGTTGAGGACGCGCCTGGACCATCTCCGTCCCAGGTAATACTGTAAGATGGTTTTCCGATGCTGAACTGATCGCTAGGCTTAGGTGGGGGGTACCCAGGCTCCTCAGGCTCTTCCGGTTCAGGAGTTGGCTCGGGCCCATCAGTGGCCCAGCTCACCCAGAAGGATGGTTTGCCGATGCTGAACTGATCCGTCGGCTTAGAAGGAGGAGGGTAGTCGGGTTCTTGGGGAGCAGGTGTGGGCTCAGGCCCGCTCGTCTCCCAGCTGATCCAGCCGGACGGAGTACCAATACTGAATTGATCAGTAGGCTTAGCTGGAGGCGGATACTCAGGTTCTTCGGGAGCATCTGTGGGAGCTGGGCCGGTGGTTTCCCAGCTGATCCAGCCCGATGGTGTTCCAAGGCTAATTTCATCAGTTGGCTTGGATGGGACAACGGGCTCTTGTGGCTCTTCGGTGGGTTCTGAGTTGCCAGTTTCCCAAGAGACACTCTGTTTGGGCGGAAGAACGCTAATCTGGCGATTTTGTAAACCTGCAGGTGCTGCGCGAATGCTATAAGAAGGTTAGTGACAACTTGCCAGCTTAGAAGACGTGACTAACCTAATGGCAAGACCTAGCAGTGCCAGCACAGTGTTCCTTGCAGGAGCCATGATCAATCAGCAGAGTCTTACGGAAGATTGATTGACAGGTTATACGGACATCTCAGCATCAACTCAATCTTCGCGAATGTACGGCAGAGTTATAGACTTCGCTCGGCTCACCATTCTGGCCGGCCTGACCGCACAGGCGACGATACTGTCTGTAAATGAAAGATACGAGCCTAGACACCATCGTGCCGTACGGAACATCGCTTGCACGTGTGCGATACTCCAGACATTGCATTAGCGATGCTTGATAGTTGTGGTTCCGGGCTCTAGGTCGTGCTTTCGATCTCGCAGCGCAATATATCCAGATAGCCGTCGCGTACAGCTGTGGCATGACCTAGAAAGGCCTAAATATAGCGATAAATCGTACTCTATAGAGCGTTGATTTGGCGAAACATGGGACCGTCGGCAGAATTAAAGTGCATGTTGTTTGGCTAATTGCTGGATATTTGATGTGATCGTGACATGCATGCGAACAACCGAGAAGTACGGGGTCGCCAACGCAAAGCCCCTGCAGATTCATATAAGCCGGATCCAGCTCTACATCGCCCAACGTATTCAAAACGTTATCTGTATACCATCCTCCCCTGGTCTGGAGGCGGACATGCTTGGCGCTTTCTTGTCCAGACTAAAATGGCAAGCGAGGATTTCAACGCTCGCATTGGGAAAGGTGAAAGCTGGTAGTGACTTACTCCAGGGTACCACGCAGTCCATCTACGCTCCAGATCATCTATGTTTAGACAAGACAAGATCAGTCTTGTAGTTACTCGTACTGATAACGTCCTTGGCAGTTATTCAGCCAGTGTGGCATCTGCCTGAAGCCAGCCATACTTTCCTGGGGGTAGCCCGACGTGGTCTTGATAGATGCAGGCACCAGCTGATGTTGTGTGTTTTGGCGAGGTGTCGAGAAATACTCGCACAATTTGCGTTGCATGCACATGGTATGTAACGTCAAAGTCTTACCCGTCCGCCGGAGGATCCAACAGCTTGTCCAGAGGCCATTTGCGTATTGCCCTTATGCTGAGTGGGGAGACGTGACCCGCTTCAAACATCTCAAGACCAGCCCAACCTATCATTGCAGCATTGTCGGTGCAGAACTCGGGTGGTGGAAAATGCAACTCGACATCCGGATAACCATGAGCGCAAAGGGTCTTCGCAAGTCTTACAGCCGTTAGCATCCCAGTCGACGAAACCATGTGTTCTCGCTACTGCAGGCAGACTTACATGTGCCGGAGAAACGAGTTGGCAGCCACGCCACCAGCCATGACAACCGCAGGCACGGCTAGAGTATCTTCCTGGGTCTGCAAGCCTAGTACTACTCGGGAAGCGACATGCTCAAAAGCTGCGCGCATGGTTTCGCGTGCAAGATCCATACGCTCCTCAAGACTAACGCCTGCCGCCGTTCGCTCGACTTTGTTGAATTTCCTAGTGATCGGATCCATGCCAAACCGAACGATGCGCTCGACCATTGTCGTGATACCTGAAAAGCTCAGCTCAAGACTGTTGATCTTAACACCTCCACCTGATTTAGTCAATGGCCGATTGAGTGCCCAGCCCCATTTCGTCGCGCTCTTCTGCATGGCGTCTTCATGATTCAACGGGACCTGATACCAATCGTACAGGTGTTCGTAAGCATCCAGGTATGTCTTGGCAGAATAAGTTGGTGGCTTCGAGACATGGGTAGATGCGTCGCCAGGTGTTGGCTTGCGGGCGCATTCGGGCAGCGCAAATGCCTCGAGGAGAGCTCCGTACATGGTGCTCTTTGATGCTTGTAGTATTTCTGTAGGCAATACTACACGTGCGATCTTGTCCAAGCACTCCCCCACAGCTATGTCATTTGTAGAGCCTAGCACGCGGTGGTCCGTCAAGGACGCCGAGTGTATGAGCAGTGTATGGCCACCTGAGGCGAGGACTGATAGAAACGGGAATTTCGGAGTGACTTGGATCGGGGTCGAATCGAGGACGCCGCTGTATTCAGACTCGGTGTGGGCTTCAAGGGCGCTGACCATGCGTGGCGTAAGCGCATGAGCCTGCATGTGATGGACTCCGACGAGAGGTTTCTAGCATCGGCATCAGCAGCAAGTCCTCAGAAAGAAGCTAACGCAGTACCTGCCATGCTACAGCCAGTCCCTTGGCGGTGTCAAGACCAGTGAAGAGATTGCTGCGCATGCCTGGCCCACGAGTGACAGACACGAAATCAGGCAGCCTTCGTGTCGCGAGATCGACTGTGGTTATTTGCGCATCTTCTGGAGGAATTCCTCCATCTCGCATGGGCAGAGAGCGAATAGCTTCATGGAGAAGCATGGCAAGGTTCTCTTGATGCGACAGAAGCGATACCAGCGGGTGAACGCCCTGATAGATGGCATTGTCCGATGTCACTTTCTTGTGGAAATGCAACTGCGCTGTCGTGCGGCCACGCTGGGTTCCTTTTTCCACTATGGCTACTGAGGTATCATCGCAAGACGTCTCGATGGCAAGCGTCATCAGACAGCGTCGAGGCCTCCATTGCGGGGGTGGGAGGATTCGCGATCGGACGACGGCTTGGAGTGTTCTGCATCGAGGTCGCATGCCTCGCAGGTCGGCAAGTGTTTAGAATCGGCGAGACGTGGTGTTGAGGGCACGACGCGTTGGCGATGGGCATGCACAATTCTGCATGAACGGCGGAAGGGTTCCGAGAGGCCTGGGCCCTGTGACGTACTGGCTAGCACCCGAAGCTTCGAGCCTCACATGCCAACAGGCCCATTTGACACCACCTGAGTCGTCCCTCCTACCCATCTCGACGATGCGATTTACACCCGACGTTTCTCCCCCCCATGGCTGACGTAGACAAGAAGACGGATGGCCCCGAGCCATATTCCTCGACGGGCTTCGACTTCACCCTGTTGCCCGACTACGCGAACGACTTTGTCGAAGAAGACCATTTTATCGAATTCGAAAAAGCTCTCGCTGCGCCCGAGAACTCTCCCTCGACCGAAGACCTCACCGCCCTGCCGCCCGATCGAACCTTCATCTCCGCCCAAAATGACTGGCGACCCGTCCACCAGCGCGTCAAGCGGCGCAAGAAGAGCAAGGCGCCCCCGCGACGCGGCAAGGACGAGACGCGTGAAGGCTTCGTCTATGTGCTGCTCAAGTGGCCACTGCTCTTGGTAGTGCTGGGGTGGCTGTTCTTCCTCAGCATAGCCTACGTCTTTACTCGCCTGTACATATACCTCTATGAACACTGGATCACATGGCGAGGCACACGTCAAAGACTGAGGCAGCGGCTGCAGGATGCGCGATCCTACGAAGAGTGGATCGAAGGCGCAAAGGAGCTCGACGCATACCTGGGCAACGAATCGTGGAAGGAAAAGGCTGACTATGCCTACTACGACAGCAAGACGATTGCAAGAGTACACCAGCAGATGGTCAAACTGCGGGAAAAGGCCGAAGCAGAAGAGAAGATCGGATCAGGGACAAAAGCCCCCAAAGGCCAACACACGGCTGTCGAGGATCTTCGTGCACTGCTAGAAGGTAGGAGCCCTGTCTTTCCCAAGTCGCAAAACCCATCTAACGTCGTACTTAGCCTCCATGAAGAACAACTTCGTAGGCTTCGAGAACCCCCGACTGTACAGCGAGACGTACTACGGAACCAAAGACCTCGTCCAGAAATTCGTCGACGAAGCCGAGACCTCGCTTACTTTCCTACTGCAAACGACACAGCTCGATGCAGAGAACAAGCGCGCCCTGTTCAAACACCTCGGCAGTAACTTCGGTCGCACTGCGCTATGTCTGTCTGGAGGAGCGACATTTGCATACTACCACTTCGGTGTGGCCAAGGCTCTGATGGATGCCGAATTGCTGCCAGAAGTCATCACTGGTACATCTGGTGGAGCTCTCGTCGCTGCACTGCTATGCACGAGGACCGACGACGAACTCAAGAAACTGCTTGTACCCGCTCTGGCCCATCGCATCACGGCTTGTCACGAAGGCATTCTCACTTGGTCAAAGAGATGGTACAAAACTGGAGCGAGATTTGACAGCGTCGATTGGGCCAAAAAATGCGCGTGGATGACTCGTGGCAGTCTGACGTTCAAGGAAGCATATCAGAGGACTGGACGTATACTGAATGTCTCTTGCGTGCCCTCCGACCCCCACTCTCCGACCATCTTAGCCAACTACATCACGGCTCCGGACTGTGTTGTCTGGTCAGCAGTTTTGGCATCTGCTGCCGTCCCTGGAATTCTCAACCCAGTGGTCCTCATGAAAAAGAACAAGGATGGCAGTCTTTCACCCTACTCTTTTGGACACAAGTGGAAGGATGGGAGTCTCCGGACGGACATTCCATTGAAAGCGCTGAACCTCCACTTCAACGTCCGATTTTCAATCGTCAGCCAGGTCAACCCCCATATCAACATCTTCTTCTTCTCATCCCGTGGCTCGGTTGGTCGACCTGTCACCCATCGCCGTGGACGCGGATGGAGAGGCGGTTTCCTTGGTTCCGCCACAGAGCAGGTATGTCAAGCTCACAATGGACTCTCGATGCACATGCTAATCTCTTGTTTCAGTACCTCAAGCTCGATCTTAACAAATGGCTAAAGGTGCTTCGCCATCTTGAGCTTCTACCGCGACCACTAGGCCAGGACTGGAGTGAACTCTGGCTACAACGCTTCAGTGGGACCATTACAATCTGGCCCAAGTCCATACCTTCAGACTTTATGTATATCCTCTCGGATCCAACCCCAGAGCGGCTGGCACGCATGATACACGTTGGACAACAATCGGCTTTCCCCAAGCTGAAGTTTATCGCGAATCGTGCCAAGTTGGAATATGCCATTCAGGAAGGGAGGCGGAGATTCAGACCCCGCGGCGCACGCGATGACGATATTGTCAACGCTCTTAGTGAAGAGGACCTTCGTAGCTTGCTCAAGCGCACAAGGAGCGATGGCCCTGACGATGGGGCTCCATACCCAGCTACAGAGTCAGAGTCCTCCTCCACTGCAGGACCATCGCGGCCAAGCTCGCCCGTGAACCTCCCTCTCGGCCTTACATTCGCTCGTAAGAAGAAGAATGCGCCAGCTGATCTAGCGAGCACTGCTGAGAAGCCAGACGCCCCCGACAGCCCATCGTTGGGAAAACGATTGAGCGGATGGTGGTCCGCTATGTCGCCCCAAGCCACAACACACTCTACAGCCCTCAAGCCTCGTCCCCGTGATTCGCCATTTAGTCACGATCGTCCTAATTCAATGTTCGAGTTCCGACCAAGCGGCGACATCATAGACGTCCCTACAGGAAGAAAGCAGAGTAGGGTTTTCGACGACTCGGACGGTGCCGAGGAAAGTCAAGATGTATCAAGGCGCAGACAGCAGCACAAAGGAGGCATGTTTGGCGACACCGATGCTAGTATGAAAGACACTGAGGATCATGGCGAGGCAGCAGATTTCGGTGACGACGAGGAAGACCGAGACGAAGTGCAAAATGTTGGAGTGGGTCTTGGTCTTGAGGGGCAGGGTTTATAGATTGCCTTCCTTCACCTAAAATCTAAATTAGAATGTAAAGATATTAATGGCAAAGTTATTCATCTCCAGCTTATAGCACACTTCTGGTAAGGCTGCGAAGGCTGTATAGAACGCAAACAATGTGTATGGAGGAATTTTTTGAAATGGTCAACCATCTAGCCTCAGAATGACTCTTCTATCTTTTCTAAAACTTATCTCTCGTATATGTGCACCCGCGACAACACTAGCGCTTACGCACGTGATAGTCGCGTCTGTTAGGCTTGGCATGTCGTCATCGACAACACGCTCTGAACGCGCGATCACACGGCAGCCTGCGCCTATCAGAAATTAACTTGACGACCACTTCCACCCCTCCAAACAGATGGACAAGGCCCCCAGAAGAGCGCCATGGGTGTCACTGGTCTCTGGACCGTTCTGCAGCCCTGCGCGCGGCCGATCAAGATCGAAACGCTGAACAAGAAGCGGCTCGCCGTCGATGCCTCCATCTGGATATATCAGTTCCTCAAGGCCGTGCGCGACAAGGAAGGAAACGCTTTGCGGAACAGCCATATTGTCGGTTTCTTTCGCCGAGTATGCAAGCTCCTCTTCATCGGCATCAAGCCCGTCTTCGTCTTCGATGGTGGCGCACCGGCGCTAAAGCGACAAACCATCAGCAACCGCAAGTCGCGACGCGAAGGTAGACGAGAAGATGCGGTCCGGACAGCTGGAAAGTTGTTGGCTATACAAATGCAGAGGGCTGCTGAGGAAGAAGAGAAGAGGCGGAAGGAAGCTGCAAAGCATCCAAGAGAGGAGCAACCGCAACCAGAGGAAGAGATACCCGATAATCTGGTCTATGCGGAGGAACTTCTGCAGACACCCCAGGAGCGAACAGAGAATCGCACTTTCAAAAAGAAGGACCAATATCACCTTCCGGACCTGGGCAAGTCCATGTCGGAAATGGGGGCTGCGAATGATCCCAGAGTCATGTCGCTCGAAGAGCTGGAGGAGTACGCACGTCAGTTTGACAGAGGTGAAGATATCAACGTCTATGACTTTTCCAAGATTGACTTCGATGGTCATTTCTTCCAGAGCCTGCCTCCGGCTGATAGGTACAATATCTTGAACGCAGCCAGGCTACGAAGTCGACTCAGGATGGGACACTCGAAAGAACAGCTTGACGCAATGTTTCCCGACAGGATGGCCTTCTCCAAGTTCCAAATCGAGCGTGTGCGCGAACGTAACGAACTTACGCAGCGATTGATGAACCTCAACGGGATGAACGACGATGCATTTGGCGCAGGCGGATTCAATCGCGTCGCGGGCGAGAGAGATAGGGAGTATGTCCTCGTGAAGAACGACGGAGTAGAGGGCGGTTGGGCGCTCGGAGTTGTGCTGAACAAGGAAGAGGGTAAAGCTCACAAGCCGATCAACGTGGACCTACCAGAGCGCCCTGCAGAAGAAGACCAAGAATGGGAGGACGATGAAGACTTTGAGGACGTTCCCATCGAGGGTCTGAACAGGCTGCCAAAGCCCAAGGGGGGCCTGAGCGCCCAAGAGAAGGAGGGCCGTGAGTTCATCGCGAATGAGCTAGCGACACGACGCAGAAGGCTTTACAAGTCGAGGAAAGAGAAGCCAGTACAGTCTAAGCCACAAAGGGCTACCTCGGTTAGCCAGGATCCAGACTCGTTGTTCCTTGCGGATGAAAACGAAGAAGAGGAAGACTGGGAGAACGTTCCGATGAACGGAGTGAACGATATGGACGACGCAGGGGATGATGTTGAGAACGAGCAGTTACAGCAAGCCATTGCCTTATCAATGCAGCCCGAGAAGCAAGCCGTCGCTGAGGAATCTGACGACGATCCCGTACGTGAAGTTTTCGAACAGAAGCGTGCCGCTGAAGCCAATCCTTTCGCTGGGACAAAGGGTTCTGGAATGGCCATCGCAAGGCTTGCCAACCAACGCAGTAATAAGCTTGCTCCGAAGGGACCTTTTGAAGGAAGCGATAGCGAAGACGATATGGACCTGCAGGCAGCACTAGCGGAATCTCGGAAGTCGAAACGACCTGTCAAACCGCGGCAATCGTCGCCCATGCAGCAAAACCCAATACCAGCACCGGCTGTCAAGCCTACCCCGAAGCCGAAGAACGCTGCCGGGTTTGATGGGCCGCTACCCTTCGAAAGGCTCAACCTAGGTAACTCTCTTTTAGGCAAGAAGAAGATGGACAAGCTCGAAGAGGACAACGCAGGAGGCTTCGAGAAGGACTACGGGCAGGATAAGAAGGATGCCGTGCCACTTCCGCCGTGGTTCAGCGGCCAAAGAGATATTGCAAAAGAAGTGAATGCTCAACGGCAAGAAGAGAAGGAACAGTGGGAAGAAGCACGTCAGGAGGAGAAATCCAGATTCCAGTTCCAGCAGCTCCCAAGCCTTCGGAAGCCAGAGACCAGAGAGGTTATCGATTTAGACGCGCCCGCTAGCCAGAGTCAGAAGCAAGTGATTGCAATCGACTCAGACGACGAGACTGATGCACAGATGGAAGACGTTCCAATTGAGGATCCCAAATTGAGGATGGGCGATCTCGCTGACAAAGTCAAGGCGGAGCCTCCTAAACCGCTTTCTCCACAGCAGAAGTCACCTCCCCGCCAAGATCCTAATCTGGTGAAGAAGACTCCATTTGCGGATAATTCTGATGATGAGCCAGTGGATTGGTCTGAGAGCGAGCCTGAAGACGAAAGACACGTACAGCAGAAGTCCACCGGTAAAGAGCAGTCAGAGCCAACTGCTGTGCAGCCTCCAAGGTCTCCATCCGAAGAGTCTGAAGAGTTTGAGGATGTACCCATGCAAACGGAGACAGCCGCTTTGACTGAACCTGCCAAGTCGGTATCGCCAGAGTTTGAGGACGTGCCTATGCATGGCGAACCTATTTTAGCAGCTGTACCTTCAAAGTCACCATCGCCAGTGTTTGAAGATGTTCCGATCCGTCAGGAACGACCACGTCGACCGCCAAGGGAGCTATCACCCTTGCAAGGTCCAGACGATCTGACAAAGCCTATAGTCCCTCACAGTGGTGTCGCGGATGACAGCGCACCTCTAGACATGCCTGAAGGTAACGACTCAGACCAGTACTCCGATCCTGAGGACGAAGAGCTGTTCGCATCTCTTGCGAAAGAAGCAGAAGAGCATGCGCGATTCGCTCAAGAACTGTCCAACAACACTGCAGCCCGGGTAAACTTCGATGACGAGCTCAAACAACTCCGCGCGCAACAGAAGAAGGATCGTCGAGATGCGGATGAAGTCACCCAGACCATGATATCCGAGTGCCAGCACTTGTTAACTTTGTTCGGACTGCCGTACATCACAGCCCCCATGGAAGCCGAAGCTCAATGCGCTGAACTGGTCACACTTGGCCTTGTGGACGGCATTGTAACGGACGACTCCGATACCTTTCTCTTCGGCGGTACGCGTGTCTACAAGAACATGTTCAACGCGGCCAAATTTGTCGAATGCTACCTCGCCCAAGACCTCACCAGCGAATTCAGTCTCACACGCGAGAAGATGATTGCAATCGCCCAGTTACTTGGCAGTGATTACACAACAGGCATTCCAGGTATCGGGCCTGTAACCGCGCTAGAAATCCTCTCCGAGTTCCAAGACCTAGAGTCTTTCCGAACATGGTGGGATGGCGTCCAAAGTGGGACTATCAAGAAGGAAGAAGACGCAAAGAAACCTTTCCGAAAACGATTCCGCAAGAACCAGGCTACTAAACTCTTCCTACCAGCAGGGTTCCCAGATCCTCGCGTAGCGGAAGCTTACCTTCATCCCGAGGTCGACAGTGATCCTGAGCCGTTTCAATGGGGCGTCCCCGATCTGGCTGCTTTGCGTTCCTTTTTGAGTTCTCAGATTGGATGGAGTCCTGAGAGGACGGATGAGGTGCTTGTCCCTGTTATCAAGGATATGAATCGAAGGGAGAAGGAAGGTACGCAGGCGAATATTACTCGGTTCTTTGAGGGGAGTGTCGGGGCTGGCGCTTTTGCGCCCAGAGCGAGGAATGCGGAGAGTGGCCCGAGTGGGAGGAAGAAGGGTACTGGGGCGGCTGGAAAGAGGCTGGGTGCTGCGTTGAATCGGTTGGCGGGGAACGATGGGGAGGCAGGGGATGGAGTGGCGACTGCAGGTGGAGAGGCGGAAGCTGCGCATGAGACGACTACTGGTGGAACAGGCAGGAAGAAGAGGAAGGCTGCAAGTAAGCCTATGTCTTTGGCTGAAAAGGAGGATGGAGATGCGACTGCCAGTGTCGAGGAAGAGGAAGAAGATGAGCTTTACAAGGAGCCCACAGCGAAGAAACCAAGGAAGACGCGGAAAGGGAAAGCAGCCAAGTAACTTGGAACAATCTCTATATCATCTATCATTACATCTACCCAACCCATATCTTACACAACACAACATCCGTTCCGATGCCCTCATAACTTCACACTCCCCGCCTCAATCTTCTTCAGGTCCTCCACCGTAAACCTCTTATAAGTCCCATCCCTTAACCAATACAACGTATCCCCCTTCTCCTGGACAACCCGTGGATCAATACCCTCCTTCTGCAACTCCACCTTCTGTTGCTTATTAGTCCCCGTCAACTGCATCTCCCTGGTGACTCTAATCCAAACGGGCACTGCAAACGCGGGCAACTCCTTCTTAACATGCTGCGCCAGCTCCGCAAGCAACCTCTCCCCCACCTCACCAACCCCCTGTTCAAACACAATCGCCGCACACCCCGCACGCCCATCATGTCCCGGAACACTAACACCGTATACATTTGCCTCAGCGACACTGTCATGTTTGCCTACGGCCTCTGATACCTCAGCCGTAGACACATTCTCCGCTTTCCAGCGAAACGTATCGCCAATGCGATCGACGAACCAGAACCGGCCTTCCGCGTCCCAGCGCATAAGGTCGCCAGACCGGAAATACGCATCCCCTTTCGTCTTGACATCACGGATAATCTTCGAGTTCGTCGCCTTCTCATTGCCGTAGTAGCCCTGGAACCCGTCTTTTATATTGTCTGCGTCGAGTTTGCCCAGTAACTCGCCAGGCTCGTTGTAATCGCTGATTTGACACAGACCGGTTTTGGGGTCGCGGAGGGGCTCCGGGGGATCAGCGTTGGGATCCATACGTACGATTGTGAGTTTGCGCGTCATGAGGAAGTTGCCGAGGAGCCCGTTGCGGGCGATGGCGCCGCTGGAAAAGGAGTTTGTGGAGCGGTTGAAGAGGCCGCCGGGGGCTTCGGTTGCGGCGTAGAATTCGTAGATGGTTTCGATGCCGAAGCGTTGTTTGAAGGGCTCCCAGACGTCGGGGCGCAGGCCGTTGCCAAAGGCGGCGCGGATGTGGTGTTGTCGGTCGAGGGGGGATGGCGGCGCGGAGAGCAGGTAGCGACATGTTTCGCCGACGTAGTGCAGAATTGTGGCGTGGGAGGAGCGGATCTCAGGCCAGAAAGTCTTGTGGGAGAATTTCTTGGACAGGTGGATTGTGCTGCCCGCGCGTAGGACGGCGCAGGCGCCGAGGACGGAGGCGGAGCTGTGGTAGAGGGGCATGGAGGTGTAGACAATGTCGTTCTTCAGTGACATCCAGCTTGCGGCGAACTTTGCGCCGCCGCCGCATTTGCCCCAGGACATTACGGCGGGTTTGGGCAAGCCGGTTGTGCCGGATGTGTAGATGAGCATGGCCATGCTGCTGCGCTTTTGGTCGGAGCGAGCCGAGTCGGGGAGGCGCGTCGGCGGGTGCGTGAGGATGGTCGATGTCAGGGCGTCGTCGAAGAAGATGATTTCGAGGTTTCGTTGCGCAGTGAGAGGCTCCGAGACGGCGCCTGCCTCGACAGCGGCTTGGGGAGTCTGTGTCTGGTTTTTGACTGATCGCGGGACGTCGGACGGTTCCTGGTCAAAGGTGTATTTGACCTTGTCTGCATGGTTGACGCGAGTGAGGCCATGTTCCTTCAGCGCATCTTCGCTGAACTTGTCCTTGCTCTCCTGGTCCACCAGCACCAAGCGCGCGGTGCTCGTCTTGACGGTATGGACCAGCGGCTTGCCCGAGAGGTTGTAGTTGATAAAGGCCGGCTTCGCGCCAATGCTCCAAAGGCCAAACCAGACCCAGACGAAGACCTCCGAGTTGACAAAGTCCATTGCGACAATCTCATCCTTCTCCACGCCCTTGCTCTTCAGCCAGTTCCCGTACCGCAGCACGACGTCGTAAGCCTGCGCATACGTCCATGTCTTGCCCTGGAAGATGATCCAGACATGGTCTGCGCGCGAAGAGGATTGCGCATGCGCCTCGAGTTCGTAGAAGAGGTTCAGCGTGTCGCGTCGTTCCTGCTGCGCGCCGGAGATGCTGCTGCCGATGAAGGAAGACAAGAGAGGCCAGTCGTAGGTGAAGCCATGGCGGCCGTTGAGATACGCAAGACCGGCTGCGGCAGCGGGCAGCGCGAAGGGAAGAACTGGCAGTGGAATGTGTCAGCGAGCTGCGCCGTGTGGTTACAGGGTGACGCGAGATTACCTGACATAGCCGGTAACCAATAGACCTGGAGCAACAATAAAACGTATAAAGAATGCTACAATCGCGCAATGTCCAGTATTCGCATAGACAAAAGGAGAGACTTGATCAGATACAATCCATTCATCAACTTTCCGCGACACCCCGTTGTCTCCAGCTAGTGACGTTTGATCACACAGCTAGCGGCAGTGGGCACCATGGGAGCTGTGGAGCCGAGGCATTTAGGGGCACCCCAGTCGTCTCTTGAGTAAGCCTTCCCACCTTGCCACCTCTGTCCAGAAGTGGCTGCATTCCCCTCATCGCCTAGACATGGCCAACCTCTTGCGTTACCGATAGAAAGCCACATGCTGCTCCGCGTCGGCGGCATGTGAAGCATAGTCTCAATGGAGTGTGAGAGCTTTCAACCGAGTTGCTAAAGGATGCCGGCCAAAGCATATCACTATGTACATCTACGCTCGAGTCATTACGGTAGAGATGACATACGTCGGCTCAGCTACATGTGAACGGCTTTGCGCTCACGCAAAACCGCAGCTGTCTTACCTCATCATGCTCGTCCAGCAGCTGCATAAAGTAAACTATCGGCAAGACAGTTGCTGCACGTCATGTCTGGAAGCTTTGGACACGCACAAAGAAGACATGTCAGTGTGATAGTCAAACAATCTCAAGTAGGATTGCCGCTTGCGGCAGGCACTGCAGTTGTTTGCTTCAGCTGGCCTTTGTCCAGTACCCGGCCATCATGACAAAGACGCCTACAAACTACTGCACACTCAAATGCCGTTCGGTATCATGGCAAGAGACGTATCGGTTTTTCACTTGGTCAGGTCCAAGAGTTGTCTGAAGCATAGACGTCTTGGTATGTTTGCTACACGTGCATGAATGAGGTGTCATCTGCTAATGCGTTTAAGTGAACAAACATTGTCCCAGACCAAGACAGGCGTTTCCAGTAGTATAATGGCGTCCGCAAGTCACAACCTTGAGGCTGCTCAATCCCCAGATCTCGAAGACATCCCTTTAGTCAGCGAGGAGGAGCCGACACAGCGAAAAGTTAACGACAGACAACTAGCCCAAGCGATCCGTTACCTGACTGAGGAAGGAGGCGATGACACTCCTGCCACCTTCATGGACCGCGTTGGTCGGATCGACAAGGATCTTCTCCAGCAACTTCTTCAGCAAGAACGCAACTTCGACGACCAGCTGTATCAGCGTGCGCAAGCTATGATTCGTCAAGCGTGGCTCGACTTGGAGGAAGCTGCGCGCGAAAGTTCATCGTCTTCGATAGGCGGGGATTCTCCTATGTCGAGGATCATAGAGGAGGTACCAGAATCCTATACGCCTTCTGCAGTGCAAGCTCTTTATCGAAGAGGCGATACACCGGACGAACCTCAGGCCATGCCCCGCAAACAAGTGCCTGCATTCGGAACAGAGGTACGGCGCGAGCAACGGTTCAAGTACGGTGGCCCAAACAACGAAGCGGAAAGCTGGCACAAGAACTATCCAGCCTCGCTGCCCTTTCCAGAGACTTTCCAGATGGCGCATCGGGAGAGTCTCAAGATTGACTTTGATCTTTCCGAATCTGGTAAAAAGCTGAAGGCAGAGGGCAAGATTGTCGAGACCAACATACCTTTCGATCGCCCTGAACTGGAGCAGTACAAGAACCTACTGGTATACGAGTCTGGGTCACGCTTCAAGCTTCCGGTACCCAGTGCCGCGGTTCAAGAGAAGATCAATGAGCTCGGAACTCGAGGAAGCCTGGAAGAGGTTGTGCAAGAATTGAACCAAAACGACGACAGAGTGCGTGCCGGCAACTATGAATACACGCCAAGAGTCTTTCTGGACAAATTCTCCGTAGGAACTCAAGGTAAGTAATGTAATTCTCTTTTGAAAATGCCTCTCTAACATGAACCTAGTAGATCCTACAATGATCCGTGATGCTGTCAACACGACACCTGTCAAGTCTCGTACCGGTGCTATTGGTCGTAGTATTGAGCAGCCACGCCTAGAAGATGAGGATGCGCATGCTACAGGGGACAAAGCTCGTGCGGCGGAGTCGGCAGCTCGTATCGCTCATGAAAAGGTCCGTAAAGCAGAAGAAGTCCTCAACGCAGCAAAGCAGGCGAACCTGGAAATGTCTGCAGTAAACCCACAAGCCACGTCACCCGTAGCTCGGAAGCTCAATCGAGAGCGCGCGACTTCCCTCGAGCGTAGCCCGAGACGCCAGAGCGGTGTCAGTACTGCAGCTCCCAGTCCTGCATCGCCGAATAAGACTACTATCCATCCACAAGTAGTTATTCCGAAAAGGCCAAATAGTCGTCAGCCAAAGTCTACCCAGGCTTCACCTCCCAAGCCGCAGCCTACCCAGGGTCAGACCAACGTCGCTACCCCCAAGACTACCACCAAGAAACAACTCAAGCGTAAACGCAGTCTCAGCGAACGAAACTACACTCCTGAGACCAAGCGTTCCAAGTCTATTGTCTCTTCCTCACGGAAAAGTAGCAGAACCAGGACGCAAAAGTCTCCAGGTAGAGCCGTCCACTTCCAATCCGATGAATCCGACGACTCCAACGAGCTTTCTGAGAGCGACCTCGCAAAAGATGTCCAGGAACTCACCACCATTGTCACGTCCACCAAGACCAAGCCTGCCGAGCCTACCACCAAAAACACAACAGTTACTAAGAAGGTGAGCAAAGCGGCTGCAGCAGGTAAAGCGGCGCGTAAAGTGAAGGCAGGGAAAGACGTTGTTCTTGACGACGAACACACGATCCAGATGGTGAAAGAGCGGAGGTCAAAGTCACCAGGAAGGGTTGTGAAAGGAGGTACGAGGAGTGGAGCGAAGTATTTGAAGGGGTGAGGTGGTAGTACTTATGGATAGTTGCATTGATTGTCCGGGGCATGGGAATGATGGAGTTGATAGACCATGATGTGTAATGATTCCATACTATAGTGTTTCTCTCTGCTCTCGAGACGATTCTCTGGGAACTTCGTATTGTTGCCAGGTAGCTTCGTCTGAGTTGTCATCCCCGCAGATGCGACTCCGGACCATAAGCGGGGCATCACGCTAGGACAAAGACAAGTCCGGCAGCGCACGAAGAAAGAACCGCCTTCCGCCAGCGGTGCCCATGCAGCGCCGATGCAATGGTGAGTAGTCCCAAGTACCCCAGATCTTCCAGCTTGGCAGCCTTCTCATACGATCTAGAACGAATCTGGTGCCTTCCATCCGATTGCATGTGAGTCCTGTCGCAACAAGAAGTCAAAGGTCTTCGCCATCAACCAGTATCGCAATGCATCAACTAACGGTCTATAGTGCGACCGTGAATTACCAATTTGCTCGCAATGTGTATCGGCAGGGACTTCGTGTCGGTATCCGCCGCTCAATAAAAGGTACGAAGAGAGCGTCTCTCTGAAAGCGAAGCTAAGGTTATACTAGAGGCATCCCATCGGGTTATATATCCTTCGTCGAACAGCGATTGCTCGAGACCGAGATTGTCATGCTGGAGCTCCTTTCCACGATCTACAATTCTCAAGTACCGATTGGAATGCAGCGTCTCTCTGACACAGATCGCCGTGTACTAGCAGAGAATGTGCAGAAGCAGGCCAAGTCGAGCAGGATAGAAGAATGGAAGAGCCTTCCTCTCAACACAGACGAGGAACGTCTGTCTTGGTGGTCAAAAAGACAAGAGCTTATAAGAAAAGGCATTGAAGCAGGGAGCAGTCACGCATCTCATGAGAGCCCTGCGCAGACGGAACCATGGGTCATGGAGTCGAGTCCTGTGGTGGCACACTATGAGGATGTGCGATCATCAGTCGTAGACGGGTCAACCCTCCCATTTGCGCAGCAACCTCAGTTGGCGCAAGCTACGTGGCAGTTAGCGCCAGATGTACTCGGTGTTCCAGAACCCGCGCCAGGTCCTCTTCATCAAGACCAAGATATGCTAGATATGTCGCCGCGAGGAAATTTGGGAAACGAAGCGTATTTGACAGGCGATGGCAGATCAGAGCCTCTTGCACCTTCGGTATCGGGCACGTCGCTTGACTCGCGTCCTTCAACTACAGAACAATGGCGTAAATATTTTTGAGACTGCACAAATCGTTGGATTACTACGTGCATTCTTGCCATGTTGAAACGTATTGGAAAGGAAGTAAAGCATATATTGACAGTGACTTTGCAACGCGAATTTCAGTCCGAGAAACTGACTCGTGTGGCGCTAACGCCATGAGGCTTCCAGGGTTCATACCTTGTCAAGCGTCATCTTCGTCGCGTCTGCCAGTCAGCTCAACCACCTCCAGCCTCTTCTACCTCCATCAGCCACCCACAACTTCAATATATGACCGTCGCCGCTGCCATATCGATTGCATTACGACTAAAGCTTGATATCCAAGCTTCATGTGTAGTGGATCGTCGGATAGGTGATGGCCGAAGCCAATGCGAGGTCCAACAAGCGACAGGCTCTTCATGATGAGTCGGAATCCAACACAGCGGTACCCGATGTCGGGGCGGTAAGGAAACGTAGAGCATTCCTTCAGACAATGGGCCAGCAGCTTCGGGAATTCGGAAACGAAGGAACAAGTCCTCAGGATCACAGTCGCAGTACATTCGGCACCAGCCCTGGCAGTAACCTCAGGCCTCCGTCCAGCACAGGAAACATTGCCGCGAACCAGGCATCCGTGCGTCATGTCGATACCCCAGAGAGTGATGCTGCACCTGGGGAAGATGATCAGCTACCCGCAGGTGCTGCAAAGAGCGCTTCAAGATGGCTTTGGAAAACAGACGAAGTACGCCCTCTTGCACCAGAGAGCGTCACATCAGCTATTGCATTTGATGACCTTCTCGAATGGAGTCAGTCTTACTTCGACCATTGGCATCCTGCCTTTCCGTTTCTTCATGCGCCCTCTTTACTGGATTATTTTCGTCAAATTGTGTCGAGAGGCGTTCGCATCGCCTCTCAATCTACAGCAAACGAACTCCAACATATCATACTTCGCTCCATCATGTCAATCTCCATCCACGACCGGCGGCAGATGAATCTCACGCACAAACTAGTGCCTACGGCACTCGTGTTCCATTCCGTCAACGACGCCATCCGGAGCGTCCAGTTGGTGCTGACTGAAGAGAGCTCGGTGCTCTCTTTGCAAGCTCTTGTTAGCGTACAATTGTTCTTAATCACGATGCACAGGTACAACGCGGCGTCGCGTCTGGAAGGTTTGGCCGTTCGAATGGCCTTCCAGTTGAGTCTGCATCGCTGTCCATTACAGTTATCAATTCCAAGCAAAGAAGCAGAGCTGAGGAAGCGGCTTTTCTGGTCTGTAATATGTATCGATAGATATATATGCATCCGGCTCGGTACCCCACTCGGCATACGGTCAGACGAGGCAAACGTCTGCTACCCACACACAGAACGACACCTACGGGAGCCCGAAGAAGCTGGTATGTTTATAGCAGATTGATGTTCAAGGGTTCTCGGCTAACTCACCTCAAGATCGCACCCGTGATGACCGACTAGATTTATTGGACTTTCTAGCTCGCCACGCCGACATCCGCGGATCCATTATGCAAACGCGACACCAGTCCATGCTGCATGGTAGCGCCGATGATGTCGACCAAGCCCTGGAAGTGGAGGCAGAGCATACCAAGTGGTGGAACATGGTCGATGAACACTTGTCTAATGACGAGCAGACACAAACCATATCCAAGGCACATCAAGTCACACTCATCGTCCTTCGCTTCGAGTCAGTGCTTGCTCTCCATCGTTCTGTGTTAGCAACGTCGAAGAAGAACGCTGCATACAACGCTGCGCTGCAACGCTGCATATCAGCCTCACGCTCCATAATAAACACACTACACAAAGCCCTTCGGGGTTTCGGGGCGTTCGATGGCTCACCTGGTCAACATGGATATGAAAGAACTCCTCTGCTTTGGCCATCATTTACCTGGGCAGTATGGATGAGTACGTTTATCATCCTGTCTGCTGCTGCGGACGGACAGGTCACGCGCGATATCGCATTCAGGCTCTCAGACAGAAGCATTCAGATCCTCAAGCACCTGGCGTTGAGGGGTACGAGTTGGCCAGACGCATGCACGGTCGCTATTCAGAACCTTGTCGCACGACTCGATAAGCCATATAGCCGCGACCTTACGAACACGTCTAGGAACAGCTCGCGGGCGGCAATTCAAGCTGCTCGCGACCCCTCCATTGGCATGGATAACTGGCAAGCTCAGAGGCAAGTATCAGAAAATCGTTCGGGAAATTATGTGGCCTCCAGACATAATCCAGCGACAGGCATAGTGACGCCAACAGGACAGCTCCAGAGACTTACCGATCAGCCTCATGCAGTACAATATTTCGCAAACTACACAACCCAAGCGACAGAGCCAACCCTATCTAACGCCAACGCACAACCTGCCGATATGCAAAATGCCAACAGCCTAACATTCGACTATCTTGCGGGAGCAGGGAACTTCCTTGGTATTGCACAGCAATATTCAGACAATCCTTTACCAAACGAAGAGATCATGCATCTCTTCAACGGCGAAGACATCAATTACTGGTTCGGGAACGACACTGCGATGACTGAAAATCCACTTTATCATGAACAAAGCTTTCATTGAGCGTCAAGGGGAATACTAATAATACCAATTACATACAATCAACCCGATTTTGGCGGTGTGACCTTGCCTAGCGAGGCTGACTTGAATGCAGCATGAATCTCCTGCTCTGCGCCATCTTGTAATGGCAAAAGTCCACTTCGCACTGTCGCGTGCTCCAGGATACCCCTCGCAACCAGACCATGTTTGAGTGCAACAGTTCCCTCCATGTGCGAGCCACGATGATAAACATTCCTAGTCACTGGGAGCAGTCTGTCATGAACAGCTCTCGCACGAGGGTAGTCTCTCGCCTTGCCAGCTTCGATCATCTCAAGCAGCGGTTCGGGCGCAATGTTGCCGTATCCAACAAGCATACCGTCGACGTCGAAGCATGTGTGTAGCAAGTACTCATCATGACATGTGAGGATAGTAAGGTCGGGGTTTTGCTTCTTGATAATGGGAATCTCAACGTCCCAACGGCGCATATTGCGGACGCCGTTCTTCATAGCGATAACACCGGGCTGTGCGGCAATCTCGAGTAGCGTGTCCAGGCTGTAGGTCGCCTTGGTGTTGTCGGGATACTGGAACAGGATGAGGGGAAGTCCCGACTTCTCGTACACAGTCTTGTATCTGTCCTGCGGCGCTCCCGGCTGATATCCGAAGCGTAGCCAGCCATGGCTGGGGTACAAGAGACCCGCCTGCGCACCAGCAGCTTTGGCGCGTTGAGCCTCGAGCGCAGCCACCTCAGTGCCCTCTGTGGTGATACCAGCGATGATGGGGATCTTGTTGTCCACAGATTTGACGAACGCCTTGATGACTTCTACTTGCTCTTCCTGGGTGAGGAAAGTGCCCTCGCCAGCGTGTCCCAGCACGACCAGACCCTTCACGCCTGGAATGCTGCCGAGCCAGGAGCCAAGGCGCTGGATGGCTGCGTAGTCGACCGAGCCATCCTTGTTGAATGGAGTAACCGGCGCAGGGACGAGACCTGCGAGGTCGATCTGGGGAGCTTGCTTGACCTCAGGCATGGAACCCATTGTGGTAAGAGGAAGTAGTGGGATTGGGATAGGGAGTAAGAGTTGATTGTAGGAGAATGGATGAGTTTGATTTGTGTTGGATGATGCTGAACCTTGGATCGAAAGCTCGCGTTATATGTACTTCGTCCATCCATTACATGGAAATGCCGAGCGGCAAACGTTTGACGATCTCACTGCAGCATACGACTTCGTGCTAGGTTCCGAGCGCATGTTTGGGACGCGGACTTCAGAGAGTCCGCCAAAACCCCATGACGAATCGCTCCGGTTTACTCTTTGAAGCCTCGTTAGAGGCATGCGAGTAACGGGGACTTGCAATGTTCCGACGTAGTGCCACTGCCATGAGCCGATGTGCCGCTCAGGCGTACCGGACATGTCTTTGTCCGCACTAGCGTCTTGCAGCCGCAAGCCGCTCTCCACCCTGGACAAGCCGACGATTCTCATAGCCAATTACCTAGTTTTTAACTTGACTGGTAGCGGACGCCGCGGGATGCTCTGGACATTGTCTCGTTCCCCATGTTTTCTCCGCGCCGCAACGAAGAAGTTGGGGTCTGGGGAAAGTCCGGGGTCAAGCTTGCTCATGGACTTTCTGGGGAACGTTCGTCCAGCTGGGGTATATAGAAGGCGCTTCTCTTGGGAGGGTTGACCTTTTGTGCTGTTCTTCAGGATACTTCAGAGCCCTGCATATGACCGAGCCATCAATCTTGCGCTTCTGAAGATTGCCCGTCATGACCAACACAAACATCGACCGTTACGAAGATACCGAGAAGAATGTACCCCTGCAAATCGACGATGTCGCAACATCCGAAAAAGACCTCAAGGCGCAAGCAGCGCTCGATGGCGCCGACTATACTGGTGCGATTGCCAAGACGGACCCAGCAGAGATCGCCCTGGTACGCAAGCTGGACATGCGAGTGATGCCAGCGCTCTTTTGCATGTACTTTCTGTACGTCATGAAAAGCCCTCGAACTTCATATCGCTAACACTTTTGCTATCAGCAACAAGCTCGACCAGAATGCGATAGCAAACGCGCGCCTCAACGATCTCGAAGACGACCTCGGTCTTGTCGGAAACCAATACAACACCTGCATATCCATTCTTTACGTCGGCTATCTCTTTGCGCAGATACCCAGTAACATGCTCATGTCATCCAAGAAAGTACGACCTTCACTCTACATGGCTCTGTGCTGCTCGGTCTGGGGCTGTGTAGCAGCTCTCACAGCTCTGGTCAAGAATTACACTGGACTGGTGCTAGTGCGTTTCTTCCTCGGATTCGTCGAAGCCCCGTTCTACCCAGGTGCTCTGTACATCTTGAGCATGTTCTACACGCGCAAGGAAATTGCTACAAGGGTGTCTATCTTGTATGCCGGAAACATCTTCGCCGTATCTTTCGCTGGACTCATTGCCGCAGCTACTTTCGCGACGCTGGACGACAAGCATGGGATGCATGGATGGCAGTGGCTTTTCATCATTGAAGGCATCGTTACAGTCGGCGTATCTATTGTCTGTGTGTTCTTACTACCGGATGAGCCACTGACGACAAAGTGGCTTACACCTGAACAACGACAACTGGCGCACGATCGTATTCAGCGGGATACCGTTGGACTTGAGCCAAGCAAAGGAGTCAAAGCGGGTTTCATGCAAGCTCTGCGCGACCCAAGACTTTATCTTCTAGTCTTTATGCAGAATATGCATTTGAGCGCTACATCTTTCAATCAGGTACGTCGCATGAAGCCATTTTTCTTATAACTCTCATGTTACAGATACTAACAAACCACAGTTCTTCCCTACTGTAGTCAGGTCTCTGGGTTTCAGTACAACCATCACGTTGGTCTTGACTGCTCCGCCGTCGCTCGTCGCCGGTGCGGTCGGCATATGCATCGGCATCTCGTCTGGCAAGTTCAACGATAGAACATGGCATATCACTGTCATGATGGGAATCGCAGTCGTTGGATTTGTTATAAGTGCCACCACGCTCAACACCGCTGCGCGCTACATCTCTTGCTTCCTCTTCGCTTCCGGTTCGTGTCCCCTCGCCAATCTCCGTCCTTCTTGACACTCCTGCTGCGAAGCCTCCTACTAACAAACCGTGCTCTAGGCGTTTATTCGGTGAACTCAGTGATTTTAGGCTGGGTATCAGGGACGCTCGGCCAAACTACGGAGAAAAAGGCTGTGTCACTGTCCATCGTCAATGTGGTTTCCATGGCCAGCTTCATCTACACGCCTTACCTGTATCCCGCGAGCGACGGACCCAAGTACGTGATTGCTATGAGTAGCAATGCGGCGTTTGCCGGGGCATGTATCGCAGCAGCCTGGGCGCTAAGGGCGTGGCTTCAGGTGACGAACCGGCGGCTGAAGAGGGATGGTGTCAACGTTTTCTACGCGTATTGATTGGCCTTTTGAGTCGGATCGAACAGTCTGTATAGTATTCATGATTATATTGCAAAAGTATCAAATGAAAGTTCGACGCAAAAGATAATTACTAAGGGGTATCACCAACGCCAATCATTAAAACACCAAAAACAACATCAAACACCCCTCTACACCTCCACAATATCCGCATCCATCTCCAACTCATAACTCGTATGCTCCCTCCAAAGATGATCCATCAACGCCTCAATACCCCTACACACGGTATCCGACTCCCTAAATCTTGCGCAAAGCACACATGCAAAGCCCCCACCTTCTCTATGGCTCTTGACAATAAATCGGTTCTTGATGCGAAACGTTCGAGGTGCCATCTTGAAATGACTGTGTTCGTCTTTCTTCTTGTAGCCATCGACGACGAGCTCCCAGGCTTTTCCGGGTTGGATGGGAACATGTGTGCGACAGAAAGGACACTTGTGGTCGCCAGTGGGTCGGTAGGTATCGGCGAGGTGGAGACGGGAGTTATGTTGGAGGTCTTTGGCGTAGATGCAGAATAGCCTCGTGCTGTATCGTGAAGATGGAGGCTGAGGCTGAGGTGGGGGAGGGGGTGGAGGTATAGGCGTGGGCTTTGGTTTGGGCTTCACGATTGGTATCGGTTTGATAAGAACCTCCTTTGACTCGCATGAGGAGCTAGAGCTGCTGTTCATGCGCTTTTTGTGTCGCAGTGGCCTTGACGGTGGTCGCGGGTGGTCGGGTAGTGGAAATGCGCCAGGGACTCTTAAAGGTGCGTCGGGTTGTCGAGGTAATAGCGGTGATGGAAGTGGTGGCAGCATTCGTTCGTACTGCATGTTCAACGAAGCGATGGAGGCTGCGCGCGCCGTACGAGCCGTCTGAATCAGACGGACAAGGTGCGAGTGCGAAGATGACGGCGCCATATATGTGCTTAGTAGCAGATCCTGTTGGATGTTGATGACCGTCTGCTGAAGCTTTATAATCTGAGACTGGAGCTGCGTATGCGTTGTAACTGTTCCACATCAGTACCTGGTGGCTTGAACTTGAATGAGAACATACCATCGCCACGCGCGAACGGCTCGCCTAGCTTCCGATACCCACGTTCGTACTCGGCTCGGATCTGGGAAGAAGAGGTGCATATGAGCTCTTCTTCGCTGTCACTGTAGTCGCCTTTCCTCTTTTCCGAGCCAAACATGGAGTCGCGACGACGCCTATGCCATGGCCTCAGAGTATGATACTCATCTTCCTCATCGTCGCTATCTTTCTTACCAGATCTACGCTTGAGCTTGCGGTATAGATCACTGGCAGAACCGAAAGATTCCGTCAAGGTCCGCACGAGGGAAACCACGACTACAAAGTCTTGGAGTAGCCCTTTTGCCTAAGCAAGTTCGATCAGCACTTTATTCATGTATGCGACGACTATCACGTAACGTACTGTCTCTACGGCTTTTTCTGCTTCTTCTTTCATGATGCTAGGCTGTGGAATATACAATGGATGCGGAGTGTGAAAGGTGACAGTGGAATGCGTATTCAAACCTTGCGCTACAAGAACTCAACAGCCAGACAGTCATTTTGACAATTAATCACATCGTCGCTGTGTGCTCAGCTGAAGTTTGTGTTCGCATTTGATGTATCATGAGTACCTTTTTTGTTTTGGTGATGAGTGGTCTCATGATCGCGCCTGTTCACGTGCCGTTTAACACCAGATGACTTACCCGAGCTTTTTACAAAATACAAACCTAGATCATCGAAACAACCTGTTACATACTGATATCTTCGATGTTGTATGTTTACTAGACGTTGCACGATTGTGCCCAAGCTCTCAAGACTTCATGTTTGGCTGCGTTAGGTGGTTATCATCATTGCTCGTGAGATATGCGGATGCGGCACATGCTCATTGTCGCGTGCGCGTCACGTCTTAGACATTCGCGTCTCGTAAAGTGGGCATGATATCACTCGTCCGCATATACATTTGCTTGTGATCTTTTTGGTGTGGATTCGGAGAAGGATGCAAGGACTCGCTCGTTCGCAATCGTGCTCGACCAGCTTGGCTAGCGATGCTCCACGTGGATCCTACCTAGGTCCGGTCATATGTTGGATGAGCCCACTTTGGATGAAGGAGGCTTCGGAATGCCAATCGCACCCAGGATGCGGTCCAGCAGCCCTGACTCGTGGCGTAGCATATTCCACTCGTCTTGATGCTTGACCATCATCGTGCCTCCTAGCGTTGTACCGTTGAGAGCGACGAAGCCGATCTCACTGCCGTCATCGCGGTGAAGCATCGTGCCCTCGGCGCGTCTAGGCAGAATGACCATGCCTGCAGTGGTCATGGCGAGGTTGTAGCTCATGGGTAGATCGCCGTCGTCGGTGGAGTGTAGAGAGAAGTCGTTCGGGTTCGCGGAAATGAAGGCGTCGACTGCCGCTTTCGCCGCATCGTACAGACGGTTGTAGACATCGAGTAACTGGGTACCTGATGGCTCAGAGTCGAATGGGTATGCAAAGTGCGTAAACGGCAGAGAAGGATGTTGTAGAAATGCGGGATGGTGTTCTTGGATACGTGTTAGCTACGGGAAAGCGCAGAGTTGTCAGACGCCTACCAGTGGCCTTGGCTGCCGGGCTCGACAAGATCAAATCTATGAGCAGGCCCCAGTCACTAGCGTTGTTGCTATCGCGCATTCCTTCTACAGGTAGGAACTGCAAGTGTCTGTGGGGCTGAGAGGCGCCGCTGTGGTCACCGGAGTTGAAGAAGGCGAGGAGACGCTTCTGGTCGCCGCCCGAGTCTGCCTGCCATGCTTTCAAGACGGCGTAGGTCGCCTCCAGATCGTCCTGTTCGAGCACGTGTGTTTGCTTCTTGTTGGGTTTTGTCGCAAGGATGAAGTGCTCGGATATTATGGGGTACTTGTTGAGGACGAGGAAGTGGGTTGAGTTGGCGGCTGGTATGTCGGCCAGGTGAAGGGCTGGTGGGGGGTTCTCGAACGGGTCGATCTTCTGTTTGGGCGTAGCATTCTGGAGCTTCGGTATGGGTTTCTTCGCAAGCGACGGGCAGTATCGTAATTGGAACTGCTGGCGTGTGAGCCTGGTGGTGGTGGTGGTGGCAGGGTCGGCATACTCACGGGAATGCCTGCAGATGAGCGGATGATGGCTAGCTCCGTAGGCGAAAACAGCAAATCCGACGATGCCTTTGCAGCCTCGAACTTGCGCTTCGTGATGCTCGGAAGAGCTTCAGATAGTCCGAGAATCATCTTCATTCGTTGTCGCGTATCGATGACAGGTGGGGTGGGTGGGCAGTTCAACCGTTCAAGCTTCAACTGCGAGTTAGCGCCAAAGTCTAGAATTGTTTTCACACTTCAGGACGTCTCCTTCACCATCATCATCACGTTTGTCACACGGAACCTGCTTCGACATGCCACATTCAATGCAAGGGATATCATATCGTCAAGAACCCGCTTTAAAGACCTCCCGAAACGACGTCATGCTTCCGCCCTGCTTTGCAGCTTCCCCATCTAGGCCATGGAGGCTTCTTACGCCCCCCAAGATGGAACTAAGACAGACATATCCACCAACATTACCATCAACATAACAATAGAACAAAGTGGTACAGACAGAGAGTACGACTCCGGAAGTAGCAGAATCAAAGACGCCGCCATGCGGCAATCTTCCGCGCAGTTGCAGAAGACAGGTGCCTCTACAACATCCCTCGGTGCCTCAACAGCAACAGTAGCGCTGTGCAGACAGGGAATGTTCCAGTGGTCGCACTTTGTATCTTCAACACGAACAGTACTTGACACCAGTCAAGTGTACTGGAGGATGAGGGCGTGTCGATGCCGTCGCTCGACATGGCCCATGTCTATCTCCGATCACTTACGACCTTGGTTGCGCTCCAACCATTTCCTCTTGCACGTCGCGTTGCCGAAATGATACGATCCGCCGTTGTCGGCGATAAACTCTGCGACCTTCTTCCAAGCGACTTTGAGGATCTTTTGCTCAAAGCTCAGCGAGTACGGGTTCTGGAGGTTGCTCTCGATGCGATCAAACTCTTGCTGAACGGTCTCATCCAGGAGCTCTAGCTGTCGAGTGTCAGTCTAATATAACGAGTAAAGTCCAAACGGTCGGCTTACATCGATCATTGTCCAGACGGGCTTCCGGACGCGATCTTTTCTCGCCTTGGTCAAGGATCGGTACCGGCCCCTCAGAGTAGACTCCGCAGACTTCTCACCGATCATCTTCAACTTGATCTCCTTGTATGTCTCTCCTCTCTTCTTTCCATCGATAAGTAGCTGATCGTTGTGCTCTCGCTGGGCTTGGGCACCAGCACTGCGTGGTACCTGGAATCTATCTTGGATACGGCTCTGGACACTGCCATCCGGGCATGAAGTGTTCCAGGGCGTCACAGAATACTGCGATGTATGGGCTTCGTCTGTCGACGATATGCTAGTACTACTGGCTGGGTGACTGGAGCGCACAACGTCGCGGGTCCCGAACGCTAGATTGGAGGTGTTATACGCGAAGTTCTCACCGTACCACGGAGAATGGCCAGCGCTACTGGTTTGAGAGTGCGAATACTCAGATCTAGATTGGTGTTCGTCCCCGAAAGAGGCGATCGGTGCTTGGTCCCTTCTGCTAGGATAACTGGATGGCACTGTGACCGTGGCCGTGTCCGCGTCCATCCTCGGGAGTCCTGAGTATCCAGTGTCGCCATCTGCGTCGTGTGCAAGGAAAGACCTGCAGGGAGGTGAAAGGATGGCCGCGTTGATGGTAGTCGCTGAAGGTGCGTTCCAGTTACCGCATGGCGAAGCTTGATCTAGCATAGACCCTGGACTGTATGTGTTCTCGAACTCGTCGCTGCGGTAGCTCCTTGGCGATGGTGATATGCTCTTATCCAGGACAGAGCTGTTGGCGGTCATCCCACGAGGGAGCCCATGGAGTTCAGAAGATGGCCATGGTATTGGGTCGCTAAAGCCCTTCCCAATAGTGTTCTGTGTGATGGGTGTAGAGTTGTACGTCAGCACCTGGTTCTGGCGGAATTGCGGGTCCGAAATCGGCACGATGTAAGGCTGCGTCTGTTGGATAGCATGGTGCCAGTCGAACGGGGGTGTAGGGACTCCGCTCCAGTGCTGGCCAGATGAGTACGCAAGGATGTTGGAGCTCGGTGTGGCAGCTGCTGCGCCTGTCGGCTTAGTGTCCTCCTGCTCGACCCTCTGCAGTGCGTATGGCTGGGTCTGCACATAGTGACTTGCCTTCACAGTTGTCAATTTCGATGCCGCGACAACACAAGCGTCACTTACCATCATTGATTCCGGCATTCCAGTACAATCGGGGAAGTCGCTGAATTGATCCGCTGAGGTAAGTTCCGGGACGTAGACTACGCGGGGTTGAAGCTGAGGAAGAGATTGAGGAAGAAGATATTTGCAATCCTGGTAGACTTCTTGAGCGAGAGCCATGACTGCACTCGCGGCATCCGCCTCTTATGGATACCCCAAGAGACGCTAATCATACAATAGTATTGAAAGTCGGCGTGAATGCGCGATTACGCGAGGCCAAAACGGGCGGGATACCACCGCTGTGAAGTGGGCGTGACTGAAGATTGCGGGGTGCTGTCGAGATGTCGAGGCACACGGGCACGTTCAGTATTCACAAGAGTGACACTCTATCATTCGCTCGACGGACCTGACCGCTTCACAGGATTAGGCGGTGGAGATGCGGAGTTCGAGCGAGTACAAAGCTCTGCCAAGGTAGGTAGACGACAGCGCTAAATCTTGCAATTTCCTGACTTGTTATTGTGAATGGTCGGCCACAAAAGTGGAGGAGACGAGGCTGGCCCTGCTATCTATATGATGCAACAGTGAGCCCACGCAAGGTACCTAATCGATACACATCATCAGTACGCTAGGCCAGAGCGGTTACGTGAAGAGAGGTAGCCTCACCAGAATGTGCCACGAGATCAGAGGGACCAGGAGGAGCCCAAAGATGGAGGCAATGATCGCATGGACACACGCAAACACACTAAGGTATCTATCGGAGTCCTCTGGCTGGTGGAACGAGTCTTGTGGACAGCGGGGAAGGAAAACGCATACGGTGAACTGACGATTCGGATCGTACACCAACAAGACAAAGTGTAAGGATGAAGCCGAAGCCAGATGATGAAACAGGCCTAATCACATATGTTGGGTGTGTATAGGTGAGGACGATCCGCACGTTTATAGTCCAAGACAGCCTCAGAACCTTGACTGAAGTGATGAGACTCACGTTTGGAATACGCCACACCCATGTCTTGCTATACTATGGTACGCGGAGTTAGAGATCTAAGCTCTCGGGTAGACCCGCCATTTCTTTCAAACAGCAAAGTCTCCCGGAGTCCGCGCGGAAGGGTAACGGATTGTCCGTGTAGGCTAGACCGCACATCATTCGTGCAGACTCATTGGGGTGCGAAAAGATTGTTAGAAGCAAGCACAACTCTCATCAAGCAACAGCACTGCCATCCCGCTACTCCGTGATGTTCAACGTGGCTAGCTCAAAGAAGGCAAATAACATTTTTCTGAAGGCTGTGTCGGTCTACGCTCGACCTATAACGACGAGCTGTCAAGCGTCGAGCTGAGAAAAGATTGCTCGTTTAGTGCTAGCTGAGCTGGCGAAGAAAGTTCTACATCGTCTTGTTTGGCTGGCGTACAGAAGCGAACGGTTATCTGCATGGCATGGCGTGTTGCCAAGCCATTGTGTCTGACGCACCAGTAGGAGACCAGCTGAGATGTCATGGCGTGTAGAGACGCAGGTACGTATGCAATCTGATGCAACGATGTTCGCTGGGTTGGTAGGAGCCTCGCGTGTGCTACATGTGTCGTCGATCATGACGCTCACGTCACACATGAGCTTCGCAATCAGTACTCCGCACATCGCAAAATTCCATCGCCACGACAAGGGAAAGGCTGAATTTGCTGAAACTTCCAGTGTCGGCTCGTCGCTGGTGAAAGCGGGGAAGCCAGTGAGTCTTTCCTATCAATATCGACTCAATACCGGCTAGACACTGCACATGCTTAGATATACTCACTAATGTGGCTAGTGACAACCCACGCATACAACGATCCACCTCCAAACTCGCTTGAAAATCCCACGCCACCGGAAGGCCGCAGTCCAGCGACCGCCTGGTACCGGTGCCCGACCGCAATAGCGTGGATCTGGTCAGGCATGTGCATCGAATGTGCGGTAAATCCTTTCCGGTGGCGCATGATGCTGCCTTGACAGGTCGCGGAGACTTAATCTTGCGTACGATTGCATATTTCTGCGGAAGCTGGTACCCGTCTCCGGTGGCTACACTACCATGCTTCGCCATGAGTGGTACGAAACGGCGACCGTGCAGCGTGCATGCCGCGTGCGAGGGTATGATGGTTGAAGGTACGATATGTAGGGTTGTGCGGGACGATTGGGACGTCCGAACAGAGAAACAAGTCTGAAACATTGAGCAAGAGGTGAAAAGTCTGACGTGTTGGAACTCATTTGCACTGACACGCAGAGTTGTCTAGACGCACGTACTACGCAATCTGCCCTTCACCTCCGCGCTAGTTCTATGGCATACAATCCCTCACGCACTTGGATACCTATCAGCCTCCCGAAATCTTCTCGGTCAGATCTTCGCCTTTGCGTTAGCCGGCGGCAACAGCTGAACATCCTTCCACGGCAACCCCAAGTACTCCCACATGTAATGGAACCTGTATGGCATACCCGTTAGCGCGCCCCACAGCTCTCGAGTGTTCGTTCGCCATGTTTCAACCGTTCGCAGATCATTCTTCATCCGTTGCGGCATCTCCCCCGCAGCGGGCGCCTTACTGAAGATGAATGTACTAGTAGAGGTCCAACCTCGTTGACCCGCAACGGAACATACGAGCATGCTAAGCAAAAGGCAGGGCCAGGGATACTGATGAGAGGGTACGTACCTATCACTACCAAAGAACGGTTCTTCTTCCCCTTTCGAGTTGCGCACAAGGAACCATGGGCAGCCAAAGGCACCCCGATCAAGGGCTTCCTTGGTATTGTCGTTCAGCTGCTGCTTATATGGCGGGCTGTTTGCTTTCGCCATGACTTCCCGGGCTTCGTCTTCTTTTAGACGCTGCTGTAAAACTTCCGCAAGGACTTCCGGCTTGCTGACATCCTTGCCGTTTTCCCACATCGCATGGTAGATGTCACGGAAGATAGCGACGAAGTGCTCTCCATGTGCTTCCTTCACGTAGCATAACGCCCGCTGTGGTAGTAATGAGAGAATCGGAAAGAAAGATGGTGTCTGGACATTAGGAACACCAAAATGGTGTTTCGCTCGCGCCCCATCATACTGGCTGTAGTTCGCCTTTGCTGGCAGGGTCCACGGCGGCTTGTTGCCTGCGCTGCAGTGTCAGGACTGAAATGGCATAGCAAGTACCGAATTTCCAGGCACTTCACATGGGAGGGGATGAGGAAGTATTACCGCTGCCGACATTGATACCCCCTAAAAAGACGGGCACTATGCTGTATGAAGTCAGTGATCATACTTGCTCTTGGCGAGAGCGCAGTCTCATTGGTAGGGTTTCAGAAGGGGGAACTCGTCTCGAGCTTCAGGTGACGGAACGACGGGTACTAACTCGATCTCTACATTGTGCGCTTCGAGAGTCTGTCTGTTCCTCTCCAGGTGCAGTAAAGCGTAGTATGAGTATGGAGATACTAGTCCATAATTAGCATGTGATGTCGATCAACAGAACATTGAGAACGTACCGCAATCTAGATAGCACGTAATCTTGCCTGCCATATTCGCAATACGCCCAAACGCACGAGATGAGAAATCAAGGTCGGACTTGTAAAGATGCTGGCCATGTCTTATGCGCGTCGTCGTTGGATCGGCGCTCTGTCTTGGCTGCCGAGGTCAAGCATGGCCGGACTCTATCACTAATCGCGACCACACCTCCACCTTTCAGGCCGTGAATGATGCGGATACCCCGGATTCTGTCCGCGCAGCTTATGCGTACCGCAGATGCAGCGCCATACGCAGTGATCGAGGCTATACAACGAATGCTGATTGCAATGACATCTCTACTTACGCTTTGTAGCCGCCTTTTGCTGTTAGCAGTAAGCAGCAACTCCCCCGGCGCGACGTAACCTTCAACCCTAGACGATACACTATCTCTCCTCCATGCCATCGTCCAACAAACAAGTCGCACTCGTCGTCGGTGCTTCGCGAGGCATTGGCCGACAAATCGCCATCGACCTAGCAAAAGATGGCTATGCAGGTGCGCATCGCAACCTCCTCCGTTCAAGAGTCAAAGTACTAACAACCATGCAGTCGTCGTAGCCGCAAAATCCACCTCCGACGCCTCCAAATGCTCTCCTTTCCCACCCGACCCAAACTCCCCTGTGTCCACCATCTCCACCGTGACCCGCGAGATCCACGAGTCAGGCGACGAAGCCACAGCCATAAGTGTCGACACGCGAGACTATACCAGTATAGAGCGCATGGTAGCCGAGACAGTAGCCAAGTACGGCCTTCTGAATGTACTCGTATATAATAGCGGCGCGATATGGTGGGCAAGCGTGGCCAAGACCCCGATGAAGCGTTTCCAACTCATGCAGCGTGTGAACGTCGAGGGTCTGTATGGCGTCATACAAGCCTGTCTTCCGCACTTTGAACAGCGCGAAGGGGCGTGGAGGGGCAGGATTATAGTTGTTAGTCCGCCGATCTATTCGCGCTTCTTCCGCGGGAAGACGGCGTATGCAATGGGCAAGGTGGGTATGTCTGTTCTTACAAAGGGGCTAGCCATGGACTTCCAGCGCGAGGGAAAGAGCGACATGGCGGTTACGAGCATTTGGCCCGCGACGGCGGTGCAGAGTGCTGCGACGCAGAGTATGGCGCAGGAAGATGCCAAGGATCTTAGGACTGCGAATATCTTCTCGGATGCGGTGCTGCAGATGATCAAGGCGCCTGTGGAAGAGGTTAATGGGATGTTGCTGCTTGATGAGGATTTCTTGCGGATGAAGGGGGTTAGTGATTTTGAAAAGTACAATTTGGTGGAGGGGAGTAGGCCGAGGAGGATTATGCCTGTGAAGTTTCCGGATTTGAGAGTCAAGGAACAGGATGATGAGGGGAGGAGGGTTGATAGTACAAAGCTTAGAGCTTCGAAACTGTGACATTGGAGATGATGTCATCTAGTTCTTGACACGACTGTACATGTTCAGTTTTTTTTTTAGTAATCTGCGTGGCTTCACCATTCATCAAGCTGTTCCCATCCTACCGATTGATCAGCCTGTCCCCAGCCATCATCCCTGGTTTCACCGCTGCCGCCCACATCCCACGTACTAGCAAATGCTTCAGCGGCTTCTTCAGCCTCTTGACGATTGCGCATGGACTTATGAGCCTCGTAGCCATCATCCCATCCGCTGTTATAGCCCAGGTTTTTACCACTTTGGCGCTCACTGGCCAGTCTCGGCTTAAGAGTTTCCTCAGCCGCATCAACTCCTTTTTTGTACGCTGCATCCAGTCGTCCGTCCTCTTCGGCATTTGCGTCGGCGTAGCCTTCGTTATATGCGCTCCCCCAATTGTCATCGTTCCCCTGCAAATGTCCCACGATGAACCCCCTGGCGTACCCTTTCGTGTAACCTTTCTGGTGACCCTGAGAGTGTCCCGCATTCCGACCTCTCTCAAATCCCTGGGCTTCACCATCTGCTTGTTCCCGATCATACACTTTCGCACAATTTGTATCATCGCCCCGTTCATCTTTGCTACAAAGGCGTGGACACCCGGTTCCATACTTGAATTGATGTTCAACGACAGTTTCCATATTGTGCTCAAAGCAAGTCATGTCTTGACAACACGCAAAGACCCGTCGAACTGTTCCATTCGTCACGTAGTCGATCTTTTGGATAGTACACAGCAGGATCGTCTCGCGAGCATAATCTGCATCTTCTTGGATTCTTGGAAGCTTCGTCTCGTGCTCTGACTCAGCCCAGTTTATCCCGAAAGTTTTGCCTGCTTCGTAACCAACGGAATAGCCATCATCATAGGCTTCGCACTCGATCTCGCCCATATCGGCTGAAGCGATGCGTCTACCTTCTGCAAGACATTCTGTATAACCGTCCTCGTAGCCTTGCTTTTTTGCGTTTGCCATGCTCTCGGTCTCGCGTTCACCCCAATCCGCCTCTTGCAATGTCCAGATGTACCTTCGTGCTTCTTCCACGATGAGAGGCGTGATCTTTTTTAGTTGCTTTTCAACACGAAGATTCAGAGTGAGCTTGAACTTCGTATCGCTGAGTGTCTGGCCTCTGCAGATACCACGCTTGTTTTTCTGCGAGAAACGCTTGTCGCTCGATCGCTAATCTCGCTCCCTCTCCCTTATTTTGGTCTCTTATCTGACTGTGTGAGATCTCTTGCTCTTGTAAAGTCTTGGTCAACGCGGCGTGCTCTTCTCGGTTCCTGTCTCGCTCTTGTTTGAGCTGCTCGTTGAGCTGAACGAGCCGGATGCTTGATTCACAATACTGTCTCTCCCACTTGTCGAAGGCCGATTGCGGAGTGCTCTTGCGTGCTGCTGAATTCTTCATATCACGACTTGCTTTCTCCATTTTGGCGCCCATAGCCACGACCGCATCAGAGAGGTCTTGGAATGTCTTGGACTTTACTTGAAGATGCTTGAGCTTCATCTTTTCAGTCTTCAAAGTTTCCTCACGCTGTTCAAGCGAGGCCCGCTTGTCTTCAGCCACCCTCATCTTCTTCTCGTATTCTTTTTTCTCCGCTGTGGCACAACCAAAGTCGGTCACCGCCCTTCTGTTGTGCTGTTTTAGTTCCTTCAAGTCGTCGGCAGCTCTTTTTCGATCCTCAGCTCGTCCCATCTCTGCATGAACAATTCTCTTCTCTTGATCTTCCACCTTTCTTTCCAGCCACTCTATGAAGTCATGACACCGCTTGTTCTCTTGGTGCAGACTTGCATTAGGTACTTTCTGAAACGTTGGTCGAATCGGTCGAGGTGGCTGTTCGGCCCATGAACGTCAGGAGTGAGGAAACGCGGACTTCTTGAAGACAAGCTTGCCATCTTCGATATGTCAGTAATGTTAGGAAAAGGCAGATGTCGTATTACCTCGGCTAACATTGATCCATCGTCCGCCGCTATTGCCCTCTGTACTCGCCGTGACAGTTCCAGATGCAGTAAGTGATCGAGGTACAGCACCGTCGTCGGCGGTGACTGTGGCAAGCCCTGGCATCGCGTACTCTCACTCGTGGCCGCGTGACCGGTATTGCGTAGAACGAAAACGAAAGGCGAACACGCTTACTTTGACGACCAGCTGCGAGACGAGCTTCCCTAGAGATAGTGCTCCTGGTCTGCATGAGGTGAATGGACGATGAGTCAAAGCTGAGACGTAAAAAGGTGAGACTCCGCGACGCAACAGAAGAGGAAGGAGCAATGCTTGGCGCGCAATAGATCGCGCAAGAAACGCGTCGAATACGGACCGACAGGGTCGTGCAGGCTAAGAGAAGCTACGGGGCGTCTTCCAAAGACCAAAGCCATTCGTCATCTCTGGTCCGTGGTGACATGCGTACTTCATAGGCACTCACCTTCGATCCATGGCCCCGGTCATGTGTGCCAATGCGCAGGTGACTTGTTCGATCCATCACGAGTAAACCGGTACTGACGTGTGCAGATGTCCGCCCAATGGTGGACACACCAAGTTCTTCATAACTAGAAAGAATAACGGAACATTTGAAAAGGCCCTGACTGCCGATGACACATGCGAATTAAATTGCATTAGGGAGAACTTTGACAAGAAAATGGTCACTACATTCGGAGAAAGAAACGGACTGACACAAGAGACGAGACGAAAGACGAAAAGAGGAGAATCCCAGAAACAGAAAATTTGAAGCTTATGCATTAGCTCGCCCATTTCCCCAGTTCATTCAATCCATTAGACACTCAACCCCGATATTACTCCATCATGACGTACGGAGACTGCATACCCTACCACCAAGTCCTCCTTCCATCATCCTTCAATCCAACCCTATGCCAATGCCCGATAAACACCATGCTTGCTTGAAAACCCAAATTGCAAAACGAAAAAAAGACAATTCTACTAGTACAGGGAGCGGTCGTAGATGCAAGAATCAGCCATAGAGGGCCGGGGACGCTCGATTGAGATCTTGTAGAAGGGTATAAACGCGCAGGGGACCTGGTATGTAATGCTCGCTGTAACATGTATGCCGAAACGATATATGCGTGTGCGGAATTCGAGGTGGTGTGAAGACGGTCTGCAACACCGCGGTTCGATAACAGTATGGTTGCAAAGCTCAAGCGCCTTTGAAATACTTCTGACAATGAGGTGAGAGGGCGTGTGCTATCTCTCTAATAAAGGCGTCCTCTGCTGGCCTGGCTCGCTCTGCTGGGCGATGTCCGGCTCCTCTCATCTTCCTCAGGAACGTCACTCAGTCTTGTCGGATGGTGATGTCTCATGCCTACCCACTCGTCGCCGTAGCCATCACCACTGTAGTCGGGTGCACCGCCAGCGGTAGGGTGACCCTGGCGTGACGACCCCGCGCTCGAACTCGTTGCATAGGCACCTGAAGATGTGGCAGTCGTGCCGTAGTGTTGCAGATGCTCAAGCTCGCGTCGACGTGCATCTTCTACATCATACTCATCGGATACTGGAGACTGAAGCGATCGAAACGGGATGCGGCGACCCGAATCATCGCGGATGAAGTTGCCTCTCTCGTCCAGGGCGTACTCGATGTCGCCCTCGGACTCCTCCGCCTGAGACGTGACATACGACTGTTCGTCCTCTGGCAGACCGGACTCAGACTCTTGATGTAGATATGAACCTGGTTGCTGGTAGAATGCCTCAGGCTGAGACATGGCCGGTTGTGCCGGAGCTTGCTGTGCCTGAGACGTGTAGTATGGATACTGTAATGGAGCAGGGGCCAGTGACTCGTCCGCGGCCGAAGAGCCACCAGGTCGAGAGGACGTGGCGGATGCTGCACCTGATGGGACGTAGGTTCCTTGAGCCACGTGTGCGGGGGGTTCGGGCTCTCGGTGCGCATGACGAGCGCCCTCTGTGTAGGGATCGGTGTCAGTTGGCGACTGACCCTCCTCATACGAGTAGTGCTGTTCTATACCCGAGCCACTGCTCTGAGCACCGGCGTATGTGTCGTCCCCATGTCCCCTCCCTTGACGCCCCATGTTCTGTGCCATTGGCACCACCTGCACTCCGCCGACCAACGTAGGCTGTCCTTCTCTGAGTGAGAACGTGCGGTCGCGTTCCTCTTGCTCTCGTCTTCCAAGCTCCTCCCATGCTCGGCGTGCTTCCTCTTTCGAAATTTGAAGCTCACGCTTCATCTCAGACACCGCTCGCTCAGCGTTCTTCTTCTCGGTGGCCATGCGTTCCATGTTTACTTCAGCCTCAAGTCGAGCCTCGCGCTCCGTGTTGATTTGTTCCGTCAGTTGAGCCTCGCGCTCTTGAGCTCTTTCCTGATCCTGGCGATGCTCGTAGAACCATCTCTGGAACTTGCGCTCGGAAGATGCGCGTAGGCGCTGCAGCTCAACAACAGCATGGAAAAGGTTGGCACCAGCTGCCGACAGGTCGGTGATCTGGCGCGACATTTGCTGAGCCAGCGGCTCCCTGCGAACTTCATCGGTATTCTGCTCAAGCCGCCGTATCCAGTAGGAGGTAAGACCTTCCCAATGCGAGGATAGTGTTTCCCAGCGTTCAAAAGCATGCGGAAAGTTGGATGTAGTTGACTCGCGAGCCTGTCCGGAGGACGAGCCTGGCGGAGGTGGTGGGCGTGTTGCTGCGGTGGAAGGACCTGCTTGTGATGAAGCTGCCGTGGCACCAGACGGTCGCCTCGCATGCCCTGAGCCAGCTGGCCGTCTGCCTTGTTCCACCGTCGTCGGTAGGCCTAGATTTGCCTGAGCGGGTCGAGACTGCTGCTGCTGCTGTGCTTGCGAGGCTGCGCGGGGTCTGGATTGCGATGCGCCGGTACTGGTTTCCTGCGCTTCACTCATGGTGTTTTGTGATGGGATCGGCCTCTCTGGCTGACGAGGCACTCCACCCGACGATGTCGGGTATTGTACATACTGGTCGCCAGATCTCAGAGCAGCTGATTGGGGCTGCCTCTGGGTCCCGGGCTCCGTTGTTGGTGCTCCAGCTACACCAGAAACAGCTTGAGCTCTTCTTTCCGCGCTAGCTCTCCTGCGCTCCTCTTCAGCGGCCTTCCTTTGTTCCTCCACTTCAGCCCGTTGCCGTCTGGCGTTCATGATCTGCGTTGGCGTGCGTATGTTGGACCGGTCAACGGGCACAGGACCGCCTGTTGTGCGCGCGCCGCCATTGGCAGCGCGGCCACTTGTTAGATCGGACATGAGGGCGTTCTCTTCGACCAGATCCGGGGTGAAGGGATGTGGAAGTCGGAGTCCCTCCTCGAGCACAAAACGTATTGCCGAGGCAGTACGCCGACTAATGCGAAGGGCGGGGTGAGGCTCGGCGTAGGAGGTTGAGCGAGGGCGAGGTGTCTCGAAGCGAACGCGCTGCTGCTGTTGGCTCGGATCGACAGATCTCGCGCGCTCGAAGTTGGGCGTGCGGCGAAGACTGTTTGCGACGCTGCCGGTCGAGCTCGATGCTCTCGAGCGATTGTGCTGTGTGCGATAGAAGGCTTCCGCTTGCTCCTGGCGTAGCTGGAGGGACGTTCGGTATTCGAACAGTGGCGCTGGGCCGTGGCGGTCGTGGTCTCGTGAAGATGGTTGTTGGAAGGGTAATATGTTGGCGAGCTCAGATGGATCGCTGGACGTCAACGCGAAGCCAGGGACTCTCACTCAGGCCCAATTGCCCTTGCGCCGTTGAGGGGCACCCGCCGGGTTGGAGAAGATACCCAGCGGCTGGTTTTCTTGGGATTGGCTAAGCAACGCGCGACGGCTTGCTTATATCGAAAGGCACGAAAGCTGGCTGGAGAGGGTAATGTTAGAGACAGAGACTGCGGGAGAACTAGCAGAGGAGCCATTGCTGCGGTGCGCCATAGCAATTCCGTGCGCGAGGTAGGGTGGTTGGGAGGAGGTGAAGGGCTGGGAGGTGGCTGGGACGCTTCGTGAAATCAACTTACACCTCTCACCGACAGTCCATGAAACAGCCAATGTACGTGTCTGGATGCGCGAATGGTGATATGTATGCGCTGCACTGCGCTGCGCTGTGCTGTGCTGTGCTGTCGTCGTGGTGCTGGTGGTTGTCCAATGCCTCGAGTTCTGCTGGCAGTGCCGAAGCAGACGTCACCGGACGAAAAGCTGGCCCTCAGCCCCAGCGCTCAGAAGCGCGGCGCCTGCTGCAACGCGCGGGTGGGTAGAAAAGAGTGACGGAAGAGACAGAGGGTCTCGTCTGGATATGCATTGAAGTCGCGCGGCTGAGCAATCGCGGACGTGTGGTAGCGCTTTGAGCGCGAGCGGAGCTTCACCCGGGAAGCAAATACGACAAACGCTGATATTTGCTGATGTGGAGTCGCACTGACCGACGTGCAGCGAGATGCATGCAAGCGACTGCTATGGGACGAGGATAGCGGACGTCGAGTTGGTGACGGCTTCGATCGATTGCCAGCGTGCCAGCTCATCGTGCTTGTTCTGCTAAACCTGGCATGGGGCCAAGGTACAGCGCGAGCCGGAAAGCGGAAAGCCCAAAGCCCATCGCCGTCATGGCCGGCCGAACAAAGCAAGGCATTAGAAGCCAGCAGTCCAAGATTACAAAGAAGTCATGTAGTTGATAGCTGGAGATCTATATGGCTCACGGCCTCTCTCATGCTCGTAGTCGCGGTTACCTCATCGCACCTGCCCACCCGCATGCGCCTGCCAATCAGCCGAGTTATGAGGAAGGAGCGGCCCGTCTCCAGCGGGTCAAATCGTCACAGCATCTGGCCACGAGCGTCGTGCCTCTTCAACCTCCCAACAAGCCGCCTTCTCCAAAGGCCTGCGTCGCAACGACTAGCTGATGATGAAGTCGTTCGGTGTCTTGTACAGCCAACAAACAATGTCTTCCATTATGTCCACCCCTGGAACCCGCATACACGACATGCAACTCCTAGCCTCGCCTATGCGTTAGACCCATGATCCTGCAGCAACGGAAGAACAAGGAAACATACTGCAGACGTAACGTTTACTAGACCCACAGAACAGCTGTCATCGTCAGACGTCGCCCGTCCCATTTGCGATCAAAAGAGGACGGCACACTTTGCGCACACCGCCTCACAACCTGAATCGCAAGCATATCGGACCGAGGCAGCAATGGGAGGGCTGTAGCACTTGCAAAGACGCCGAGATGTCAGCAACGAAGGAGAAGTACCGACACAGCCAGGTTGTGAAATGTGTTTATTCGTGTAGATCCTAGGAAAGGGCCAGACTCTGGAGTGAGACCTAGCTACAAGGTTATTCCCAAATACCCTTTCCCAAGGCTTCCAAACGCCAAAAGCTCCGCAGGCGCGTCGTGGTATCGTAGTTCATCCTCCGCTCCGTCCTGACCCAAGTCCAAATTGTCAGTCATTTGTCATTCGCCGTCCGCCGTCCATCGTTTATCAGTTCCTATGAGAGTCGAGCAAGGGTCTTTGGGTAGGACACATTTGCTGCTGCCAGCAAGTCCCATCCATGTCTCCTCACTCCCTTTGGTCAGCTGCATGATAAAAATAATGTCGAAATACCAAAAGCAAGCAGGGCGCTGAGCAGAACCGGACCAAATTCAAGAAACAGCGCCAGAACTAGAACCAGACAACCAGTCCCAAGATCTTCTTACCTTGTGCTGAAAGCTACCGTTCTTGGCGGCTGTCGTAGATTTTACCGAGGCTTCGTTGATGTCTGCGGGGAGGATTTGGTCGAAGCTGCTATCATTGGAAACGATAGAGTCTTCGGAGGTCGCGCTGTCGACAAGTACCAGGCTCGCACCAGTCGGAGAGGTTGTGCCAGAAAAGGTGTTTCCGTCTGCGGCAGGGCTTCCGGTCGTCGTGAGAATGACAGGTGTCTTGCCATCATTTACTGGGACAAAAGGGAGACTTGCAAAAGACACGGTTTCTTGCGGCTGCAAGCGGGAGGTAACAGCACTGCCTGGAGGCCACGGTGACTGTGCTGAGAAGTAGCTGTCTTCTTTGGCCGCGCCGTCCAGGGCCTCGCCTAGGTCCTTCATCTGGAGAGACTCCTTTGTTAGCGATATCGGATCGCCACGATCATCAAACACTCCGGTCCAGTTCGGCCATTGGATCAGGCAATGGTTCTTGACGACCTTGCCCTCGCTGTTGTATGGATTGCAGGAAGTCTTTGGGGCTCGTAGGCCACTATCCACGCAATCTTTACCACAGGTCAACAACGCGATACGAGAGAGCTCTTGTTCGAACGGAAGATAGTCGACAACGAAGCCGTTGAGTTTGAGGCACCTAACAAACAGGTCAGTCTCATACCAGTACATACTGGTTGCTGAGTTACGCCACGTATATATCTGGGATATATCTCCGTATTTGGGGCTTCGTTTGGCTCATGACCACCAGGATCTCCGAGATCATTCCACTTACCATAACGGGAACGGTTTGGCCTTTTCCAATCCAGCCGCAATACGTCCCTTGCGCATGCTGAAGTCATCGAGATACTCGCTGGTACCGAACGAGTAGTGTAGTACTCCCTTTCCGTCTATGCCCCTGCAATGTGTTGGCGACAGTACTGTGTGGAACTCCGGATGTGCTCCTGTGCATGGGGACTCACTTGTACTCCTTTTCTTTTGAATCTATCTTCGGAACGGTCAAGCCACGGACGTCATCAGCCTTGCGCCAATGCTCTTTCCGCACGATCGGAGGCGCCGCCATGTCGAGATCCAGGACGCGCATGCCGGTCTTGGACGTATTGCGGAAGACAGCCTCCCAGTAGATGGACTGGAGTGAGTCATGCATATGAAACAATCGAAGCTCCTCGAGCTCAGTCTGCTGGACAAGCGGCTTCATCTCTGCTGGGGTGATGTATGATTTGTACTCGTTCTCGCCATCTTGCTGGAGGTGGACAGGCTGGCCGAGGCCGAGGACAAGCTTCGTAAGCGAGGTGGACAGCTTTGTCCAGATGACGGCCATGAAGGGCAGATCTGAGATCCAGCTAGAGCCCATTAGCTGTTAGCCTGCTGCGAGAAGAGGATATACGTACGTCAACTCTTTGAGCGCGGGCATCTGTTCAACGAGCTTCGCGATATGCTCGCCTGCATCGTGCCAGTTCTGCTCAGACTTAGTGAACCAGTGCGGCTGGTATGACGTTAGTTTCATCGCCCCATCATTGCGGACTCCTCTTACCTCATTCGCATAACGCTTTTGCCCCTCGGGCACACTGCTTTCTTCGCTGCCTTTCTTCGCCAAAGCCGATTTCCACTCGCCGACGACGTAGAGCTTGGTGACTGGAGTAAGGCGATCATATACGTTGATGAGGTAGTCATCTACCTGCTCAGTTACGTGCTTGAGGGAAGAAGTTACATCACCATCCTCGTCGCGACCGACGTTGAGTACGTAGCAAGAGTTGTCAGCGCGATCAGCAGCGAGCGCTGTCTCGAGAACATAGGGACCTAGGTTGTCCTTGGGTTCGGCCATGGTCGCGATGCGCGGATGTATAGATTTGGGTTGTAGTAGTAGGTGTAGCCAGGTGAGTGGAAAACTCTGTTGTGAGCGGTCTCGAGTTTGGAGTCGAACAGCTCTGATAGGGCTGATAAGAGTGTTTGCTATATTGATAGGAAGGCGCTCACGGTGAAGGTTCAACACAAACGATGACGTGAATGCATTTTTCCCCGTTTGCAGGACGTGCTCAGTCGTCGCCGCAGCATGGTTGGAGCACGTGAATAGAACATGGTGAAATTAGGAACCCTGGTCGCTTAATTGGCTAGATAGCTAAACTGCGCAACCATGGGAAGGTGCCCAAGTCCAGAGTGGGAAATTGCGGTGGGTGACCGAGCGCAACTTCTAGAGGAGGATGAGGCGGCTCTTTATATACGCAAGTGAATGGCTTAATGGCGGATGCACATGCGCAGCATGCGACAACGCATGATCAGATATCAGTGTCATTTGGAGTTAGATGCTGCGTTTTTAAAGAAGCGAGAGCAAACAAAGAGGCATGGAGATGGTCATCGCGACTTCGGTACGAACTTTGATGGAAACAGATACCAAGGTTCCAGCTTGAGAAGTATTTTCGCTCAAAATTACTCTCGCATAGTCAAGTACACATTCAGTAACCTGCCCAGCTTGTTGCTTTGCCTATCAGCTGCACCGTTACATCTAACCGGAACGGCATCTAAACATTGATGAATCCAAATCGGCTCAAGTCTATTGCATCTCGAAGAGGCTAATATTAGACGACATATGAGTAGCCAAAAATGTGATACAATATCAAATGTAAGCTCTCACCTTTCCCAGATCGTCTTCTACGTGATAGCGATAACTTGACCTACCTACAATTGAGCATACCCTTCACCGTAACCCCAGTATCTAGACGGCTTAGTCGTCCACTGCTATGACAAATACCATACATATCTATTGAGTTTTCGATCAAGGTCCATGTAGTATGGCACCCAGAAGTTGCCACATATTTCTACTCCCTTCGTTTCAGAACTCTACACATGTGCGGTTTCTTGCCGGGGAGAGTGGTCGTCGGAGTGACGCGTATCAGAGAAATACGGCGAACTCACAACCGCACGACAGCAGTACATGTAGTCAGTGATAATGGTCTTGGAGGACCTACTGACATCTATTGGATCTGCTTAGGAGTTAAGGAAGGAAGCCTCCATCATAAGACACCTCAACGAAATTCACTGATAACACCACTTTTCTCCATCCTGTTATCCCCTTTACACTAATCATACGGTACCCAAGCCCGACATATAAAGCGCCCGAGATCTGAATCGCTCAGTACACAGTAACAGTAAGCCCAAGCTTAGCTTCATGTAATGAATGACGCGTTGTATAACAAAGTAAGTTAGTTCGACTTCTCCACGACGAATCTTGGTGCCTGAATTCACCCTCCAATGAACGTATACAACGGCTGCCGGGGAAAAATGCCGAGCTTTATCAGGGAAGTCGGATCGAGATTTGACTTGCTTTTTACTCAGCCAAGTGGAGGAGCGTGACCAGGGTCCGGGCTGACATCTGACATTGCTTTTTCGCCAGATCCATTAGCAACGTGGTGGCTTGTACGAAGTGATAAGCCGCTTGCCCTGTATGACCCACCTGCTTGGTCTTAGTATACCCGCGCGGTACGGTACGGATACACAGCTTCGGCCAGCTCGTGCTGCTCCTTGTACACGACGGAGCGGCGGAAGCAACGTGACCAGTAGCATGCCCGTGGTCTATCCGACCATAGCAGTGACCTCTGCGCACCAATACGATCTCGTACCATCGTCTATTATTTGCACAGAATGCAAGCAGGCAAATGAGCCGCTTCCAGCACGGTGGCCATTCCGAAATGTGGCATTACTGCCTAGGTGTGACGTGGGGCGTCTGAACCTCGACGCCTCTATAACGCATGTGGATTCGCAAGACGACCTAGCTAGATGCTATAGGCTGACCCGATATGGTGATTTAATTCCAGTGCACAATGATGGCTGTGGATGTTTCGAATCGTGGGCCGTATCTTCGGCCCCGGATTTGCAACGCAACCGCATTGGGTCGGCAATCGGATAGTGCCCAGGCGGCGCGAATCGGGATTCAAGTTACCGAATGTCACGGGTGGACAGCAAACCTGCGCAAAAGTCAGTGTCGAAGGATCTAAGCTGAGAAGCGACAATGTATGTTTCTCGCTACACGCTCCTTGTCAGAGGAAAGAAAAGAAATGGTGTGGACCAGACATTTCACCGCGTATAGAAGCAGACCGCTCCTCGGAACTTTTACAAGGATTTTTGTGGGCAATAGCGCGATTGGTTCTGAATCTGAGAGTGGTGTTTATTGTTGTTGATGCCCAATGTCAGCCACATAGATCAGAGAGAGGCGCTAGCTACTCCACAGTAATGTAGACACGATTCGAAGCTATGACTGCCCAGGTGTGGAAACATTGTGGTTTTCCTCGGTACACTTCCCTTCATGTCATTTCTCGATACGGGACGAGTCCCGTATGAAGCGATGTTTTTTCGAATCGACGTTCCTCCATGGGATAGGGGAGGATTCCCGGATCGCTTTGCTTTTGGCAGCCGTTGGACGACCGTAGTAAGGTGAGATTCGCACGCGTTAGCGCGCACTGCTGAATAGTACAGCGTACTATTGGAGTGGAGACGCTGAGATTCCAAATCTTTAGACTTACGCTATACGTGCCACGTGGAGACCGAACACATCAGCTCGCTCGACGATTAGACGTAAAGCTGTTTTCATAGCTGTCAGCGCTGTGGACCTTGAGCGATAATTCACGACTACGTACGTATCTTCGCATATGAAAGATGGCCAGAGGTCTGCCAGTAGAGCAAGTATTCTATGATCCTGCAGTTGATAAGTATTCAGCAAAATATAACATCATCATCCGCGGACCGCCAGCTATGGTTCCGCTTCATGTACGCGTCGTATCGAGCGTGGTTGCAACGAGGTCAGACTAGACTCATAGGGTGCTGACCGGAGGCTCGAGACAAAAGCAAAGAAAGGGTGGCATGCAGCCCCTCTGTAGCATACAGAGAACATCGCGGAACCTTGAAACGTGGTCGTCCAACCTTAGGCCTGTATGGTCTAGGCGGTCGTTGACATGCGGACGGCAAAAAACCCCGAATATCTGGGCATAGATCAGAACAAGAAGGAATTCTCACTCGTGGCAATGCCGACGAATGGAAATGTACGTGCGTTGACAATCCCATTGCGTTTCCATGCCCCCAGGGCTCCTGACGTGGGGCGCCTCATTCAGCGGGGCGGCGTTTACACTTCTCCATATGAGTACCTACCTAGGTAGGTACCAACGAGGGTGGTCTAGTAAATTGTCCGTCTTGAGCCGCGCGTACTACCAGCCCCGACAGAATCAGAGTAGAATGCTGCAGTCGCCACAAAAGCAAAGAAGATGGTTGCATACACAAGGGCGGATGTGCGGTAGATGGGATGAAGTCTGACAGGTGGGTCCTAAGATGAGATCGGAAACACCCCCCCACGCTAATCTAAGCGCCCATCCTATTAGTGCCACCGGTAACGCGACCTTACTTCTGACTGTTTGATGGAGGATGCGACAACTCATGACACCGTCATATGTTAACTGCGCAGTCGGAGTGATCATCCCGCTGTAGCGGGAGTGGCTGTTGCCAAGAGAGTGGCATGGAATGACCCAATTTCTGGGGCATTTGTGCATGCATAGGTTATGATTTCATGGCCTGTAGCGTTATGCGCCCTTTACCGGTGAGTAAAAGTTGTGCAACGAATCCGGCATGCTACCTACCTACGAAGGGGTCGGCATGTTGAACAAATCCGGCGGCGGGTTCTTGCGTTGGATGACCAAGCAGCTGCATTCGAAACTACGATGCTGGATCTATCTTGGTTCTTGATGGGTTACGCAGTTTCCCGTACCTGACGTTGGAGTTCGTCACACATTGACAGGTTAAACGTGCGTCTACGATCACCAAGAGAGGGGATATGGACGGTAAGAGCAGAGTGCGATTAACTCACGTAGCTGGACGCTCACGTCTGTGTCGTGCAGAACTTTACAAAGGTAACATGGTCACGATCTTTGAACGACAGTACGCGGAGTGGAAAGAGTATAGAGAGTTGGATCGTGGAACAAATCTGCTACCTCAGGAGCTATATTACATATTGGACAAGATGTATTACAGCGGGATCGCTGCGGGTGAGATCGTGGTGTTGATCGCGTGTTCCACATCAGCCATTGGCATAGGGAAGCGCGTGCTCGTCGTCTGCGGCTGGCGACAAATTGCTGGTAGCAAAATTGACGTTTCGTGGAGTATGTGATGCATTTGGGTTACGGATACATTGTGATAGTACCATAGTCGTAGTTTCGTCAAGCCCGGCCGGTGTGTTGCCTATTATATGTTTCTCAGCGGTATCGAATGACGAGCGGATCGTATGGTACTATCTAAGAGTCAAAGCCGTGAAGTGAAGATCTTTGGCGAGTTTGCTAGAAGTGGAGATAGGGTGGGCTTATGCCGAAACGGAGCCTTCTGCAACTCAGACACTACGTGAAGAGCGACCGTCTCTTATTCCAACGTTAATCTTGTAATCTTCTTCGTCGTCCGATTCCATTGAGTGGTCGCTAGGAAAGCCTTTTAGCCCATTCTCAAGCATCCGAAATGTTTCTGAGTAGGCCTTGGAAGGAACTGCGTCCGGTTGAATGAGGAGCGAAGCGACGTCCATTTTGACCGATCTGGGATAGGGGAAGTCGTTGGGATCTCTAACGAACCAACTGCGGTCTTGCATAGTGTCGTGCTTCCGGACATGATGCGTGGCGAGGTTCGAAAATCTTTCGTCTAGGATCTTGCGTAGCACACGCTCGACTTGCTCGTCCGTAGGCCGTTGTGTGTTCTGTTTCTGTTCCAGAACAAGGATGCGTTCGTGCATTTTCCGAAAACACGACTCTGTTCTACGCATGAACTCGTGGCTACCACTAATAAGCATCAAAGTGTGACTAGGATGTGGAACGGGCTATGCTTACTACCATGTTGCAATCTGGTCGAAAGACTGATTGATCTTCTGCACCTGGAAGGTGAACGACATGCTTGAATTTGATCAGAATCGAAAAGTAAGGAGTAAATTGAGAGACTGGGTTGTGGCCACCTCGCGAAAGTTGGCATTTAAGTGTAAGGACTTGAGACTGGAGAGACATGTATATGAAAAGAACCAAATGTGTACTGCAAGGAAGCGAACTCTGATATACATGTATGAACCTTGCAGGCGTGAATCACAGGGATACGTTTCAGGTGGTACCAACAAGCCGCTTCTGATATGCAGTCAGGTGGGTAGCGCGGCAGGGTCTTCGGATGGCGGGAGACTTTGATGGGCCGGTCGGCCAGTGGGGAATGTAAGGTGGACGCCCAATCAGGGTCACGCAAGTATGCGGCGGTGTAAGTCTCCCGAATAGGGTGTTTTGGGGTCAGATACATATACCTAGGTACTTGTCGGATTACAAGCAAGACGCTGACCGAAAAAGAGACCTAAGAGAACATCGTTCAATGGGACGTTGTAAGTTGTTAAGGCGAAGGAAGTCTCCACAGTACCTACATATGGAAGAAACGGCCATTGCCTCTACGACATACACAGTCGAGATGGCAGGGGCGTGCCATGAACACCGCCCCCGTCCGCCATGATCGACAATGCTAGCGACAAAGGTACGAGGTCAGCGTTGAGTGGCTCGCCTGTCTAGGCGTGCAAAGTGTCCGAATATTGTTGTCGACCCATTCGATCACAGGTTGCGGCCACTTACCGCGAAGCAAAGACGAGCTCGCGGGAACGGGTTTCTTTCCCAGCGGCGGTGCATGCAATGCAAGCCATTGAGTCAATCCGGTTATTGCCGTGCCCCTAGGCCAAGGCTGTCGTATCCGGCTTTCTTTACTCCCACAGCCTTCTCATCGTCCTACCTGAGTAACGTCTGCCAATTGAATTCTTCAACAACATTGAGAGAAGCTGCCAATCGACTTGCCATCATCCGATGTTTGTAGATGCCAGCAAGGCTGTCAAATTGCGTTTGCTGGTGCCAGCTAGTTCCAAGGTTTGCACGTGCGTGATGATGCCGCTAGTCTCAAAGCCGCCAGACCCGCTCTTGCGTATTAGGTAGCGGGCCTCGGGAATGACTTTCGATTCCAGGGCCACTCGTCATCGGTCAACATCCTGCAAGCGAAGCGACCGGGCACGTCAATCCCGATAAACACCAGTTCCCCCTAGGACGCTACCGATTCCTAGCTCGGAAAGCTCAGAGTCAGTATAGTCAGGTGAGATTAGAGCTGCCTACAGCGCAGAGCCAGCGCATCGCATCTGGCCTCTGACAATCGACGATGGCACTTGTCATTTGGTGTACGCGCTGCGCCGCCTCGTTACCTTTCTTGACAACGTTTCTGCCTAGTCAGTAGCTCAAGCAGGGTTATACCATGGCGAGTCACTCAAGACGATGTACTGACCGTCTAAAGTACCGACGAGGCATCTTCCTAAAATTTACAATCAATCCATCCAACAGCTCTCTCTCGGATTTGTCGATGCCAGCCAGGGAAAAATTTCAAAATTCCTCCATATCTGAACATGGCTACCGTGGAAGTATCTGGAAGTAGTTGTGGCCCTGGATGACCGTTGTTGGAAAATTGGCCCTATGTATCCGTTGCAGGATGTCAGCATACTTTCTGTGTGTATGCATTTTCCTCATGCATCTGAGCACAACGTATACACACAAACGGCGATCCGCTAACGATTGACAACGCTGAAGAGTTAGCTGCGCTTGTTGCAACCTGCATGGATGCATATTGAAGCCTGGTCCATCGCTGACCCAAAGATTTCGCCCACATTCATTGAGGCCTTACGATCCCATTTAGAGCTATCGCACTTCGACTTCGGCATCTTTATCGACCGCAGGACTTTGTTACTGTGGACCTCTCGCTTACGACAACTGGAAACGGATCGACATGGTCGAGGTGTCGACAGAGTAGCCCACCAGGACACCTCAGCCACTTCTACAGGGCTCTCATCCATGCGCGTCGATCGCCCGTCACGCCGTTCAATACCCCAGTGGATCCCTCGGAAATAAAACGGTCTGCTTTCGCATACGGTAGCGTGGTACCGCTGATGACCCTTGAGCGTCAGCGGATTACATGGCGCCATTGCTGAGCTGATAAGTCGAACGATTCTCAAACTGACAGGGCTTAAAACTCCCGAATAAATCTATCCTAGTACTTTGCGACCCGCCGCTTGACATCGGTAGTTGGGTTTAATCCCAGTTCACGGATCCTGTCACTTGCCTTGAGCTAATGCAGCCTCCCGAGCACTTTGCTTGGATTATAGGACGCACTGAGCTTTCAAAACGGCACTCGAGTTCGGTATATAATATCAGTATTTGATAGCTTCTTCACTTACTGATAAGCAGACTTTGGTAAGAATGTGCGTATGTGTGCTTGAGTTGTATAGTTTCCCCGGCATCAAGAAAGTTGAGTCGCATAACGATACCAGATGCCTTCTTTTCCTACGCCCTCAAGATCGAGGACTTCTTGATCCAGACCATATGCATGCTTCACCGGTTCTGGACAAGATAATCACATCGACGATGAGACGCGGACGCTTCACATTGTCCGCCGCTTCCGCTCAAAACTAGAACATGACTCTTTCAGCATCTCGTATAATCACATTATATGCATACATCAAATGTGCGGTTTTGTCATCAACGCTGCAGAAGTTTCAGCAAGTATTGCGACCCGGGCCTCGAGCCGAATTTTCTACTCCAGAAATGATCTCATTTCCCAGGCTGTCGTCGCCCTGGCTTAGCGAAAAGCAGGGCGAACGACTGCGCCGTACCAAGAGCCGGGTCGCTTGACACAGACAGAAAGCGCTGGAATACCGCGGCAAGCCCGCGATGCGTTTAATCCGCTTATGCCAGCTATTCAGCTGTCTTTGTCGCTTTCGAGGGATCCGGAACGGCCGCCGGTGCTATGTTTCCGGCACCTAATGCTGCCCTCGCATAGTCTTTGTTGTCACGATCTCTGGATCCTGCACCTTGAGCGGGGGAGGACATAGACGTTCCCACAACGACTCCACCCCAGTGAGGGCCTTCATGGTGGGTCCAGGTCCCTCAAAGCTTTGGCAACACTGCGTGCTGCGTTGATCTCGTGACTGACTCGTGGGAATCGGCTAACGGATACCTGCCCTATCAAGACTTCAAATTGCCAGATAAAGATACTTCGACCGTGTACGCGGAAAGGACATACGACTACAAGCTGCACAGCTATCGGTAAAGCTGACAGCGCCATCCTTGCTCGTATGATCATACGGTGAATAATGTGTCCATCGCGTCGGAACCTAGCCTGGCGAGGGGTATTCAAAGATGTTTTGCCGATACGAAGGATTGTAAAAATGACCTTCCCAGGCATTGCCCCGTAAGCCTTCTCGGACGACCGATAAGGAATTTCGTTCGATCCATACGACAAGCACCTCGACCTAAGGAAAATCGACGCACAGTAAAGCGTTCTTGGACCAAGATGCATATATCGGTAACGCGCGATGATCAAGAAAGAAGTGGTGCAAGTAAGAACGTGTAGGAAAACCAATTTTACGATGTTACGACAACACGTCATCCACATAACTATCGATAGACCATGGGACTATAACCGAATCAGGCCCATGTGCCCGAAAGCCTATTTGAATAACTCTATCGCATCCAATATTACGTTTGGGGCCAGGAATCCTTCTCCCGAACTCCCACTCGCACAGTTGATCTTGATAGTATTGCTCCCGCTGACCAACGTGCCAGCTGGTATGGCATAATTGTAGACTTCACCAAACCCTCGGTAGGCGCCGCGAGTCAAGCCACGCGAATCGATCTTCGTTGGTGCCGCAGGTACGGCGGCATTAAAGCTATTAACTGCAACCGAGGGACGACAGCCGGCAAAAGAGAGCGTAGTACCGATGCGAAGGGTCGCTGCTGCAGTCGAGGTGCTCGAGAACTTGATGGTGAGGGGGTTCATGTCCTTGACGATGGCCATGGGAACATTCTCAAGAGTGCTGGAACCAACTGTATACGTCAAGGGGCCCCAGGATGCCATGCGCGAGTCTGTGGGGTGCATGCGCAGTTGCTTGTCTGCGTTTCGGAAGCCCATTGGCTGACCATCCCACTCGCCAATGCGCCAAATGGAAGTCTTGGACTCGGTGTCGGCGGCAATGCTGGCAGCAGTTGTTTTCCCGGCTGATACTGTGACGCTGGCTGCCTTCACCTTGAACTCGCCCTGATACAAGACCTGTGCGTAGGTTCCGGGCTTCATTGCCGGCGAAGTGAACTTGCCACTGCTATCGGCGTACGCCCAGTATTGGGCTCCATCGTTGTACCAATGCAATACCCGTTGGAAACCGGAGCCTACACCTGTCGCCGTGCCAGTGACTGTGCCTCTGGCGGATGGCGCCACGTAGCCCGTTATACCAAGGTCCTTGAAGAAGGTTGTATCCATATTGGAACCACCTTCTGGCACACCAGAGCGACTGAACGCTAGAGCGTAGGGGCCGTGCAGACCCTGGCGGAACTGCTCTGTTTGAACATGGCCACTGTTCATGTAGAAGGTCAATGACGTGTACTCTCCGCCGTTATTAGTGTTTATATCGCGGTGGAAAGGGCCACCAGAGGAGCCTTCGTAAGAATATGAGTTCATGAGGAAGCAGGCGTGGACTGCGTCGGCACCATCTCGGTAGACGCAGTGCTGATTTGTTTCAGTAAAAGCTTATCGAAGCATGCTGACTTGGGCACCTACCGTAGTGTCGTCGATGAAGCGCTCACTTGAATAGAATTTACTCCTCGTCTGACCGGCAACCACGAAGACGTCTGACCCCTCAACAGTCGACGTCGAACCAACGGTCGTTGATACCACGCCGAATGGGTACTCAAGTGGTAGAGCACTACTCTTGAGACGCGCGATGAATCGCAGTTCGCCAATACTAGGCTCGGCAGTGGTGTATGTCGCCATATAAATCGTCGCTTCGCCAGCCTTGGCAACAAGGTAATGCGTCAAGGTACTAGTCGTGCAAGTAACCTTGACATATTGGCCTGACGGACTCCGTTAGCTTCTGTCGTCGAAGAATTGAGAATACAACGAACTGCTTATCGTCTCATACTTGACAGTTGCACTACCCAGTCCAGAAGAAATATGCGATCCCTTGGACGACGACTGCAACTCCTCTCCACGGTATTTGATCGATGTAATGTCGCAGCTTTTTGCGTTGACGGTAAAAACAAGGCCGTTCGTCGAGCCAGCATCCACAACAATGTTGTCACCACTTTTAGTAACGCCGAATGCCGCCAGGACCGAGGAAGAGAACGTGGCCGCAGCCAACAACGCGCTTTTCAGTAACATGACAAGAAACGTATTTCACGAGAACACAAGTGGAGTGAATTTGAAGTGACTTGTCCGACTTCAAGATTGAACGACGGCTCTGTCCCTTACCTATAGGCTATGCCTTCATACCAGCAGCAGGAGCTTACTACATTGCGCAAACCCCTCGGTGCCAGATGCTCCGAAAAGTTAACAATTTCCACCCAGAACATCCACTAGCCAAATGCTTTCCACGACTGTTACCCAGGCGCAGCCACCTTTACAGTCATCTGACATCTTGCTTCACTAAGCTACGAAGTCAGGAGGGCGGGAGGAATGCTGATTACAGGCAGTACTCGATTTTAGGTACATGTACCTCGGTATGGAAGTGTTCGTTCATCCGGATCGACAATGCTGAGCGATGGTGTTGATCTAGGAGCTAAATGTGCCGTGAGGGGGAAGTCCGGGGTAAAATACGCCTTTAGTGGCGGAAGATCTTGGCCTGTGAGACAAGCACTATGGAACAACTTGGCGAAGCTGCAAGAAGTAACCCTGCTATTGACATGGTAAGAAATGTCAGAAATTACCGGCTAGAAGCGTGGTAAAAAAGTTTCATGTTGAGATGGAAATTTTAATAAGAGGGGTGTCGCGGCAAATTGCCCGCAAATTGGGAGGGCTAAGATTCTACGGCATAAGGTTTGTGGAGAGCCTAGCCTTCACAGGAGACGAGCCACTCGTGAACAATAAGAGAGAAGGGGAAAGTATTACTAACTGTGACACTGTCGAAAGCAGTCATACAATTTGGTCGTTCCATGATCGCTCAATCATCGCCGCCTAAGCATTCATTCCTATACAACGGGTCAACTTCCACTTGTCGGCACCAGAGCGCCCAAGGTCTGGTCAAAGTGCCTGAAAGTGACTCCCAGGCATCATGGCATTCCCTGTCGCTCAGGTATTTTAGATTGCCGCCCTCAACCTTCGCGTGTCCCGACTTGATTTTGCCACCGGCTTCAACGTCGACCTTGCCCTCGAGTGCATACCCTGTATGCGCATTCAGGACCGTCATAGCGGTAGTCTGTGCCTTGGCTGCCTCTTTCGTATATATTGCTTGGTAGACAGCTTCCTCGATGCCATGCGCGACGGTTGTGAAGCCATGGCCTTGTAGCAGGACGACAGCGTGATCGGGTTCCATTTTTGGCTCTGCAGATGAACCACCGAGCTGCGAGGGTAAAGCGGAGCGTACTTTAGAGTATATGAAGCCAGTCGAAGTGGCTGGTTTGAATGCAGCTGCAAGAGAGGCGCCGAGCGTGCTGTCGCGAACGAGCAGATCGTGCTTCGAACCGGAAGGGTAGCTGCTCGAGGCATCCCAGACTGGCACATTGGTACCTGCAGTGATATTGTCAGCAGGAAGCTAGACATTATGGTCCAGAATACATGCCCAAGAAGCCAGCCATGTGTATTGTGTTCTTTAGAGGCACACCGCTAACACAGTACGGCAAAACATCGCCAGCATGGCTATGCACCACACTGTTGATGGCCGGAAACCTCTTGTATATCTCGCTGTGGACGTGTCGCTCTAGATAACCTGGCTTCACGTCCTTCTCGACTGCTTCGGCGCCATCGACGTTGTATTCGACCAGATCGTCCTGCGAACTGACCAACGCTGGCGGCATATTGCAAGGCATCCAGAACGTCGCGGGATTGTCGGGCGACCGGACAGAGATATGGCCATAAGCATCGAAGATACCTAAAATGATGGACGCACAAAGTCAGTGTATGTTTCACGTTCACTCTGTACACCAGAACTTACCATTGTGGTGGAGGATGTGACAGGCAGTGACTAGGCCTTTGAAAAGGTCCTCAAGACCGACCTTCTCCCGTTTTGGAAAGTATCCGGCAGACATATCGCAGAGATGTAGATGATGTATCCGGCATCGTGGAGGGCGGAACGCATATGTTGTGTAATGGTACTGTTCTTGCTTCAAGCGCTCGATGACGTGCGGGCGCGCGTGTGGGGAAACGACTGGTGGGGATGCACCGTTTCTTGGCCACGGCCAGCCTCCGACCGTCTTCAGCCACACTCAGCATTCACAAAATCGGTTATCCATCGCGCCTTAGCTACCAACTTCGAGGTCCGCTACCGTAGATCTGACGAGATGCTTAAACCTTGGAAATGGAAGATCGAAACGGTCGTTGATCAGTTCCATTGATGTGCGCCAGGTCGCCGCCACCACATATTCCATGGCCTAGCTAAGATAGCATCGTGCAAAGAGTGCTTGATGCTACTTTTTGTCCGAATGAGGAGAAGATTCCAGAGGATAACAGTGTCTACATTCTGCGCTCCGAGCTCAGATAGAGAAACCATGGCTGCTAATACTCACGATGTCACTTGCCTGAAAGGATCGATCGAGGTGCACTTTCTTCACAACAGACTATGTTACTACTACTCACGTCCTTCATGAAGGACGACATATACCCATGAGTGGCTTCCTTGCGACATAGGCATCTTCTCTTTCCATGTTCGTTCTGCTTGGTTTCGCAACTTCTGCAGCGTTGAGCACTTCCTGTTCCTAACACGATCAACAATTAACAACCCGACCTTTATCAATACCTTTTGCTCGCAAACTAGCGGTTATCAACCCTTTCAAGTCCTACGACCAACATGCGCGAGATCGTAGCGTTTCCGAGGTTTCGGTTCTGGTTATACAAGTTGTAAGGCAAGTTCATCTGCACGCATCGCATGCGGGACCGGCCACCACGGCAATTCACGCTGCCCAAATATTACTACAAGTGGGTACAAGAAATGGAATAAGGGAATTACCGACAGGAAATGGTAGACCCAGGAGGAATGCCAAAAATATTCTCGACAAGCTTCGGTCAAGAGGAATCCATCGTCCTGATGAACCTCGACGGAACGCTGGACACGGAGTATCATTACGACACGCGGGGTTTCCGAAAATTCATATTGGAAAGTTTTGGCCCTTGGTCGCCCGTAAATGCCATAACGCAACCAGTCATTCAACACGCTCAACCTACGAACACGTCCGTTGTCGACAAGGAAGCTACTCCAACTTCAAGTCCTCACGCTCCGACCCCATCAGAAGTACCTAAAGACGCACAAAGCGCATTGTTAGACGCACAAGGGGCCTCATTCAAGACACAAGTCGCTCCGCTAGGTGAACAACAGGACCTGCTGGATACGGAAGAAACGCCGACGGACACACTAGTGACTTCACCAGACATAGACACATTCGACCAGGCTTGGATCCGTTACATAAGTCTTTCCAGTAACCGACGCCTCGAAGACAAACAGGGCCAATGGGAGCTTTTCCAAGATCTGAGTCAGTCAGTTGTAGCGCAAGCATCAGAAGCTCGCGAGGACTTCGACCTGCTCAGAGTAAGCATCTACAATCACGATGATCAGGGGCAGAGTTTGAAGCCATTCTTGTCAATCGTAATTGATAGTGGAGACTACAAAACATTCATGGTCTGCATGCTCGTCCAGCCAACCAAGTGCCGAATCACCCTCCCCTCATATGAAGTGATTTACAGTTCGTTCGTTTTGTGTACTATTAATGTGTCTATGCGATATGCAAACGCCGTGTTTCATCACGAGCGCGCAAGATGGATAGTTCGATGTGCCGGAGGTGTCTTGTCCAAAGATTGGTAGCTGCTCTTTCGTCCCTGTGCTTGCTTCCGACCCGGGACCCAGGGGAGCTCTCAGCCCGCGTCCTACGAATGTCTTGAATGACTATACCCCGAACGCCTTTTACGGTCGTTGTAGTACCCCGGTGGTGTTCTCTTTTCTCAGCTCCTTGAGCCGTTCTTGATTCTGCATTCCATGCCTTCGTGTGCGTGTCGACAGCAGATCCTGGTCCCTACCCATGTTTGCCGCGGCTTCTTGGGTTTGCAGTTTGTATCGTTCTATTCCTCTCATCAGCCCATCTCCACATCGCCGTCTGCCTCCCCCATGCCATCCACAAGATCGCTCTCGCCACTTTCGCCGCTCGTCTCCTCGCTATCGCTGTCTTCGTCCACGATCTTGCCCTCCACCTCACACTTCCGCGCGAAGCAGCTGCCACTTTTTTCGTCCTTGCCACCAACTCCTATCCCAATGTATAATCCTTTCTTCACTTCCTCGATGATCTTGTCAAGATCGACCGTACACTCGCCGTCGTTCTCGTAGATGATCTTCTTGGCTCGGCTGTTGGCTGCCGCTTTCGTGGAATGCACAGACGTGATGTGCGTGGTACCGACGTTGTTCTGGAAGCTATCGGCCGTGGGGTAACAGGTATCGGTCACGATGTAGATTCTGTAGGGACCGGAGTGGGAGGCATTGACCATGTTGGTCGTGGGTGGGTTGGGTTGTTCGATGCTTTGCTGAATGTAGGAATCGCCGTCGTGGATATTGTTGTCGTTGTCGTACGAACGTTGAGTGGGGGTAGGTCCATCTTTGCTGCGCGCGCAGTTGGCACACATGTGGGTGCCATTGGCCATGTGGGCGCTGTGAGAGTCAGGCGCCATTGCAGACGACAAGACACCTGGCAGCAGAACAAGAACACGGCGTAACAACGATGGCGGTAAAATTAAAAGACAAGGGGGTAAAGTTCAGGCCGCGAAAAGAAAACAAAAAGAAGAGGAGGAGACGAACAGTCTCTCTCCACAAAGAAACGCAGCCACAAAAGTCGGGGGATGGAAAAGAGGGTTTCACGATGTCGTGAACATGGGAATTTGGCGCAAGTGAGAGGGGTATCTAGAAAAACGCGATGCGCGGCTAGACCGCATTGTTAATTTATAGTCCTCACTGGTATGTCGTTTGTGTGTGAGTGTCTCGCTCCGCGGAGGCCAAAACGGCGAGGAGGAAGGCTTCTTTTTAGCTCAATCGCAAGTGGCGAACATTCCCACAAAGAGCGACATGAAGCTCGCGACACTTCCTCTGGTTTGCCACCAAGGCAAGCAGGGAAGAACTTGGAGTCTTACGCGTATTACTGCCGAACCCTAGCCACAGCACTTAATGCCCAAAAGTCCTGTTCCAGAAAATTCCTTTTGTGCTTTCCCTAAAGGTGATCAGTCGGTGAATTAGTAGTCAAAATATCGTTGATCTGTATCAAATAGGGTGTTGGTTCTGATGGTCAGGCGGAGATCATGGACAAATTACATGATTTGTAGTAACTCTGCCCGAGCTGCTGCGTGACACATGCCCGACTTCGCCGCCCGGTGCATGGGAGTGGGGTTTCCTATTGTCGCGAGGCCCGAAAAAAAAGAAGAAGCTCCTGGCATGTGCAAGTAATCCCTAGAAGTGATCGGCCACACGTTAGATCTAGAGCGTCCCCAGTTTGACCCTTGCTACTAACGTATTCTAGCCACAGTGGCCCCCTGTGGTCCTGGTGGTCCCTGGACTCAAAACTGCGGCAAAAATTTCCGACGACGAATCACAAGTCTTGGATGTAATCCTAGTGCGATGGAGCAGATTCCGGGATCAGATGCTAGTTTGTGAAGTTGCTCAAGGATACCCGCTCCCTGCATCTTGCACCGCGCCATCCGATCGCGGGAGAGCTGTCTAGCGGTTCATCCGGTAGATCGGATGAGATGAATTAGCCTGAGGCTGAGAGCCCTCGAGCCCGGGACGACAAGGTTTAGTCTGCATCTCATTGTCACTAGCTTATCATGTCTTCGTTGCCGAGCCGCAAGAGTTACTGCAAACTGACAAGGACCTGTAGAGATCTAGCGCCTCTCACTGGCCTTGCAACCCACTTTGTCCTGGTCGCAATGATTTCGGCATCTTTCTCGTGCTTGCCATCGTTCTCCTGTCTTCCACACTCATGCACAGTGGTCATGCTTGCCTTTATGCACATAGAACAACCGAGTTCCGAAGACAAATACGACTTGAGATGTCGAATTTTCGCAAACTACAATAAGTGTAATCATACAAGATCGAAGGCAAATGCAATCCACTTTCCATCTGCCGTTACGTGTGTCTGTCGTGTGAGACCGAGCGCCACTAGCTCCGTACGCTGCTGAATGTATCCGTCCCTATGGTACAAAAGAGAGAAATGAGACCATGAAAATGCCATGGGAAGAAGAGAAAGGATTTACTCCTCCTTTTGCGTTGCAGATTGAGCCTCACTGGCTGGTTGAGCATCGTCCTGATGCTGCTCAATGCTCTTCTCCTTCTGCTGATCTTCTACGACCTCGACAGTAGGTGGTGCCTCGCTGGCTTCGGGAGCGTTGGCCTGCTCTTGTGTCTCAGGGTTACGGCCTTCAGCGTCTGGGTGGGGAGGTGCGACACCGTTCTCTTCAGCGTCACCATGTGAGTCTACAAGGCCCTCGTAGATCTCGTGGCCTTCGCCATCGACGATACGAGTTCGGGTCTCGTAACGCGTCTTGAAGCTGACCTTGCCAGCAAGTGCTGATACCTCATCGTCGTTGAGGATACGGCCGTTCTCGTCGCGGTACTCGATACGCTCTTCCTTGGATACAACAGGTAGATCCTTGGGGGCGTCCTGAGGTGGCGGGGAAACTACCGCTTGCTCAGACATCACGTTCTCTTCCTTCGCTTCCTTCGGTTGCTCTGGCTGTTCCTTGGGCTGCTCTTGCTTAACCTCAGGGACGACTTCCGGTGCGACTGGAGCCGGAGGAGCAGGTGCTGCCGATGAAGGCACGGCGATAGATGCTACAGGCTCAGAGTGCATGGTGTTATATGCTTCGTACTACAACTTGTCAGCTGAAATTGGCCAGTGGTGATGCGAAGAGAACTTACAGAGTTTAGGAAGTTGTTGCAATCCCAGTCCCAAGTGTCGAACAGCTTCACACTCTTGCAAGCATCTTTGGTCCATGCGTTGCCGTATGCTAGGGGAGCGTATACAGTGAAGACTGTGATAGCGACAGCGAGGAATCCGACAGCCGCTGCTTGGCCGATGGCAGGGTATTGCCTCAAACCAAAGACACTGAACCGGTAGCTCACAAAGTCAAAGATCTGGCAAAGTGCAAGGATGGCAAAGTACAGAGCGGGCAGGTAGTGGTGCAAAAATAGCTGGCGCGCCATCAGGTAGAATGGGAAGTAGTGGAAAGCCCAACCGAGAATGCTCATGCCAACTTCGTAGTCGAAACGTTTGAAGGTAACGTTGTTGTAATCACGGTAGCCGCGCTGCCAACGGAGAATGGCAAAGCCTTTGATAGCGATGTATAGAGCGATGAGCGCGCTTGAGCTCCACCAGATCACCGGGTTACCCAGAAGATAGATCTGACGGTTATGCTTGCCCCAGAAGTTGATACCGCGGCGTAGAATGGGCCACGATGGAGGGCGCGAATCCCAGGCGTGCGATTCAGTAAGACCAGCGTTGGTCTTCCACATAACCTTCTGCAACTCCCAGAACTTGCCGAAGAACCCGGGGTTGCGGTAATTGACCTTTTCGACCTCTCCGTCCACCATCAAGGGGTGAACATTGCCCTCGATGTACCAGATGCTATTGGGCAAGGTGCCTTGCCGAGCGCAAGTGACCTCTTGCTGCTCGAAACCCCAGTCAGGGAGCTTCACCTTGTGTGAAAATAGCGCACAACCGGTCATGACATGAACAAGCCTAAACTTGGTCTGGATAGTTCGGACGCGCTTCTTTGCCACGGCTCCATCGGACTTGCTCTTGACAATCTCAATGCGGAACAGATCGTTCGCATCACCCTCAAAGCCTTCGTAACCGTAGGCAGAAACCTCGTTTTGCCAGTCGGCCTCGGTAACAGGAGCACGAACATCGTGCGAGTGGAGGCGTCTGTCGGTGGTGATATGGTAGAGGCGAATGACACCGCCATCTTCAATATAGGTAGGGCCAACGTTGTCCCAAGCTTTAGGGCTTGTGAGGTTTGGGCCAGTGTAGTCTTCCGGCATCATTGGCAGAGTTTGATTTTCCATGATCCAGATGTTGTTCTCGTCCTTGTGGGGGTAGAGGGTAATCTGTTGCTGCTTGCTACCGGTGGGGTACATGTGGCTGTGGGAATGTAGATATCCGCCTTGAGTGTTCCAGTGGCGTAGAGAGACACGGCTTCCATAGGCGACGTCGGCGGGAACAGCTTGCATGCCCTTGGAGTTCAGTGTCGCCTGGAACTCGGAAGACATGAAGCCATCACCCTCACCAGGGTTGACCAGGCAGAGGAAGTGGATTCCGAACATAGCCATATAGAACGAGACGGGAATAACGATCAAGCAAAACATGCGAGCGAAGAAGTGCTTGAACCACAAGCGTGGCGTGACATTCTTGGTATCTCCGAGAAGAACCCAGAGTTGTACCAGTGTCAAGCTACCGACCCAGGCGATGGTGAACAGGCCTACCCATTTGACACTAACTGTTGCACCGAGTCCGACACCGGTAGCAGCCAACCAAAACCACCAAGATGGCTGGAAGGCCTTGGAGGGTCCTTGTTCGTGCTGGTTCATGAAGCTTGTCCAGGCGAGTGCGGTAATGGCCGTGAAGATGATGAGCGGCGAGTCGAGGAGGATAAGGCGGGACTGGGTGACGAGCGCGTTATCTACCAGAAGTCAGTATACATCACACCTCGCAGGGTAGGTGTCTCTTACCAAAGATGACGAGCCCAGCGCCCAGAGCCGCAGTGGTAGTACGGCAGCCCGCGGCCTTGAGGGTGAGGAACATGGTCGGAATCGTCAACACTCCGCAGATAGCGGGCAGCATTCGCATGGTGACATATGGGACCTTGGGCTCCAGATAGTCTTTGCCAATGTCTTTGAAGTCAAAGTTTCCGTCGAATCCACCCAACCATCCTGCCAGTGTGATGAGGAGCTTCGCGAGCGGAGGGTGGACGTCCATGAAGAATCTGCCCTTGATGTATTTCGATGCGAATCCACCGAAGCTGGAATCAGTCAGCCAACATGTCTCCTAATCTTGTTGTACAGTTACCACACTTACTGGACTTCATCGAAGACAACACTGGTGGGCTGTGAAATCCGGAAGAGTCGAACGCCGGCAGCAATGAAGGTCAACACAGCCAGTAGCGACCAGTCCGACCCAGGAAGATTGAAGATATCATGGTCCCGCACTCCCTCGGAAGCGTAGCCTTGGACCTTATGTTGCTGTGTGTTGGGCTGCTTTCGGCCATTCGGGGCTGGGGAGCGCGACTTGGAGCGCGACTTGGATCTACGAGACTTGGGCTTCTCGCCCAGGTAGGCGTTGGGTGCCGAGAGGCTCGCCATGACGGCGGGATGTGAAGATGTGTCGCGGCTCGATCAGCTGGCGAGTGGAGCGCTGTACCAAAAGGTGGGAACGTTGCGGAGTTCCAGAGTCTAAGTTGAAGGCGCTCACAGCCTTGACGTCGTTGCAAAGAGAGTTAAAGAGAGTTGGAAGAGGGTCCCATCAAGGTGAGGGGAGAAAGAGATGGAGGTCTCAGTGGTATGCGCAATGGTTCAAGCTAGGGGGAGGGAGTCCCGCGAGGAGCAGTGGTTGCGTACCGATTAATCCTAGTTGCAAGCTGTTCCTTACGACGGCCCTTGCCGAACTGGGAGAGCTGAAAATAGGTCCAGGTACATAGGGCTAGCATTCACTCCACCCAATTATCTACCCGTCTGAAGAGATCCAGATTAATCTTCCAGCGGTAGTGGTCTGACCTCCGACAGCCATTTGCAAGCCGAGGCGTCTTGAGTATTACGCCGAGTGCTTCATTTCAAGAGCTGTGGCTTGGTCGTGGCGCAACTGTGGCTGGGGTCCGGCGCGGAACATCTTGTTGCCTACTCTGGAACTTTGCGATCTCCCGCATGTCGACGCCCAGTCGCAGCTACCAACAACCACATCCACATTCACCCCACGCGATCTACGCGCGAGTCACTCGAAGGCAGGTAATCGCGACGGGAATCTGGTCACTGGCGTCTGAATTTCCTCTCTGTTCTTGCCCCGCGCAATCTGCGATTGCCTCACCTGCTTTTCGCGACTCATAGACAGGACTGCCGACGACATCGCTCGAAGCCGAAACGTACACCGACCACACGCGCCATGGCGAACCCCAACGGCAACGGCGCCGCCTCGGGATCTGTCGAACTCGACGTGAAGCCGCCGTCGACCCTGGTCATCCCCCCGCCCAACGTGCGCGAAACGATTGCGAAGACGGCCGACTTCGTTGCCCGCCGAGGCGAAGGACACTTCAATGGACTGAAGCAGCGTGTCACTACCGATCCTTCGGCTGCGAACAACCGCAACTTTGTCTTCGTCATGGAAGAGGATCCCTACAACGCCTACTTCCTGTGGTATCTCCAGCAACTGAAGGAGGGTCACGGACGGTCAGTTGGAAGTGCCAAGCAAGTCGTTGACAACAAGCCCAAGGGCCCCCCAGAACCGCCCAGGTTCCGCTTCTCCGCGCGCATGCCAAACATCAGCGCAAAGGACTTGGAGGTGCTGAAGCTCACGGCGCTATACACTGCCCGCGTGGGTGAGAACTGGCTGAAGGATCTGCGCAACCGTGAGTCTGGCAACTTTCAGTTTGACTTTCTCCGACCAAACCACAGCTTCTTCCAGTTCTTCCGATCGCTCGTTGAACAGTACAAGATCCTACTTGAGGAAGAGGCCACAGTCGAAGCACGTATCCAGGAGCTACAACAGAACATCAAGAATCGATTCCATGTGCTAGATCGTGCCAAGGGACGTGCGGAGTACGTCAAGTACGTGACCGCCCAAAAGGAGAAAGAGGAAAAGAAGGTCGAGGCTGAGAAGCAAGAGTATGCGACCGTGGACTGGCACGACTTCACCGTCATCGCGACTGTGCTCTTTGATGAGGCTGACGATGCAGCGGACCTGCCTCCACCAGCACAGCTGAATGATTTACAGTCACAGTCACTCGAGCAAAAGGCAGCCGTCTCACTTTCGACAAGGCGTCTTGAGGAGGCTATGCCCGACGAGATGACTTACTACAACGTCACACAGCAGCAGGTACCCCAATCTCAGATGCCGCCAAACTACGCGCCCGCAGCACCACCCGTGCAGCCACCGTACGGCGTGCCGTCCTACGCGCCTCCGCCTATGGCTGACTACCGCACGCCGGCCCAGATATCGCGCGAGGAAGAACAAGCTCGGCTGGCAAGAGAGCGTCAAGCGGAGAGCGAGCAGCGCGCACGCGCTCAGGCTGCTGCCAGAGGAGCACCTGGTCGCATTGTCACAGACTACGTCCCCCGTGCTGCCGCAAAGAAGGCAAACGTTCAAATGGCCGTGTGCCCTAACTGCAAGCAGCAAGTTCCCGCGAACGAGATGGACGAGCACATCAGAAGTAAGCCGTCCCCATTTCTGTCTCTCACAAGATTGTCGCTAACAGTGTATACTAGTCGAACTGCTTGATCCACGCTGGAAAGAACAGCGCGACAAGGCCGAAGCCCGATACTCTACTACCATTAACACCGCCGACGTCGCGAACAACCTTAAGCGCTTTGCCAGTCAACGTGAGGACATTTACGATGGTGCTACTGGAATGCCTATATCTGCAGAGGAAGAAGCTCGGAGGAAGAAGGCTGCACTGTCGTACGACGGCCAGCTTGATCCTGCCAAAGACAATCCCCGTATACAGCAGATGAACAACGTGAACGTGCAGGAGCAACTCCGCAGGATACAAGAGAAGCACCGTCAGGGTAACGAGTAGATCCTACTTTCCTTCTTCAGACATCACACGGTCGCTTGAGACATTGATGGCTCTATTTGCATTGGGAGGCGTTTTATGCGATGTCACTTGGGTATACCACTCCCATGGAGGCCCGGAGCCGTAAGGTTTTCATTGTTCCAGTAGTTCTGAGACACCAGGCAATTGTAAAATAATAGCTCGTCAGGCATAATGAAAAATGTGCGTTCCGCGTTCAATCTCGTGTTCGATGCAGTATGTTGTGGCGATGCAGCGTGGGGTAGGCTGCGGCAATCTGTATGCTCGGACTTTCGTAGCTTTCCTCCGACCTGCCCAAGACCTATGACCTAACCAGCGACTTTTATTCCCAAGTACACCACTACCCTCCACATTCTTCTGTACAACCCGCGACCATGTCATTAGCACAGGCAACGAAAGGCGACATGGCCTACCAAGTGCGCTCACTCGTACGTATCCACCATGCGGGTTTCCAGAACATCCGTTGTAGCCTACACTCATGGTGTCGCCGCCCTAGAGTCGCAACCCACACACCTGCTCTGTAACTCTGTGTTTGAGATACACAGGCTTTCAGCGACGCTCGTTTCTCATGGACCATAGAAGAACACTGGCTGACCACCGCACGTAGTACCGCTCCCTCTTGCGCCAAAGCGGGCAATTCGCCGCCTACAATTTCCGCGAGTATGCCAAACGGAGAACGCGCGATGCGTTCCGAGACAGCAAGAACATAACCGAAGAGCGAACAATACAGGAGTTGGTGCAGAAGGGCTTGAATGAGTTGCAGATGCTAAAGGTGAGATATATACCCTGTGGTTCGGAAGTGGAGGTTCGCAGTGCGTAGCGGAAGAAGTGGCAGAGGCGAAAAAGTCGCGATTTGGAGAGCCATTGGGCGATGTATGCCTTTGAGTGTGTCACTGCAAGAAGCGCGGAACATGAAGTCGAGGTTGGATGTACAGGATTGAATGCTGACTCATTCCACAGAGGCAAACGGTGATAAGCCAATTCTACCAGATCGACCGATTGGTCGTCGAAGGTGGAAGAGAGGGCAAGCAAAAAGGGGATAGAAGTGACATCGTTAGAGTGAAGGACCAGGGCTGGGATTGAGCGCTTCGCACAAGAGCGCGGGTATGGACGACGAGACGAAATGATCTTGTAACACTATGGCGTACATTGCATGGGGAGGCGAGAGTCTGTACGACAGCGGAGGAGCTGCGTCTACCTCAACGGCGATGATACGTTGAGAATGATGTACTGTACTACATTGGGCATGCTCAACTCTTTGAAATGGAGTTCAGACTGAAAACAGGTCACCTTGTTGCACGTATCGGCAATACCATGACTGTACGAGATCTCTGAATTGTCTCCAATGCCTCAAAGTATACAATCGCCGTCGATAATAGTTGATCCGATATGGATCAATTGGTCTGGCGAGGCTCAAGCCTACAGTAATTCCAATTGCGCGTCACTGGATTCGCATTTCCGTTGATGCTTTTCGTCCTGCATGACATCGTTTGAAATACGGAAGTTGCAAGTGGCTCCCTACTATGCTCATCGCAGAACCAGCGTGTGGCGACCAAAAATTGGTATTGGTCAAGTAGGAGAGTGTAGTGCGATTGGAAATACCATGCATCTGGTACGACGCGATACAAGAAGTTCCCGTGAGTGAAAGACTAAATAGGAGGCTCGTTACTTGCGTCTCAAGCCCTAGGCCGTGGCTCAGTCGCGAGCGCACTCGAAGGGGTTTAGTGGCGCACGGTTGCGCCTGCCATCTGCAAAGCGACGCGCCTCCCCTTCACGCATCGCGACTTCCCGTTGCATTGCGCCGACATCAATACCCACTTTCACCGCCTGCCCTAAAGCCCATCGAGGGCATTGCACGTTGCTATGGCTCCGGTACGTCATCTAGTCCCCTTGTTTGAGCGTGCGCCCTTGAGCTGCGTCTGCGACATCAATTCCCCAGCCTCTGCACGCGCGCGACGCAGCACGGCTATTTCTATCACGTGCATCGCATTCTTGACATTCCATCTGTGTCCTCGACGCGACATCGTGTCTTGGAAAACTGAGCGACAAGAGGGTACTCTCGGCATTCGCTTGCTTTAACGAGTGGTGATGAGTAGCTCTTCTGTACTTGCACCTCTCGCGCAACGATGCAGCCATGGCATACCATCTTGTCCAAACAGCGTGCAAACGCTTATATATCTCTTTCAGACTCAAGCTGACATGATGCAAATAGTTTCGGAACAGGGATCGGTCCAACAGGTCAGGACGCGGTCAGATAGAGCACAATGTGCTGGAAGGACTGCCCATTAGTCAGTATCGGGAAGCCGAAATCACCATTGAACCAAACTCGGCCGACAACAAGCCTTTGGACAAGGATGCTTGGCCCGAGCTGCCCATGCCTCGAGATTCTCACATGTTGCCTGAGCATTCTCAACAATTGCTGCGGGCAGCACGCTCCGGGAAGCTGTACAAGCCACCGGCCCCTCCAGAAGACGACAACGAGATGAAAGATGAAGAAGAAGAGACCAAAGAGATCCGTACCGGTTTCACTATCAAGAAGTACGTCAAAGTTGCACGGCATCTAGAAGTTTCGGAACCAGAGTATCTCGCAAAGAGAAGGAAAGGTCTACCATCACCATACGTCAATGGTCAGGTTGCACAACCTGCGTTGCGGGAGACCAAAGTGAAAAAGCTTGATGCAGATGGTAACGTGGCTGTTTACAAGGTGCTTGTACCAGAAGGACAGGCTGTAGAAGGCGAAGTCCAGCCTACGGATGCTGCAATTGAAGTTGCGCCAGCTACTGCGGCACCGGGAACAATTGTCGAGGGAGTCGGTGTTGTGAATGCGGAAGGTGTCGTCGTAGCTAACGACATCCTACAACAAACGCCACCTCGGCGGAGGCCGCCACCTCCCAAGAAGAAGGTCAAACGTGGAGGCCCAGGCAGAGGCAAGAAGAAGGTCGTCTTTGTCGAAGGAGCAGAGCAAGGGACGCCAGCATCGACTGTCGGCGGTGACATGCTGGGTGTACCAGGCGTGAAACAAGAGGACGGATCGGTAGCTCCATCAGATGGAGGTGATACGCCAATGGCAGACGCCGGTGGCGAGGAAGAAGAGGGTTCTGGCGAGGAGGGCTCGGAAGATGAAGATCAAGACATGGAGCATACTTCCAACCCGGCGACTCCTCAGACATCCTCTGTAGCCCCACCCAGTGCTCCAGCGACCGAAGCCTCCAACCCTACGGACGCTACGTTAACAGAGAGCACCGTACTAGCAAGCCATCCGCCGTCGGCTTCCAACGAGCCCTCTCAAGATACCGCAACGATCGAGAGGACCGCAATCGAAACCGCTCCACCCGACACGTCTCCGCAGACGCCGAAACGTGACCAGTCCAGCTCACCTGATCTGCCGCTTTCTGCCGTCTCCCATAGTCGCCAGAACTCCATGAACCAGATTTCGACTCCTACTACTACCACAGAAGCCATCGTTCCCGAGGATGCTCCAAGCGAGATTCCAGCCCCAGCTCCATCTGTGGAAGTGGATGCGGCACCAGCGCCTGTGGTCATCCCGGAGCCTCAGCCTGAGCCTGTAGTCGAGGCTGAACCCAAACTTGAGGCTGAACCTATGCAATCTCTACCGGCTGCTCCTTCTGCACCAACTTCGGAACCAGACCTCATGGGAAGTCTAGAGAGGCAGCTTGAGGAACACGACAAGGACATGGCAGAGTCATAGAATGGCCAAGCCCAATCCTCTCTTCCCCTAAGAGTGTGTTTCACATGCTGTATATTGGAAGGCATGAATTGCGCACCTTTTGACGCAGCCATCGGTTATTGTCGCCACATGCAAGGAGTTCGAGATGCACGCATTTCTTGGTTCAGAAGAAGGGTTTCGTTTGGCGTTATGCACATCATTGTATCATTATCATCCAACGTATCACTTTTCAGCTTACTCACATCAATAAACGCACTATCCACTCACGACCCGTCTTATCGGACTCGTACTGTCTTGTGCTGCCGCCGGCGGTATCGGCGTCGGAATCATTTACGCTACCCCACAGTCCAACGCACGCTCATACGTCATTTTCGACTTTCCCCGTCGGGAACCGCACCTGGGCATTTGTCAGAACCACACTAATCCAGCACGGGTATCACGACGGGAGATGCTAACGCGACAAAGGCAGGTCGTTTACCGAGTTATCTACCGCAAGACTGGACGTGTATATCAGCGACCAACTACAGATTATTTGCAATTCAGCCGCCCATTCTTGCAAACGTCGTAAGGGCATTGAAGCAGAATATGCCTTCCATAAGTGAGATTGTCAAGGCACATCAGCCAGACTTGGCCTCATATGAAGAGCTCTGTGAGTGATCATTGTAATTTGTCAATTTCATCGCTAATGAAGTCGTAGACAAGTGGTTCCACACGCACCCGGAGCTGTCCTTTCAGGAAGCCAAGACAGCCGAAGCGATTGTCAAACATCTAGAGACTTTGAAAGCTTTCACGATTCATTCTTCCATTGGCGGTCACGGCGTCGCTGCCACATTCTCCAATGGCCCCGGAAAGACGCTGCTCTTACGTGCCGACATTGATGCGCTACCCGTTGAGGAGAAGACAGGCCTAAGCTATGCAAGTACAGCGCGTATGAAGGATGTGGACGCTGTTGAGAAGCCCGTCATGCATGCTTGCGGCCATGATATGCATATCACAGCGCTGCTTGCGGCAGCGGAAACTTTGGTCAAATGTAAAGAGGCGTGGAGCGGGGAGTTGATCTTGGTGTTTCAGCCAGCGGAAGAAAGAGCAGGTGGCGCGCAGAACATGGTGGATGATGGTCTGTATAACAAAGTCAAAGAGCCAGACGTTGTGGTGGGCGCACATGTCATGCCAGAAAGGGCTGGTGTCATTGGTACGAAGCATGGTTTAATCGCCAGCTCGGCTGATCGATTCCAGTAAATCCGCCCTTCTCCTGAAGATTTCTTCAAAACTAACCCATATAGACTCCGTATTGAAGGTCGACAAGCCCACGCATCTACTCCCCATCGCGGCATCGATCCCATTCTACAAGCCGCATCCACAATAATGCGTCTCCAATCCATCGTAGCGCGAGAAGTAGACCCCCTAGACTTCGCCGTGGTAACAGTCTCCGCCTTCCACGCAGGCGACGCCGAGAACATCATCCCCTCAGAAGCCAACCTGAAGATCGACGTCCGCGCTGCTCTACCACAAACCCGCGAACGCGTCCTCGCCAGCGTAAAACGCATCATCGCCGCAGAGGCCGAAGCATCCAACAATCCAAACACTCCTACTTTGACACCAACGACGCAATTCCCCTTGCTCTTCAACGACGCCGGCGTTACCAACGCGCTTGAACAGTCCTTCTCGGCGCACTTCCAGCCTGGAAAACATTCGTACCAATCGGACATTCCGCGTCTACAGGGCTCGGAAGACTTTGGCATCCTCGCTACCGCGATTGGCAAGCCGAGTTGCTTTTTCTTGTATGGAGGCACGGATCCAGCGGTTTGGGATAAGGCGGAGAAGGAAGGGAGGCTGAGTGAGGATGTTCCTGGAAACCACAGTCCCTTCTTTGCGCCGGTTGTGCAGCCTACGTTGACGGTGGGCATGGAGGGGTATGTTGTTGCTGCGTTGACTTTCTTGAAGAAGGGCGAGTAGTTGCACTTCAATTTCCAAGCTTGTTGTGCTATGTGGTATTGCATGAGCTGCAGGTATGCGGCGTGGTATATGCTTTAGCTGCTAGTGATAGTTGCGGCCTATACCCCGCATCCGCTCGCTGTTTCTACATCTAAACATGCTGAGGGTTACATTTTCATCTTTCGTTACAACTTGAGACGCAAGCCCGCTATCATCTGTTCTCCACTCGATAAGGCCTACAGAATTGGTCACGGTATTACCTTGGGCTTCTCTGACATGTATTAGACCTCAAGTTAGTACGTGTCCGGGCTAGCGCGGCCTGCGTTCGGAAGCATGGAAGGCGCGGACGACATCAGCCACTGCTTCAAGCACAAACCTCTCGACACTCGAAGACAGCAAATTCGACTGGTTTGCATTACTCCCACGTCTTCTGGCGATATCAAATGCCAGCTCAGAAATGCCTACCTCGAAGACGACACAACACCTGATTATCGAGCGGTCTCATATGAATGGGGACCAAGCTCACCGCTTCGGCGCATCTACATCGACGGTCGGCCTTTGGAAGTGCGTCAAAACTTGTACGCATTCCTCGAAACTTTCAGGACGAGACTCTTCAAGTTCCAAAGTAACAGTCTACATGAGGCCGACACACAATGGTTATGGATCGATCAGATCTGCATCAATCAAACGGTGATTACCGAACGCAACCATCAGGTGAGGCTGATGTCCGAGATCTATAGTCGGGCCGCCTACGTTTACGTGTGGCTCGGACCATGTCAATCTGATATTGAAGCGGCAATGACGGTGTTGAAGTCTGGTCTGAGACGGTACTACGAAGAGAGAACTACACTGTCGCCTACGAAGGGACCAATGCGGTGCCAGATCTCGGGAACCGAGGAGCATTGCCATCCCAACAAGAAGCCCTACTCTGAGCCAGAGTCAAGTAGCTTGCCGGCCGCGGCACTCAGATGCTTCTTCCTCAATACGTACTGGAAAAGACTTTGGATTGTACAAGAGATCATGCTAGCCCGATATATCCGTATCATGTGCGGGGAAACTTTACTTTCATGGGAAGAGCTGAGGCGATTTTGTCTCTCAAGTGCATCTCCATTGCTGGCGCAGGTTCGGTACTGTATACCGCAGCAGGTGATATGGCTTGTGGAACACGCGCTCTCGGCAAAGAAGTACACTTATACGAGTCTGCTTGCGACCTTCAGCAGAAGCGATTGCCACGACCCCAAAGATAAGGTATATGGTTTGCAAGGTCTGGTCGCGCCCGGCTCGAGAGTATCAGTCAACTACGCTAAAAGCATCCGAGAAGTGTTTCTGGATGCTGTGGGCTTACTGTATGAACACGAGGGTCATGCAGCTGAAGTCGAGGTTGGAGGCGGTCTTGAACAGATTGACTACAGTGACCCGGCAGAGACAATGCTCCAAGCTTCCTCTATCCTGAACGCACAGATGGAGGTAAACACCCGAATTCCGCTGGTGACTGCGCTTGTGGAACTGGGTAATCAGATGGGATTTCCTTTGGTGCGAATGTATGCGACTTGCATAGGCGGAACCATCCAGAAGCGAGCAAAGTCTCTATGGTCTCAGCTCATAGGATACTACCTTCAAGAACGTATACCCGCCCTCTATATACGAAGGCAATTTGTATACAACGAGAAGGAGTTTCATGATAGGAATTACGATCCGACTGGATTGATCAGAGATTTGTGGGAAGCATACGAAGAGTTGGAATATGTTCACACTCGTTTCCTCCACTGGATTGGACGTCATAATCATACCGAGCAATACGTAAGTTGACGATGACAAGATGATTCCAGGAGACTAAACAAGTCACAGATATACGACCGCATGTATGAGGACCACCAAGCGTGGAAAACTGTGAGTACATATCTGCGCGGTGTCTGGGAAGCCTCAAAGGTGCATAGGCTAACTCATCGTCTTAGCGCAAAGCTACTGAGTATCTGCTTCGTCGTGTCAACGCTGTGGTAGAACCTCTTCATGATTACAATGAGCGTCACATCACCTATAGAACCGATCTAGAGATTGCTGTGGAGAAGGTTGCTTTCAGAATAGTCGCAACCACTTATGACGCGACTCTGGTGTCGGAGCGCCGCAGCAATTCGCAGAATCAGTCAGCCCTTTGGTCATAGCAACCGAACCTTGGCGATCAAGGTTTGTGCTCGTTCCCCGAGCTGCCTCGCACAGTGAAGCAGCGGGCCACCTGTCGTACTACTCTCGGCCCTCTATGACCCCTTGGATCCAGTACACTACTATAGAATGGAACAAACTTACTTTACCTTCACATACGACCACAGGATCTTGAGAGCTCGGCTTCCCGTCCGCTCAGCCCTAGATAAGCAAGATACCGGCAGATTAGTAGTTAAGTGGGTGACCATTAGCGAATCCCTGCTGTTGTATGTTTTTACCATTTTTGATGATTTATCTTTGCTTGAACGACGTCTCTAGGATGAGGACACACCTGCAACCAAGGAAGGCAAGTATGGTGAGTGCCTACGACGACGGAAGTGAGGGCCAGGTGCAGGGCATACTAGCGAAACGATTTGGCACGGGAACATGAGTCGCATGAGTCATTTCGATCTTTTTGGCACCAGGATTGGCCGTGTGAAGCTTATGGATTGTAATTCTGTGATTCAATGCATCCGTAGTTCTTTTCATAATATCTGTGATCAGGAAGCTCGTAGTGCGGTGGCGCACCCTGCAACTCGAAAGGCGGTGCAAAGACCTCATGCGCTGCATGATAACCAGACTGCTTTTGAGTAGGGTCATTATCGAGGTAGGAAACGGCGGGGACTGGCGCAGAAGTTGAAGCAGCCTTGTCTTTCCAACGTTTTCGCAGGTAGAATACCACTCACAAAATGATGAGTATACCCGCGACCACGAGTCCACCCGTCAATCCAATCAGAGTATTCTTGCCGATGCCCTTGTCTTGCGTGTCTTTGATGGTCTCTCCATGGACGGTCTCGCACATGATGGAAGTGGCGCATCAGGGTCGCTAGGCAACCCTGGCTGGAAATTCGACAAGTGCAAGTTCCTGCCTATGATAGATAAAGCTCTCCGCCAGATGCCACAAGCAAAGTGGATCGTTTTTGTTGAACTTGACGCGTACCTGATGTGGACCAAACTGCTAGACTATTTGTCACAGTTCGATGCAGAAGCCTCGCATTACATCGGCAAGCAAATGTATATTGGCGACATGCTCTTTGCCCACGGCGGCTCAGGGTTCGTTCTGTCGGCACCAGCAATGAGGAAGGTGATTCATCATTGGAAATCTCATCTGAAAGATTTGGACCAGTACACGATTGAGCAATGGGCTGGAGATATGGTCCTCGGGAAAGCGTTGAAGGATGCTCAAGCATCACTACTGTGGGCATTTCCTCACTTCCAGGGTGATCCGGTCTCAACGCTCGATCACAACATTACCAAGATCAACAGACAACCGTGGTGCTATCCCGCGATTACATACCATCATATGGCAGAGAATGAGATCCGGTCTCTGTGAGTATTCGAACAAGAGTGGTATCGTAGGCGTCCGAGGAGTGCTCCTCTGAGGCATGCCGATGTGTTCAAGGGACACATATACCCTAGCCTGAGCAAGGAAAGATCAACGTGAGGCAGTCATTCCGTTGACACGGCCTTCAGCAATGAGGTTTTGAAGGGCGAGGAGGCGCACAGCTCTTTCGAAGCTTGCAGATCGGCATGCGAAAGAAACACCCGCTGCCTGTAGTTCTCCTACCGCACTTCCAGGTGTCTTTTGTCGAATGAAGTGCGCCTGGGCCGAGCGTCGAAATTACAATGCTCAGAGTATTCCACTGCCGCTTCGAAGTGTGAAAAGATGGAGGAGCCGGCGGCGATGACGGGAGGTGCAGTTCGTTCTGGTTGGAAAAGTACATGGGTACTATGGATCAGACGTGCGATCATCGGATAGGCTGGATCACTTAGGAATCACTCAAATAGAACGAACCTTGTAGTTGGCCGTGATGTCAAGCTTCCATGTTGGTGACGGTGGTGGAGCGTTGGTGTCTGGATGGCTGGCGATCGTCATGCCGCTGGACCCTTGCTTAGGCAGAGGTTAGTTCCAAACGACGTAACTTGCCGCTCCAACAATCACTCCCAGACCACACTTGGCTGCCTAGGTATTACAAGTAGCTGTCGACGTCTGCACCCAGTTCCAAGAAGCTTTCTCCGTCGTTTCTCCATACACCAGCCCCGAGCGCACTATGACTGAGCCAAATCCTGCCCCGCACAGCGAGCGCGACCCCGCGGCGGCGACCGACGCGAACGAGACACGCGACGAAGAGATAGACGATCACAAGCCACGCGACAGCAACGGCTGGGACGGGAAGTTGCGAATAGACAAGATGAGCATTGCCGACGAACCCCGCGACCCCCATGCGCAGGTTGTAAGCGACCCAGAAGTATCAGACGATGAGGGCCCGCCTCCCGAGCAGCTGGCTGCAGACGAGGATTTGCTGGACGATACACCGGAAGATGAGGACGACATAGAGATTGTGCACTCCAAAGTATCAGACATGTCGGCGTTACGGTTGGAGAGGTTCAAGCAGATGAAGGTATGCTGTGCTGTGGGTTGCAGATGAGTTTGCCTAACGTCACAGCGTCTCTGCCTGCGCCAAAACCGCATAGAAAGCATCGCGATACCCGACGAAGTCGCGCCGACCCTCACAGAAGTCGATCTCTACGACAACCTTATAGCGCACATCAAAGGCCTCGATGCCTTCACGGAACTCACCTCACTCGACCTCTCCTTCAACAAAATCAAGCACATCAAGCGGCTGAACCACATGACAAAGCTCAAAGATCTATACTTTGTGCAGAACAAGATCAGCAAGATAGAAAATCTAGATGGGCTTTCCAACCTGCGGCAGATCGAGCTCGGCGCGAACAGGGTACGCGAGATTGAAGGACTGGAAACGTTGACGGGCTTGGAAGAGCTATGGCTGGGCAAGAACAAGATTACCGAAATCAAGGGCCTAGATACCCTTACCAACCTCAAGATTCTCAGCATCCAGTCGAATCGTCTGCGCTCGATAACGGGTTTGGAGAAGCTGGTCAACCTCGAAGAACTGCACATCTCGCACAACCTCCTCACAGATCTGTCAGGTCTAGAGAACAACGTCAACCTCAACGTCATCGACATTAGCGCGAACCCAATCGAACATCTCACCGGACTGAACGGTCTCAAGCACCTCACCGAGTTCTGGGCAAGCAACTGCAAGTTGAGCGACTTTGGAGAGGTCGAGAAGGAGTTGAGGGATAAGGAAGAGCTGGAGACGGTCTACTTCGAGGGTAACCCTCTTCAACGGGCACAACCGGCGCTATACAGGAACAAAATTCGGTTAGCGTTACCCCAGGTTGTACAGATCGATGCCAGTAAGTTCAACCCCTTCAACATCTCAGGATAGACGTTAACCTTGTAACAGCATTCGTGAAGCAAGTATAGGCGACCAAGCGGGAATGAAGATCAAATTGCAAAGGTGAACAAGGCATTTACACGGCGCACAAGGAAGAAGCTGCAGGCGTTCAGGCAAGCATACATCTAGCATGGCGATATGGTGGTGATACCCTATGAATGCACGGTATTGTTGGCTATAACCGAAGCTTGCACATATGATGTGAACTAATAAATCTAGTCCATGTCTTGCCGGTCTCGGATCTCGAGCCGTGACCACAGCCAGATAAACATGCGGTCTGCAGAATTTCCATCAACCGTATTCTACCCGCGCCGTACCGTGCCGCCCCCGGTCTCAACGCTAACACTTTATCCGCTGTATAGGAATCCTTCGGTTCTGCATACGGTGGGTCTCTTTCTCGCGGAGACAATACCCCATCTAGCTCAAGTTCAACGGCTTTCATATCGTCTACCTTGCTACGCTCCAGGGTCCATGTCGTGCTTTCGGGATGTTTCGAGAGGCATGTTGGCTGTGGATGCAACCGAAGTGCGGCGAGCGTTTTCCAAGACTTGGCTTGCGCTGCACGAACAAGGTTATCTGGACGCGGAAAATGGGTACCTCTGTCTTGAGATGCAAGTGAACTTCGAGCGGGCGGCAGCTCGGTAATCAAGCGGGTGGCAAGCTCCACTTGTACAGTGGCTACTCTATCCATGGAGGCGTATTTGTGATGTTTGTTCCTACATACTCTCGATTCGATACACGGACCCTTATCGCGGCTCGATTCCTGGAATCATGGTTTATCTATGCGTTAGCGTGCTCTTCGTAGCATCCGCCGCCGCCAGATTCGCGCCTCGCTCTGCGGAACCTCCCATGCGTCTTACCGATCGCCAGTCGGGCAACGTTGCAAAAATTGAGCAAAGGGTTGATGGAGAAATTCCCCGTTTTGAATGGGAACAGTCATTCTTGACGGATGCGACCCTTGAGGAAGCATTGACCTCAGCATCAGCCGATGCAAGGTCGCTTTTCCAGTTTGCTTCGCACAACATTGCCAGCGACTCCGTCGCTGAGACAGAGAGTACTTTCAACGGCCGCGAATGCAAGGTATTCCCTGGCGATGAAGATTGGCCTGTAAAGGATAGCTGGTCGGCGCTCAACGATATCACCAACGGTGCTCTACTGAAGCCTCTCCCCCAAGCACATGTTTGCTACAACACTATCCTGGCTGGTGCAGACCAGAGCGCTTGCGATGCCATGGCCCAGTCGTGGACCGATCCGTTTTCCCAGTATGTAGCCTTTGAAAATTATCTCCACATAGCCATCGACTGACGTACATGAACAGGCTGGACGACCCACTTGAGATGCTAAGTCCAATGTACCAGGGTAGTACATGCCAACCACCTCAGATCTACGATAATAAGGAGTGCACCCAAGGAGGATACTCTCTCTACGTTGTAAATGCCTCAACTACCGCTCAGATCCAGTTGGCGCTTAATTTCGCGCGAAACACGGGCGTTCGTTTTGTAGTCCGGAATACTGGTCACGATTTCGCTGTGAGTGCTTCGTCTTCGATACCTAATCTTCCAATCGCTGATGGCTCCTAGGGCAAGAGCGGTGGTGCTGGCTCTCTTAGTGTATGGACTCACGGGTTGAAAGATATTGCATTCATCGAGAACTACGAGTCTGATGATTACTCCGGACCGGCTATGAAGGCTGGCGCAGGGGCGCAGGGCTTTGAGCTTTACGCTGCTGCGAGAGACTTCGGCGGCACAGTCCTGGGCGGTGAATGTCAGTAACTCCGTTCCGAGCATGTCTTGAGATATATACTAACTCTGCTTGTTGTACAGGCCCTACTGTTGGCGCAATGGGCGGGTGGATCCAAGGTGGCGGCCACTCACCTCTTTCTGGCCACCTGGGCTTAGGCGCTGACCATGTGCTTTCCATGGAGGTCGTCTTGGCAGACGGTCGTTACGTGACTGCTAACAAGAACAATAACCCAGAGCTGTTCTGGTCATTACGCGGTGGTGGCGGTCTGACTTTCGGTGTCGTAACCTCAGTCACCGTCAAGGTACATCCAGACCAACCCATTGCTTCCGCCAACTGGGTCGTCACCACAGGCAAGAACGTCAGCACCGAGGCCTTCAAGCAAGGACTCAAAGCCTACCTGAAATATTTCCCGCAGAACGCCGATAACAACACTTACGCCTACTGGAAAGTGTTCCCGTCACCCGATTCGATCATGATGGATATGTCGCCTTTTTTCGCTCCCGGCAAGACCATCGAAGAAGCCAAAGCACTGGTCGACCCCTGGGTAAAAGACGTGGCTTCACTTGGGATTACTGTTGAGCCTGAATGGACGCAGTACAACGGGTTCTACGATGCGTACAACGGCTCTTTCCCTGTGGAGGGCGTTAACACCAATGCTGTAGCCACCACATCGCGCATGATCCCACGTTCCAACTGGGCCAACGAATCGATCTTCGATGAGACTTTCGAAGCCCTTTGGCGAGCAGTCGATGAGGGTATGGCGCTGATCGGCTACAACATGGCGCCATCATGGGAGAAAGGCGGACGCCCTGACAACTCTGTCAACCCAGCTTGGAGAGACATGCTTGGTTTCATCATTACCGGGACTGTGCTAAACATGACGAATTCAGCTGCGGAGATTGTCGAGCAGCGCCTCAACATGACCTATGGCGTTATGCAGAGGTGGCGCAATCTCACACCCGGCTCCGGTTCGTATCTCTCCGAGGGAGATCGTCTTGAGCCGAATTTCCAGTGGTCGTTCTGGGGTAGCTTCTACCCGCGTCTTTTGGAGGCGAAGCGCAAGTTTGATCCTTTCAACCTCTTCTGGGCTACTGGCGCAGTGGGGAGTGAGTTCTTCCATGTGCGTAGCGTTGACGGTTTGCCGAACGAGAACGGGAGGCTTTGTGTTAACCCGAAGCCAACGCTCTACCAGGCTGAGGGTCCGGATTGGGTTCCACAGTAAATGGATGGTGTTATGATGACCAAATGTGTATATATCTCGCAATTAAGGGGTTCTCAGTTCATGCTGACAGGAAATGCCATCGAAGCTGATGAGCCGACGGACGCCCAAAGAAGTTGAACACATTGAAGGCTTTGCTTTTTCCCTTGGCAACGAAGCACATCATTAGCGCCGATCAGGTGAAAGGCATCGTCTTGATAATGATGGTCTACATTGAGAGAATCGTCTCTTTTACTGTCTAGGTATCATATGCATATGCCACGTCAACCTCGTCCAGGGCCAGTAAATGCTTCTTGCGTAACTACATGACCTTCCTGTTGTTTCCATCCAATCCCAACTCCAAAATCAGACCATTCAAGTTCAAGCGCTGAGTATTCCCGGTGTGTTTGTCGCGGCGTCTTACTTAGCATCATCATTCATGAGCAGCCGAGGGGCTGCACTCAGAAGCTTGGGTTGCCATTGATCTTAAGGCCGCTCACACCGTTGGCAATGCCTTCAGCATCAAGTCCATTCGTTGCGCCACTTTGGTAGTCGCGAGTAATCTCGTCGAGCATGCCAGCGCTAGCAGCGACGAAACCCAAGTAGGGTCTGCTTGGGTCCAGGACGCG